CGAAGAATAAAAAAATTGGGAAATCGAAAATTTGAAAAATCGTTATATCGAGAAGTCGAAAAATTGTGAATTTGAAAAGTCGAAAACTTGAGAAAGCGAATTTGAAGTTGAAAAATCAAAAACAAAAATCGAAAAAACGGGAAATTGAGAAACTGACAAATAGAGAAATGAAAAAACATTAAAAAAAGATTAAAAAGTTCAGAAATCGGGAAATCGAGAAAATCTGGAAACTGAAGAAGGGAAAAGTCGAAAAATTGAAAAATCAATAAACAAAAATTGAAAACTTGCAAAACTGAAATATCGAATAATTGAAAAATGGAAAAGTCAAAAAATTCAGAATTCAGGAGATCGAAAGGTCCAGAAATCGGAAAATGGAAAATTCGAAAAGCTCAGGAATCGAAAAATCGGGAAATTGAAAAGACGAAAAATTGAGAAATCTAAAAAATCGGAATGTCGATAAATTGTGAAATCGAAAAGTCAAAAAATCGAGAACATGAAAAGTCGAAAAGTTGAGAAATCGAAGTTGAAAAGTTGCAAAATCAAGAAAAAAATCGAAACTTCGATAAATTCAAAAATCAGGAAATCCAAAAATCGGGAAATTGAAGAATGGAAAAGTCGAAAAATTGAAAAATCTAGAAAAAAAAAATATTGAAAAATTGCAAAACTGAAATATCGAATAATTGAAAAATGGAAATGTCGGAAAAATCAGAATTCAGAAAATTGAAATGTCGACAAATCGGAAAATGGAGAATTTGGAAAACTCAGATCGAAAAATCGGGAAATTGAAAAGACGAAAAATTGAGAAATCAAAAAAAACGGAATGTCGAAGAATTCTGAAATACAAAAGTCAAAAAATCAAGAAATTGAAAAGTCGAAAAATTGAGAAATCGAAGTCGAAAAATTTGAAAATCAAGAAACAAAAATCTAGAAATTGAAAAATCGCAAAACTGAAATATCGAATAATTGAAAAATCGAAATAAATATCGAGGGGTCAAAAAAAAAATCGAGAAATCGAAAAGTCGAAAAATTGAGAAACTAAAAATTGAAAAATACAGGAATCAGGAAATTGATAAAACGAGATGTCGAAAAATTGTGAAATTGAGAAACTGACAAATGGAGAAATGAAAAAACATTGAGAAAAAAAATTAAAAAGTTCAGAAATCGGGAAATCGAAAAAATTGAAAAATAGAAAAGTCGAAAATTTGAAAAATCAAGAAACTAAAATTGAAAACTTGCAAAACTGAAATATCGAATACATAATTGAAAAATTGAAAAGTCGAAAAATTCAGAATTCAGGAAATCGAAAGGTCCAGAAATCGGAAAGTGGAAAATTCGAAAAGCTCAGGAGTCGAAAAATCGGGAAAATGAAGAGACGAAAAATTGAGAAATGTAAAAAATCGGAATGTCGATAAAGTGTAAAAACAAAAAGTCAAAAAATTGAGAGCATGAAAAATCGAAGTTGAAAAGTTGCAAAATCAAGAAAAAAATCGAAACTTCAAAAAATTCAGAAATTCGAAAGAGTGAGAGATCGAAAGAGATCCAAAATCGGGAAATTGAAAAGACGAAAAATTGAAAAATCAAGAAAAAAAATTGAAAAATTGCAAAACTGAAATATCAAATAATTGAAAAATGGAAATGTCGGAAAATTCCCCAAAGACTACAAGTTGAAAAGTCGAAAAGTTAAGAAACCAAAAAATCTAAAAACTGAGAAATGGAATAATCAGAAAGTTAAAGAATAGAAAAGTCGAAAAATTGAGAAATCGAAGTCGAAAAATTGGAAAATCAAGAAACAAAAATCGAGAAATTGAAAAATCGCAAAACTGAAATATCGAATAATTGAAAAATCGAAATAAATATCAAGGAGTCAAAAAATCGAGAAATCGAAAAGTCGAAAAATTGAAAAATTCAGGAATCAGAGAAAATGGAAAATTCGAAAACCCAAAGGAACGAAAGACATCCAGAAATAGCGAAATTGAAAAATCGACAAATCACAGGCACATCTATTAGACATTTTTTACTGAACGTGCTCGCTGTGCTCGCTCTTCAAATGGTCACTTTTCGTTGCAATGAAACCTGAACGTGCTCGCTGCGCTCGCTCTCGGAAGTTCCACTTTCTTTTTACTTAATTAACATTCATAGGGGCACTAAGGCAATTTTCATTACAGTATAACCCAAACGAGCTCACTACGCTCGCATTATGTATGGATTTGGCATTTAAATTCGAGTCATTCTAAAAGTTTAAAATAATTAAGGTTAAATTAATAAGGAAAAAGGAAAGAATTTTAGTACAGTTTGAGCAGTGTTGTTAATCCGGAGCAACGTTGGACACAAAACCAAAATATTCAATGTTGAAAGGTATTTTCCAAACGGAGAAACGCCTAAATAGGAGAATCTGAAATATAACCTCAAGTCGTAAATGTCAATTTGATTAACACAAACAAGGAACGCGTTGCTGCTGCCAACTAATTTTTAATTTAACTTACACACTCAGAGACATCTGCGAGGCATTTTTATTACAGCAAAACTGGACGTGCTCGCTGAGCTCGCTCTCCAAATAATCACTTTTCTTTTACCTAATTTACCTTCATGGAGACATCTGTGGAGACGTCTTTCATTACAATGAAACCAGAACGTGCTCGCTGCGCTCGCTCTCTAAAAGTTCACTTTCTTTCTACTTAATTAACATTCAGAGGGACACTGTGGAGGCATTTTTCATTACAATATAACCCAAACGGACTATATGTGGGCTTGAAATTAGTAAAACAAATTCGAGCACAATCGCATGATAAGCAACATTCACGATTTGACGACCCTCCTGAGCAGTCCTGAGCAAAGATAATTCATCGATTCGCACCCACCTCGGTACCAGCATTCATTTAGCTCCGCACACACTCCAAACAATGAACGAAGTGTACACACCGAAAACCGTCTTCTCTCATTATAATGCTAATCGAAATCGTGATTTCTCGCCACAACGAGGGCGACGTCACTATTAGGTAGTAACGTAACGTTCCCACCTCTACGATCTAGTCGCCGAGGAGTCGCCGTCTCGCGAACAACTGACGACCGACGACACCGCGACGCGATTGCCCGATTGTGCCACCTGTGCGATTTGCGACGGCCGTGCGACGATTTTCCAGTGTGTGTGGAAGATTCGTGTTGGGAGAGGTTAGTCTCGAGTGTGGGTAGCGAAAACGGCGAGTTGGAGCGAAAATCCTAGGAGCATCGTGACGGTCTTTCGGGCCTTCACTTTTTCGATTTTGGGACGCCGGGTTGGGGTGGTTGCGGGGGTGAAAGTGGCGGGGTCCGGGGTGGAAAGGTTAGTTTGGGTGGTGAATCGCGGGGTTCGGGGGTTGGAGTGGGTGGCGGAAGACACGGGAGGTTGTTGCAACTGATGGAAGAGGATTTTTGCGCCACGGATGAGTGGGGTGTTCGGTGCGTCGTAAATCTAGAGTTATCTTATCGCGATTGCAAAGGAGGTGACGTCGTGCAGCCGTCATTGCTAAAAAATGTTGAAAGTTGTAGTGGTCGTTTTTCGAAATTGGTGACCCTGATGAAAATGACTAAACAGCGTGCCGAACAATGCAAGAATTTCAAATTTTGGCACGACTCCAGCGCTTGATTGGTGTCAAGGACCGGGCCATTAGCTAAATAGAGTCCGTAATTCTCGCAATTACGAAAATAGCAGCGAATACTCCATATACGCGCAACGGGATAAAGGCCGCCCCGCTTATTAAAACTTGTTTATACATAGCTGACTTTCAGTTAGTTGTTTATTTTTAAGGACATCGCATTTTTACGATCAGCTTGCGACATGGAAATAAAACGTTCACCTTGAGTGTGATCCGCATGATATTTCTTTGTTCCTTGTTAACTAACACCTTCGCATCTCCACGGCACCCGAATTCTCGTCCTCCTCTCTCGATCGAGTGAAAGTTTTTCTGCCGCAATAATCCGTTTTGCTTTCGATTCATGTCGTAATGGGTAATTACACCACTTTTTGCCGACACAAACCGCGTAACCGTGTTCTCAATGATCGAATTACGGAAGTGAGAAAAACGCGAATCGAATCGATTCCGTTGACCCGACGCAACGGGACCGGACGCAAAAAAAACTCGCTGCGCTCGATAAATTTTTTTGCGATTTCGGGGGGTCTGAATGGCGGAAGGGTTGCAGCCGGGCGCGAGTGGGAATAGTTTGGAGTGGCGCAGGGGGAGCTCGCTGCGCTCGCTCGCAATCGCCACGAACGGGTTTTCCCGTTGTTTATCTCGTAATCAATAGATTGTTGCTAATGAAACACTCGGCGAAATGGGTGTTTATCAAGCCGAATCGATAATTACTGCATTACTAATAATTCTAGATTGGCTCGCAAGTTAATTATGTTTATGGAGACCATGAAATTTGCGTTAATGGTCATAACGCGGCCGTAAAAGAGAATGGAAAGCGATACTTCGGATTCAGATAAAGCGTCGTGTTGTGGTGTGTCACGCGGAAACTAAAAAGGTAATAATAATACGAACGTGGGAGTCATTATCGTAATGACCCGTCATTACGAAGCGTTGCGCAAAAAAAACAACGCCCGGATTAAATTTTTTAAATGGTTGAATAATCAATCCTGTGGTGTTTTCGCCAAGCAAGTGCGGGTAAACGCGCCCAGATAAAATCAACAACGCGAAAAATTCCGCTCGTTCAAACACGATCGTTGACGTCGACGCTATCCATTCAATCAGAATTATTTACATCCGAAGCGACGACAAATATTTGCCAATTATTACTTCTAAAAATAATGTGTTAAGTGCGCGCCAGCTCGGACTCGCCGCGATAAACTTGACACAGAAAAAATCCAAAACAATAGAACGTCGACTAATGGATGCATAATTATGTAAATAGGGGAGTTGCGTGTCACTTTTCTCGCTTTCGTAGGTCGCTATGCAAAGTCGTGAAAGTTTCCGGGCTCAAGACGGACCCCTGGGTGTTGATCGTCGGTCGTTGTGTTGCAGGGTGTGGAGAGCCTCCGCAATGCCCTGGTTGGCCCGCAGCAAGTGAAAGAAGATGCGTAGCTCACTGGATAGCGACGTGACGCCGTGCGTCGCCGGCCAACGGAAGAAGAGGTTCGCGAACCGCTGGTCCTTGCGGCACCTCATCTATTCTAGTCCGATCCTGAACAGGAGGAGGAGTCAGAATGCGTCGGGGTCGTCCAAGGCGCACCGGAGTCATAGTGGTGAGTGCCGAGTGCTCGCTGCGCTCGTTTCTTTGTTCGTGGGATGTGATTGTTGGGTTTTTACAGCGTGTTTACATAAGTTATCGCGAACGTGAACACTGTTTCACTGAAAACGTTTTATTATGCGATTAATAATTATCCGTCGGCGGTGAGTGCATTGTTTTGTTAATTATCGAGTAGTGAGTAGGTAGCGCTCTTTGGGTTCTTTATCTGGAAAGTCATTGTTCATTGTGGCGATGGTTGAACGAACCTCCATTCAAGCTGGGAGATTTGGTCGAAGGTTGTTCGACGGAATTTCCATAAAGTAAAAACCAGTAACCGCCGGGAAAGATACTTTTCGAAAAATCGGAAACTGAAAAATTGAAATATTGAAAAATTCCCAAAATTGAAATGTTGAAAAAATTGAGGAATCGAAACATTTTAAAAATTTGGAAATCGAAACATCGAAAAATTGAAAAACCGAAAAACTGAAAAATCAAAAAAATTGAAAAATCCAAAATTCGAAAAATTCCCAAACTGAATTCTCAAAGAATTAGGAAATTGAAAAACAAAAACGTCTAAATATGAAAAAATCCAGAAATAAAAAAAACGCGAAGTCGAAATGGTTCAAAAAATATTGAAAAATTCCCAAAATTGAAAGTTGAAAAATTGAGAATTCCAAAAATCGAAACAACTTAAAAAATGAGAAATTAAGCGATTGGGAAATTGAAAACCGAACAATCGAAATCTCGCTAGAAAGATCGAAAATAGAAAAATCGAAGACCGAGAAGTCGAATCGAAAATTCGAAAAATTGAAAAATAAAAAAATAAATCGAGAAATTGAAAATTTTCCAAACTGATCGTGCACTCGAAACATCAAAAAATCAAGAACTGAAAAATAAAAAAAATTGAAATGTAGAAAAATCGAGAAATCGAAAATTTTGGAAATACAAAAAGTCGAAAGAAAAAGCTCGAAAAATTTTTGATTTCAAAATTTGAAAAATTGAAAAATTCCCAAAATTGAAATATTGAGAAATCGCCGAGACTCGAAACGTTTTAAAAATTGGGAAATCGAAACATCGAAAAATTGAAAAACCGAAAAACTGAGAAATCAAGAAATTAATAAAAATAATTGGGGAATTGAAAAAACAAAATTCGAATGATAGAAACCTCGCAATATGAAAAAATCCAGATATAAAAAAAAAAACGAGAAATCGAAAAATTGCAAAAAAATGGAACAATTCGGAAATTGAACAACCGAAAAAAATTGGAAAAATTGAAATATTGAAAAAACCCCAAACTGAATTTTCAAAGAAATTAAAAAAACAAAAAGTCGAAAAATTGAGAAATTGAAATATATCTCCCAAAAGCGAAAAATTGGGAAATTGAAAACCGGAAAATCGAAAAATCTCGCTAAATAGGGAGATCGAAAATAGAAAAATCGAAGACCGAGAAATCGAATCGAAAATTGGAAAAATTGAACAATAAAAAAAATTAATCGAGAAATTGAAAATTTTCCAAGCTGAATTCTCAAAGAATTGGGTAATCAAAAAGTCAAAATTTGTAAAAACTAAAAAATTGAAAAATAAACCAAAAAATTGAAAAAGCGAAAAATCGAAATCTGAAAGATCGAGCAATCGAAACATCAAAAAATCTAGAACTGAAAAATTAAAAAAATTGAAATGTAGAAAAATTGAGAAATCGGAAATTGGAAATACAAAAAGTCGAAAGATAAGCTCGAAAAATTTTGAATTTCAAAATTCGAAAAATTGAAAAATTCCCAAAATTGAAATATTGAGAAATCGTCGAGACTCGAAACGTTTTAAAAATTGGGAAATCGAAACATCGAAAAATTGAAAAACCGAAACACTGAGAAATCAAGAAATTAATAAAAATAATTGGGGAATTGAAAAAACAAAAATTCGAATGATAGAAACCTCGCAATATGAAAAAATCCAGAAATAAAAAAAAAACGAGAAGTCGAAAAATTGCAAAAAAATGGAACAATTGGGGAATTGAACAACCGAAAAAAATTGGAAAAATTGAAATATTGAAAAATTCCCAGAATTGAAACATTGAATAATTTTAAAAATTGAAAAGTCGAAGTGTCGAAAAATCGAAAAATTGTAAAAAATGGACCAATTGAGAAATTGAACAACCGAAAAAATTTAAAATCGAAAAATCGAAACAATTTAAAAATCGGGAAATCGAAAAATTGAAGAACCGAAAAACTGAAAAATCAAAAATCTGAGAATAGGTTGAAAGTCGAGTCGAAAATTTTCCAAGCTGAATTCTCAAAGAATTGGGAAATCGAAAAACTAAAAAATTAAAAAATTAACCAAAAATTTAAAAAATTGGAAAAGCGAAAAATCTAGAATTTAATAATTCGAAAAATTGAAAGATTGAAAAATTCCCAAATTGAAAGTTGAAAAATTGAGAAATCGAAAAATCGAAACAACTTGAAAAAATGAGAAATCAAGCGATTGAAAAATCCCCAAACTGAATTTTCAAAGAAATAGAAAAAACAAAAAGTCGCAAAATTGGGAAATTGAAAACCGAAAAATCGAAATCTCGCTAGAGAGATCGAAAATAGAAAAATCGAAGACCGAGAAGTCGAATCGAAAATTCGAAAAATTGAAAAATAAAAAAATAAATCGAGAAATTGAAAATTTTCCAAGCTGAATTCTCTAAAGAATTGGGAATTGAAAAAGCGAAAAATCGAAATCAGAAAGAACGAGCAATCGAAACATCAAAAAATCTAGAACTGAAAAATTAAAAAAATTGAAATTTTGAAAAACCCGGGAATTGAAAAACTTCCAAAATTGAAATGTAGAAAAATTGAGAAGTCGAAAATTCGAAATACAAAGTGTCGAAAGAAAAAACTCTAAAAATTTTGAATTTCAAAATTCGAAATATTGAAAAATTCCCAAAATTGAAACATTGAGAAATCGTCAAGAATCGAAACGTTTTAAAAATTCGGATATCGAAAAATTGAAAAACCCAAAACTGAAAAATTAAAAAAATTGAAATTTTGAAAAATCCGGGACATGAAAAACTCCCAAAATTGAAATGTAGAAAAATTGAGAAGTCGAAAATTCCAAATACAAAAAGTCGAAAGAAAAAGCTCGAAAAATTTTTAATTTCAAAATTCGAAATATTGAAAGATTCCCAAAATTGAAATATTGAGAAATCGTCGAGAATCGAAACGTTTTAAAAATTGGGAAATCGAAAAATTGAAAAACCGAAAACTGAAAAATCAAAAAAATGAGAAATCAAGAAATTAAAAAATCGTCAAACTGAATTCTCAAATAATTGGGAAATTGAAAAAACAAAAAATCGAATGATTGTAACATCGAAATATGAAAATTCTAGAAATCAAAAAAACGAGAGGTCGAAAAATCGAGAAATTGAAATGGCTCAAAATCGAAAAATTAATTGAAAAATTTTGAATATAAAAAAATTGGAAAAAATAAAACCGAAAAGTCGAAGAATTAAAAATTCGAAAAATTGAAAAATAAAAAATGAGAAATCGAGAAATTGAAAAATCTCCAAGCTGAATTCTCAAAAAAATGGGAAATCGAAAAACTGATAAATTGAAAAATAAACCGAAAAAATGAAAAACCGAAATCCGAAAGATCGGAGAAAAACTCTGGAATTTAAAAATTCGATAAATTGAAATATTGAAAAATTCACAAAATTGAAACGTTGAAAAATTTTAAAAATTGAAAAACCGAAATGTCGAAAAATCCAAAATTCGAAATACGAAAAATCAAAAAAATTAAAAATCAAAAAATGGAAAATTTTCCAAGCTGCATTCTCGAAGAATTGGGAAATCAAAAAATTAAAAATAAACCGAAAAATTGAAAAATTGAAATCCGAAAGATCGAGCAATCGAAACAAAAAAATTTATTTATTGAAAAATTGAACAACCGAAAAGTCGAAATCTCGCTAAATCGAGAGATTGAAAAATTTTTATTTAAAAACAATTGAAAAATTGGGAAATTGAACAACCGAAAAGTCGAAGAATCGAAAAACTGAAAAATTGAGAAATAAGCCGAAAAATTGAAATATTGAAAAATTCGGAAATTGAAAAATTGCCAAAATTCAAATATGTATTGAAAAACTGAACGAGAAATCGAAAGATCGAGTTATCGAAAGAGAAAGCTCGAAAAATTTAAAAATTTGTAAATCGAAAATTCGAAAAATTCCCAAACTGAATTCTCAAAGAATTTGGAAATTGAAAATGAAAACATCCAGAAATCGAAAAATTAATTGAAAAATTTTTATTTAAAAACAATTGAAAAATTGGGAAATTGAACAACCGAAGAGTCGAAAAATCGAAAAACTGAAAAATTGAGAAATAAGCCCAAAAAATTGAAATATTGAAAAATTCGGAAATTGAAAAATTGCCAAAATTCAAATATGTATTGCAAAACTGAACGAGAAATCGAAAGATCGAGTTATTGAAAGAAAAAACTCGAATATTTTGAAAATTTGAAAATTTCAAAATTCGAAAAATTTAAAAATCGTGAATTCAAAAATTCTAAACATTTTAAAAATTGGGGAATTGAAAAAACAAGAAGTCGAAAAATTCAAAAATTCGGAAATTGTTCCGGAATTGAACAACCGAAAAGTCAAATTCTCACTAAATCGACAGATCGAATAATGAAAAAATCAAAAAAACAAAAAAAATCGGGGATTTGAAAATTTTCCAAGCTGAATTCTCAATGAATTGGGAAATTGAAAATTCAAATAATTTAAAAAGTGAAAAATCGAAATCCGATAGATCCAACAAACGAAATATCAAAAAATCTAGAATTTAAAAATTCGAAAAAATTGAGAAATTGAAATGTGGAAAAATGTTTTAAATTGAAAAACCGAGAAATACAAAGAAGCGAAAGGTCCAGTAATCGAAAGAAAAAACTAGAAAAATTTAAAATTGAAAAACCGAAAAAATGAAAAAAAAAAAGTGAGAAATCAAGAAATTGAAAATCGCCCAAATGAATTCTCAAAGAATTGGGAAATTGAAAAAACGAAAATTAGAAAAATCAAGTAATTGAAATGGCCCAAAATCGAAAAATTAATTGAAAATTTGTGAATCCAAAAAATTAAAAAATTGGAAAATTGAGCAACCGAAAAATCGAAATCTGGCTAAATCGAGAGATCGAAAAATTGAAAAATCTGAAACCAAATGGTCGAAGAATCGAAAATTCGAAAAATTGAAAAAAAATGAGAAAGCGAGAAATTGAAAAATCTCCAAGCTTGAATTCTCAAAGAATTGAGAAATTGAGAAGTCAAAAAGTTGAAAAATCTAAAATTTAAAATTCGGAAAAATTGAAAAATTAAAACTGAAAAATCCCAAAACCAAAATATAAATAAATAAATTGATTGATTTATTTACAATGAGTAATCTATAAATCCAAATACAGGTTATAAAATAAAAACTGAAAAAAAAATTGAATAAACGGAACGTAAACTAACAAAATAATGTTACAATAATCAACTTGATTTAATTAAAACATTGAAAAATTGAGAATTCGAAAACTTGAAGACCTGCGCTAAATCAAAAAGTCAAAAAATTGAAAATTAAAAAAATTGAACAAAAAAACTGAATAATGGAGAAATGGGAAAATCGAAATACTGAAGAATCAAATAACTGAAAAATCGAAAAGCCGGAGATACGAAAAATTGTCATTCAATATTAATTTTTTCCAAAAATCTCATAATCCAGAAGTTCAGGACTATGTTACTGTTTGACATTTAAGTAACATTTATTCGCCAAAATTTTAATATGAACGAATAAATTTTTATTGACCATAGATTTCAATAACCTTAGAACATTTCAAGATTTCAGAACATCAGATTTTGCAATTTATAAGTTAAACTGTAAAATGTTGTTATACAATTTTTTCCAAAAATCTAAATGCCAAGGGTAAACTCAACGCGGATTCATAAACCACAAATGTACGTTGTTTTATAAAATTTAAATAACATTCACTACTATAAAATTTGGATCTATTGTACTGTGATACACTCTTAGGTAAATTAAATCTTCCGTGTGAAAGTATATACGGTCGGGATTTCCCTGAAGTGAATAATACACAGGGTTTTGAGACCACGCCAGATGTTATTTCGGTACTGGACTTACTCATCGCGTCAGTGACTAACGGGATCCAATCATCTCGATTGCTGCAACCTTCAATCTGTTTCATTTCTCGAGCGCGAGCGCTGATTTTGTTTCGCGACGTCTCATTACTCCTAGAGGATGAAATAGTAGGTCTCCCGTTTCCGTAGTGATGATTTTTTTTTTTTTTCAGGCAAAGACACAACGGACGCCCGCCTAGGCGGCTCATCGAAGGATATCGATCGTGGCGCCCCTCATCATGTTGAAATTCATCAAGCAACGAGCAGGACATCAGTATTCACAACTAGCACAAAGGTAATGAGAACGCCGAACCGAAAACGAAAACCTGTCGCTTTCTATGGAACCCCGACGATCGATGAACAGCCGAGCGTTCCTTTATTTTGTTTATATTTTTTTTATTATTTTTTTTTTGTAATTTAAATTTTGCGACCACGATAACGCGATAACGTCACACCTAGCAACCTTTCCGGAGCTTATCTATGCATAACGGGCGACTTTTAAGTTTCGACTCGGGTTATTATTAGTCGGTTCCGAGCATGTATGGGTAAACAGTCCCTTTTTTTGTTAATTTTTTTGTGGTCGTTTCAGAGCGGCGAGGTCGCCCTCTCCATGGAGTGCCCCCTGTGCTTCGCCGAACTCACCGCCGAGGAGTTCTGGGAGCTGGCGGGGTGCGGCCACCGCGCCTGCGTCCCCTGCCTCCAGCAGTACCTCCGCGTGGAAATCACCGAATCTCGAGTATGCATATCTTGCCCGGAGTGCTCCGAGCCGATGCACCCAAACGGTACCTTTTTCGTCTTCTTACTATCCTTTTTTTCATTGGAAGTATTGTAGAAATCCGCAGTATCATCGACGACGCCGCGCTCTTCGAGAAGTACGAAGACTTCATGGTGAGGAGAGTTTTGGCGGTCGAGCCGGACACGAGATGGTGTCCGGCCCCGGACTGCGGGTAAGCTCCCTCGTTCCAGCCTCGTTCCTCTAAGTGATCACTTTCCGTTGCAGTTTTGCTGTGATAGCCAGCGAGTGCGCCAGCTGCCCCAAGCTGAAGTGCTTGCGTCCAGGCTGCGACTCGTACTTCTGTTACCATTGCAAGGCCGAGTGGCACCCCAACCAGACGTGCGACTCGGCGAGGGCGCAGCGTTCGCCGAATATCAGGTCGTCGTCGATCACGTACAGCCAGGATTCGCAGCATCGTGAGTTCGCAAAGGGGTGTTGAGTCGGTGGTGATGTTGCTTTCGCAGGGGACGACATCAAGCCGTGCCCGAGGTGCCAGGTCCTGATCGTGAAGATGGACGACGGATCGTGCAATCACATGATGTGCGCCGTGTGCGGAGCGGAATTCTGTTGGCTGTGCATGAAGGAGATCAGCGACCTTCATTATCTCAGGTGGGGGAGGTTGAGTTTTCCAGGTTTGTGTTGCGGAAATTGGCGTTTTTGGAAAGGGGGTATTTTTAGATGCATAGTTTGACATTAAGTGATCGGGGAATGGGAAACGAGGCCTTCAAGGTTGTTGTAGTAAACAAACAATTTATATGTGGGTGGATTTTTTTATATATTCCGCGAGTGGAATGCGAAAGTTGGTCTTCCGTTTCCGTCGGTCTGTTTACGTAATTGGACTGATTACCGTGAAAGTTTTGGGGCACTTTTACGATTGTACTGAAAGTGACAAAGCGCTGCGTAAAAATTACACTTCGTGTTTGTGTTTTGAATGAAGGCTTTTCTTTAACACACCTTAGAAGAAGTGTCACATTGTACACCTCAAAATTTATGGAATGTCTTCACAAAAGCGTGACGTCGAAATGTTATCTCAATCAAATCAGTGCACTTTAATCATGCAGGTGATCTATCTGAGATTTCATAATACATATATAGAGCTTATTTAAAAAAATATATATAAAGTTATCTTAATCAAAATGTACGGTTTATCTAAATTTTATAGTAGGCCACTTAACTTCGATTTAGCGATTATAAAGTATTAACAAAATTGAGTTCACTTATCTCCAAGAAATTGATGACGTCATTTCAAAATTTTGACGTGCGAATCTCATTTGGACCCTGTAGTAGTAGTTGGTAAGATAAGACTGATTTTGGCAAGTGACATATCCTCTGAGAAAATAAGGGGTGGGTGGGCGGGGTTAGTACTTGGTAAGATAAGACTGGTTTTGGCAAATGACATATCCTCGGGGAAACTATGATGAGTTTTTACTTGTAATTTATCATTGCATTCGTATTTTTTTCATTTGTTTACACATTTGGTTCAAAAACAATTATGAATGTGTCAATTTATTTTGTTGATTAAGTCCAGATTTTCCCAGAAAATTTTGGGAATACAATACTGTTATTTTTAGTACAATAGACGCCGCTTAATATGATCACGGTTAATGTTATCAACCGCTTAGTGTGATCAAAATGGCTTGGAACGGTCCCATGCAATACCAATGCATTACAGTTTTTCCGTTTATTGTGATCAATATTTCGCTTATTGTGATCAATCTCGCAATTTTTATACAAGCGGGAATTGCTTTTTTGGAAAACCGTGACGACCGAAACTAGTATTGTGTTTTAATGAACATTCATTGCTCGCAAAAGCTGCATTCGCTTATACTACTCACTTTATACAACCACAATCAGTGACAGACTTTAGTAATCAGTGCGTTTTCGTCTTTTGAATGAACGAATTTTTGCTGTTTTAAATTTGAGTAGTACTTAAGTAAAAATGATCACGTCGAAACGACGAGATTTCAGCTTATCAGAGAAAAAATCTCGGCCCTTTCTTAACAAACTTCTAAAACAACCAAAGGAAATCGGGGGTTCCTTTCTCAGAATGATAACCAAAGTTTAAAATAAATTCTAATGTTTATGTACCTTCATCTACCAGCATAATAAACACTGTCTTGTTCATGATTTTGCTTGGTTTCAAGTTTTACTGTCTTTGATAGTGGTTTTGGCTTATTATTATCAGTCGGTTAGTGTGATCAATTTGTCTGAGTCCCGAAGTGATCACATTAAGCGGCGTCCACTGTATTACATTGCACCAATCCAAGTTGATATACGTGTCCTTGCAAAAATGTTGGATATTGTTTCACTGTACTTTAGGTGCGGGGCAAGTTCTACCCTTCACTTTTTTACTTAATTTACCTTCCCGGGAGACCTACGGGATCTTTTTGTACTACAATAAAACCTGAACGTGCTCGCTGCGCTCGATTTTCAAACCTTGGGTTTTTTTTTTATTTAATTTACCTTCACAAGGACAACTTCGGATTTTTTTTTTAAATACAGTAAATCCTGTACGTGCTCGCTGCGCTCGCTTTCCAAACGTTAGTTTTCCTTTTGTTCAATTTACTTTGACAAAGTAATTTTCCGAGATATTTTTTATTAAATATAACCTGAATATGCTCGCTGAACTCGCTTTCCAAACTTAATTTTCTTTTTTTTTTTTTGTTCAATTTACCTTCACAGGGATAACTCAGGGAGATATTTTTTAATATAGTAAAACCTGCACGTGCTCGCTGCACTCGCTTTCCAAACCTTTGGCTTTTTTATTCAATTTAGCTTCACAAGTAGAATTTCGGAGATATTTTTTAATACAGTAAAACCTGAATGTGCTCGCTGAACTCGCTTTCCAAACTTAAATTTGTTTTGTTCCATTTACTTTCATAGGGATAACTTGGGGAGATATTTTTTAATATAGTAAAACCTTAACGTGCTCGCTGCACTCGCTTTCAAACCTTAGGTTTTTTTTACTCAATTTAGCTTCACAAGTAGAATTTCTGAGATATACAGTAAAACCTGAACGTGCTCGCTGCACTCGCTTTTCAAACCTTAGGTTTCTTTTATTTAATTTAACTTCACAAGGACAACTTCGGAAATTTTTTTTTAATACAGTAAATCCTGAACGTGCTCGCTGCGCTCGCTTTCCAAACGTTAGTTTTCCTTTTGTTCAATTTATTTTGACAAGGTTATTTTCGGAGATATTTTTTATTAAATATAACCTAAATGTGCTCGCTGAACTCGCTTTCCAAACTTAATTTTTTTTTATTCAATTTACCTTCACAGGGATAACTTAGGGAGATATTTTTTAATATAGTAAAACCTGAACGTGCTCGCTGCACTCTCTTTCCAAACCTTTGTTTTTTTTTATTCAATTTAGCTTCACAAGTAGAATTTCGGAGATATTTTTTAATACAGTAAAACCTGAACGTGCTCGCTGCACTCGCTTTCCAAACCTTTGGCTTTTTTATTCAATTTAGCTTCACAAGTAGAATTTCGGAGATATTTTTTAATACAGTAAAACCTGAACGTGCTCGCTGCACTCTCTTTCCAAACCTTTGGTTTTTTTTATTCAATTTAGCTTCACAAGTAGAATTTCGAAGATATTTTTTAATACAGTAAAACCTGAATGTGCTCGCTGAACTCGCTTTCCAAACTTAAATTTTTTTTGTTCCATTTACTTTCATAGGGATAACTTAGGGAGATATTTTTTAATATAGTAAAACCTTTACGTGCTCGCTGCACTCGCTTTCAAACCTTAGGTTTTTTTACTCAATTTAGCTTCACAAGTAGAATTTCTGAGATATACAGTAAAACCTGAACGTGCTCGCTGCACTCGCTTTTCAAACCTTAGGTTTTTTTATTCAATTTAGCTTCACAAGTAGAATTTCTGAGATATACAGTAAAACCTGAACGTGCTCGCTGCACTCGCTTTTCAAACCTTCGGTTTCTTTTATTTAATTTAACTTCACAAGGACAACTTCGGAATTTTTTTTTTAATACAGTAAATCCTGAACGTGCTCGCTGCGCTCGCTTTCCAAACGTTAGTTTTCCTTTTGTTCATTTTATTTTGACAAGGTTATTTTCGGAGATATTTTTTATTAAATATAACCTGAATGTACTCGCTGAACTCGCTTTCCAAACTTAATTTTTTTTTTGTTCAATTTACCTTCACAGGGATAACTTAGGGAGATATTTTTTAATATAGTAAAACCTGAACGTGCTCGCTGCACTCGCTTTTCAAACCTTTGGGTTTTTTTATTCAATTTAGCTTCACAAGTAGAATTTCGGAGATATTTTTTAATACAGTAAAACCTGATCGTGCTCGCTGCACTCGCTTTCCAAACGTTTGGTTTTTTTATTCAATTTAGCTTCACAAGTAGAATTTCGGAGATATTTTTTAATACAGTAAAACCTGAATGTGCTCGCTGAACTCGCTTTCAAAACTTACATTTTTTTTGTTCCATTTACTTTCATAGGGATAACTTAGGGAGATATTTTTTAATATAGTAAAACCTTAACGTGCTCGCTGCACTCGCTTTCAAACCTTAGGTTTTTTTTACTCAATTTAGCTTCACAAGTAGAATTTCTGAGATACACAGTAAAACCTGAACGTGCTCGCTGCACTCGCTTTTCAAACCTTAGGTTTTTTTATTCAATTTAGCTTCACAAGTAGAATTTCTGAGATATACAGTAAAACCTGAACGTGCTCGCTGCACTCGCTTTTCAAACCTTCGGTTTCTTTTATTTAATTTAACTTCACAAGGACAACTTCGGAATTTTTTTTTTTAATACAGTAAATCCTGAACGTGCTCGCTGCGCTCGCTTTCCAAACGTTAGTTTTCCTTTTGTTCATTTTATTTGGACAAGGTTATTTTCGGAGATATTTTTTATTAAATATAACCTGAATGTACTCGCTGAACTCGCTTTCCAAACTTAATTTTTTTTTTGTTCAATGTACCTTCACAGGGATAACTTAGGGAGATATTTTTTAATACAGTAAAACCTGAACGTGCTCGCTGCACTCGCTTTCCAACCAAACCTTTGGTTTTTTTACTCAATTTAGCTTCACAAGTAGAATTTCGGAGATATTTTTTAATCCAGTAAAACCTGAATGTACTCGCTGCACTCGCTTTTCAAACCTTAGGTCTTTTTTATTTAATTTACCTTCACAAGGACAACTTCGGAATTTTTTTTAATACAGTAAATCCTGAACGTGCTCGCTGCGCTCGCTTTCCAAACGTTAGTTTTCTTTTTGTTCAATTTACTTTGTCAAGGTTATTTTCGGAAATATTTTTTATTAAATATAACCTAAATGTGCTCGCTGAACTCGCTTTCCAAACTTAATTTTTTTTTGTTCAATTTACCTTCACAGAGATAACTTAGGGAGATATTTTTTAATACAGTAAAATCTGAACGTGTTCGCTGCACTCGCTTTCCAAACCTTCGGTTTTTTTACTCAATTTAGCTTCACAAGTAGAATTTCGGAGATATTTTTTAATCCAGTAAAACCTGAATGTACTCGCTGCACTCGCTTTTCAAACCTTAGGTCTTTTTTATTTAATTTACCTTCACAAGGACAACTTCGGATTTTTTTTTAATACAGTAAATCCTGAACGTGCTCGCTGCGCTCGCTTTCCAAACGTTAGTTTTCTTTTTGTTCAATTTACTTTGTCAAGGTTATTTTCGGAAATATTTTTTATTAAATATAACCTAAATGTGCTCGCTGAACTCGCTTTCCAAACTTAATTTTTTTTGTTCAATTTACCTTCACAGAGATAACTTAGGGAGATATTTTTTAATACAGTAAAATCTGAACGTGTTCGCTGCACTCGCTTTCCAAACCTTTGGTTTTTTTATTCAATTTAGCTTCACAAATAGAATTGCGGAGATATTTTTTAATACAGTAAAACCTGAATGTGTTCGCTGCACTCGCTTTTCAAACCTTAGGTTTTTTTTTATTTAATTTACCTTCACAAGGACAACTTCGGTTTTTTTTTTTTTAATACAGTAAATCCTGAACATGCTCGCTGCGCTCGCTTTCCAAACGTTAGTTTTCCTTTTATTCAATTTACTTTGACAAGGTTATTTTCGGAAATATTTTTTATTAAATATAACCTGAATGTGCTCGCTGAACTCGCTTTCCAAACGTAAAATTTTTTTTTGTTCAATTTACCTTCACAGGGATAACTTAGGGAGATATTTTTTAATACAGTAAAACCTGAACGTGCTCACTGCGCTCGCTTTCCAAACCTTTGGTTTTTTTACTCAATTTAGCTTCACAAGTATATTTTCGGAGATATTTTTTATTAAAAATATCTCCGAAAATATACTGTATTCAGTAAAACCTGAATGTGCTCGCTGCACTCGCTTTTCAAACCTTAGGTTTCTTTTATTCAATTTAACTTTACAGGAACAACTTCGGAGATATATATTTTTTAATACAGTAAAACCTAAACATTCTCGCTGCGCTCGCTTTCATAGCTCCACATTTTTTTAACTTTATTAACTTCTCGAAGGTATCTACCAACATTTTTAACTACAGTAAAACTTGAATGTGCTCGCTGCACTCGCTTTCCAAATCGTAGGTTTTACTTCCTGAGTGTAAGTATCATCCCCCACTAAAGAAATGATGACGTCACCTCAAAATATTGCTGAATAAATCCTATTTTAAATGTGCAAAATATGATGAGTGATTTATCACTGCATTAATATTTTTTAGATTTGCTTATACAGGGTGTCTGAAAAAAGTCAATGTCTGAGTCAATTTATTTTATTGATTAAATCAAGACTTACAAGACTGAATACTTTGAAATCTTGCAGACGTTTTAAAGTTGTTGTAAGTATGGTAAATTGTTAATCAAAATATATCTATAATAAAAAAAATGAGAACGGGTGGGTGGGCGGGGCTAAGGTTAGCTTTTCCTACAGAACCTTTTATAAGCAAGTAATAGTCCCGCCCACCGACCCCCTCATTCCAGTGATTACTCTTAATATTGTTCAGTCATTTACCAATGAATCTTATCTGTACAAGTAGTAGCCCCGCCCACCCGCCCTCTATTTTCTTAGAGGGTATATTTTTTGCCACAATCAGTCTTATCTTAGCAAGTAGTAGGCCCTCCCACCCACCCTTTATTTTCTTAGAGGATATGTCGTTTACCAAAATCAATCTTATCTTAGCAGATACTAGCCCCGCCCACACACACTGTTTTCAATATAACGATTTTATCTCTCTTCAATTGAGATCCACCTTTTATTCGGGCTAGACAAATCACTAAAATTGAGGGCGGGTTGAACGATATGTAACTTTTGTTGTACTATTTATTTGCTATAACATTTATTTTTTACTTCTGAAGGGACAAAAAATGAGAGAACGGGTGGGTGGGCGGGGCTAATTTTAACTTTTTCATTCAGAATTTTTTATGAGCAAGCAATAGGCCCACCCACCCACCCCCTCTTCATACCAGTGATTACTCTTAACATTGTTCAGTCATTTACCAAAATCAATTTTATTTTAACAAATACTACCTACGCCCACCCACCCTCTATTTTCTTCTGTAATGTAAAAACTCAACTCTAAAATGCTGGATATATTTCATTTACTTTGAGTGCGAGGGAAGTCCTGTCGAAACAACTTTCGAACCATTTTTTATTACAGTAAAACGTACACTTTTGTACTAAAATTTACTTTCCCATTAGCATCCACGAGACATTTTTACTACAGTAAAACCTGAACGTGGTCGCTGTGCCCGCTTTAGTTTTTCTTTTGTTTAATTTATGTCGAAGTTTGTATAATTGAATAAAGACCAGCGAACAGTAAGATAAATGTATATTGCTAGTGACAAGTGTTAGATAAATAAGAATAATAAGAATGGAATAGTATATGACCGTGCGGTCGAGATAGTTGAATGTTAGTTACGAATTGAGAATTGTGAATTGAATGTGTATGAATGAGTTAAGAATTAAGAATGAATGCTACCCTGTGTTCCAAGGTGGGGGTGGCTCTGGCTCCCACCCTTACGGGTGGGGAGGGGTGAAACAGGTCCCCGCCAGAGGCTCTAACAATTTACCTTCACAAAAATATCTTCAGGGATATTCTTTATTATAATAAACTTGAAACGTGCTCATTGTGCTCCTTGTCTAAGCTTCACTTTTTTTTTACTTTAATTAAAAATGCATTAAAGCATAACCAACTAAACACTAGACAAGATGTTCAAAATTCCTGCATTGTGCATAGAAGTAAACTCGTAATGTTTCCAAATTTTAATCATTTTTTGTAAAAGTTAGGCATCAGTACTTGCTACGATAAAACTGATTTTGGCAAATGACATACTCTCTATGAAAAGAGAGGGTGGGTGGGCGGGGCTAGTACCTGCCACGATAAGAGTGATTTTGGCACATATCATAGCCTGTAAGAAAAGGAAGGGTGGGTGGGCGGGGTTAGTATGTGTTAAGACTAATTAACCCCGCCCACTCAGCCCGCCTGCTTTTCATCGATCCATTTTATTTGCCCCGAAAGAAAGATGGATCTTAAAATCCCAAAATTAACTCAGAAATAGGTCAGGTCACAATTTTTTAAAAATACAACGTCAAAGTCTCCCAAAATTGTTTTAAATAATTTACAAAAAAAATCTCCATGGGCTCTTATATATGGCGTATTAATATATCATGGGTATCCAAGAGTCTCCCGAATAAAAAAAAAACACTGTGGCACCCAAGATTTTTTCAAGTTCATCCAGCAACAAAACACCAGATTTCTTTAAATTTATCCGAAAATAAAACACCATTTGATTGTTACGAGCGCAGACACTCGGTACGCGGGATATTGGTAACGATTCTTTTTTTTTGTGCTAATACTGGTCGTTCCACAGTCCCTCTGGGTGCACGTTCTGGGGGAAGAAGCCCTGGTCCCGCAAGAAGAAGATCCTCTGGCAGTTGGGCACCCTCGTCGGCGCCCCCGTAGGCATCGCTCTAGTCGCCGGTATCACAGTTCCTGCAATGATAATCGGTAAGCCGATCCCCTTTTTCGATCCGCGTTTCTGATTTTCTCCCCGATCAGGTATCCCAGTGTGGGTAGGCAGGAAATTATACACCAGATACAAAACGGCGAACAAGCACAAGAGGAACGCCGCGATCGTCGGAGGCGTAATCGCTTCGGTAAGTAAACAACGTTCGATTATTTCGCCGTCCCCCGACCCCGCTTTTTTTTGGCGACGCAACGTGTTTTCCGTCTGCCAGAAGAAGGCACTCCAAACTAACTTCCGACACGGCGGTAGGCTTTATCGATCCACACATACGGCACACGAGGTGATTCAGGAAGACAAAGAGTGGATCTTGACCTACTGCTTGTTCGGAAAGAGGGTCGTAGTTTTACATGGAGATAATGCAGAATTAGAGCCGGGATTAGCGGCGAAAAGTTGCAAATTCGACCTAAAGGGATGCGAGATACGTAATCCGCTAACTCCCGGCGGATTCGGGGGTGCGTTTTTACATTTCGGCGGGGAGTATTGTGACGGTCGCGTTAATTTCAGGTGCGTAATTCGTCGACGGATCGATTTTATTTTATCCTGGAAATGAATTTAATCATCGGAATTGAATTTTTACTATGTATGACGCACCGACGCGTCTGGGGATATCATTTGACTTTAATATCGATTAAGAGCACTCCGACTTGATTGAATTAAGTTTAATACGGATGTGTGTCACGTTCGTAGGTGTTTAAAATTTCATTCGGTTTTTTTTTTTTTTGACGGAGCGACCTATCGATCTTAGTTTTTGTACTTTGTAGCTTCCTTTATCGTCGGACGGCGTTGTTTTAAATAAATGAGGAGGCTTCTTTCTTGTGGTATTATATGAAAGACGGATGATGAATGTGGACGTGAATAAATCAACAGATGCGTCAGGTTCGCCTTGCGTGAAAGCGCTCAAAACGTGTAATTCGACCCGAAAACAACACGCGTTAACGATTTTATCGTGGCGATCCGAAGGTGGGGGTTGTTTGTCCGTCGCGAAAACACCGACGATGAATATGTTTTGGTCGCAACACAAAGCCGTCCTTATTTAAATACTTTATTTGAAATTTTCAAAGCAGACATTTTCCACCGTAGAGACCAAAAAGTCGCACAGCAATACAAAATACACAAACCTTGTCGGCCACAAACCTCTCCTTAATCCTATAATTGATACAAACGTGTACGGAAGAACCTAAAAAACACTAATCAAAAAAATTGGCACGGAACCCATCTCGAAGCATAAATTTGTCGAAGCGCGCGTTATTTCCTCGCTACGTCGGCGTTGAGCAGACCTTCGTCGTGTAAGTCTTTGAGGAGGGCCAAAAGGCGCTCCTCCATTTGAGCGTTCCCGAGCGCCAGGTCCACCGAACCGATGCAGAGCAGCAGCGCCAGCAGCTGCGAACGCTGGTAGTCCTCGGACAGAAGCTTCCTGTTGTAGCCCAGCTCTTCGTCGACGTCCAACCCCAAACATCGGCACGTGTCGGTCAGGTTGTTCCAATACACGTCCAGCAGCTTCTCGGTATGCAGACGGCGCAGCTCCGCCGGGACCGAGCTGATCAGCAACAACGCCAAATCATTCGTAGCCCGACTGTACGTCACCATCTGCCAATCCAAGATCGCGCAAGTGCTCGACGTTTCGTCCTCGCGGAACATGAGGTTGTTGCACCAGAAGTCCGTGTGCGTGATGAGCGCCATCGGTTCCTCGGGCGCCAGCAAGTTCTCGATGATGTCTTTGGTGTGCGGGCGCAGCTCGTTGAGCGACGCGAGCACGTCCTCCAAGCCCGGCCGCCGCTCCAGGAACTGCGACAGCTGCGGCAACCCGCGCTCGACTAGCTGCTGGTACGAGTCGGAGGCGCGCGTGGTCTGAAACAGGAACGGGTAGCGCTCCTCGAGAGGTTTACCCTCCTTGATCTTCAGCGCCAAGCTGAGGCCGTGTATCCGCGCGATGGCATCGACGGCGGCCGTGGTCTGGCGGAGGGTGAGGCCGCGCGAGAAGTCGGCGCTGGTGTAACCAGAAGGTTTGATGTTCTCGAGGACGAGGACGGATTCGGGAGGGCTCGGTTCCGGCGGGTCGGTGCTTCCAGCGGAGTAGTGGGCGTAGTAGCACTTGGGGATGGGCAGGCGGATGTCCGACGGGGCGTCGGCCGGGAGGGTGCGGGATTTGAAGGATTCCAAGTCGGGGACGACCTGAAAAACAAAGCGTGATTCGGGGGCGATACAAGTGAATAGAGACAATTATTTAGGCGGCGGCGGCGGAAACCGTGACCGGTTGCAAGCACGCGGCGGCAATCAAAGATAGCTTTGTGATTGTTCGGAACTACTAAAACGCCGCTTTTGGCCGGGAACGCTCAAAACAACATTTGTAGTTTAAAATCGGAATGTAACGACACCCTATTCCTAGTAATTTCCGAGATAGAGGCCGTTTGGTGCCGTGACCAGTATTCCTAAAAAGTGGATCTCTAACTGCTAAACCGTCAGTCCTAGTCTAAAACCCCACTTACGACATAGTTTCCCTTGAAAATCTGAATCTAACACCACCGGTCCCACCCCTGTACTCCTCGTAGTTTCCAAGATATAGCCGGTTGGTGCCGTGACCAGTACTCTTATTGTATGTGATAGTAGGTCGTGGTTGTGCCAAATTTTAAAAATGGGTCTCTTGTGAGTAGGAAAGACGATTTATGCTTGAATTTTTCAAACTAACCCGATCGATTACAGTTATACAATAATTATTAAACGGTCAGTCCTACGCCGAAAACCCCTTGACGACATTTTCTCCCCTTGAAAATCTGAATCTAGCGCCACCGGTCCCCTCATAGTTTCCGACATAGAGTTCATTTGGTGCCGTGACCAGGATTCTTAACCGAAATTGTAGGTCGTGTTTGCGCCAAATTTTAAAACGACATTTTTTCCCCTTGAAAATCTTAATCTAACGCCACTGGTCGCACCCTTCTGCTCCTTGTGGTTTCCGAGATCGAGCTTTGGTGCCGTGACCACGATTCCCGTTCTAACCGTAAATGAAATTGTACGCGTCTACGAGGCCGTTCCCCAGGTCCCCAAGAAATCAAAAGCCCCTTACTTGCGTGTAGAACTTGATCTCGCGCAGATCGAACTGCGCCTCCGTGACGAAGAACCTGCTGAACGGGTCCTGGGGCAGCAGCTTGATGATGAAGCTCAGGTTGTGCGTTTCGGTGTCGTCCTTCACGCAGTACTTGACGGCGACGGCGAGGATGTCGCTGAGGACGCTCTCGCCGGCGTCGCAGCCCGGCTTGACCGTGAAGTCGACGACGGCGATGGTGGCGGCGTCGGCCAGGTCCTTGTGGTGGTGTCGGAGCACCGCCTGCAGCCACTCTTCGGTGACGGGCCAGTCGGCGGCGCTGCTCGTCTCTTCTTCGCTCTCGGACATGGCGCGGCCGTCTATGGCATGGTCGAGGTGCGACTGAAGCGAAGGCGGCTGTGCGACGGCGGCGGCGGCAAGGGCGTGGGCGGGATCGATCGGCGGAGGACGAGTGGTGGGAAGTTTGATTGGCCGGATGTGCGTGCGTGATGATTGCGTTGTCGGGGGGATGGGGCGACGATTCGGGTAATTATGTAACGTCAGAAGCGGGATGTATTTTTGTTGTTGTTTCAGGTGATGATCTCGCCGATCCTGGCCGGGCTGGCCGTGGGGATCGGGGTGCCGATTTTGCTGTTTTACGTTTACGGCGTCGTGCCGGTGTCGCTCTGTCGGAGCGGCGGCTGCGGCGGCGCCTCGTCTTCCGACGACTCGGCGATCGTGACGAACCGCGCCGGCGATACCTCCTCGATAGACGCGGTCAGCGCCAAGATGGCCAACCCTTCCATTGACGAGGCGTCGCTGTCGCTGGCGAGCGGCAGCCAGGTCTTGCGCGAGATGGACCGCGAGTCTTCCAGCACGGTGGCGTTGGCGGGGAGCGTGGGGGGGCCGGCGAGCCACAGGTTGGAGGTGCAGGCGGACTTGGCCTCGGCGCAGCGCTTCAGCATCAGCAGCCTGTCGGAGTCGGCGGGGGACGACGGGGGGGCTTCCACGAGGGCTCTGGCGGGCTCCATGCTGAACTACAAGGTGAGTCGCGACCTGGTGCCGCGTCAATGCACTCGATGTGACCGGCGTTGTTGCAGACGAACGGCAGCGACTCCTGCAGCTGCGTGACGACGGAGGACTGCGCCTCGGAGCGCGTGCGGTTCGACGACAACGTCAGCTTCATCGCGTCGTCGCAGGCGGAGAAGACGAGCATCGGCAGCAGCTGCAGCTTCAGGGCGAGATGTACAACGACGAAGCCGAGTCTGGCGAGGTCGGACCGGGTTTCGGACACTTTGAGCAACGACAGTATCTATATTGATATGGCAGCCGAAGACAAACCTCGCAAGTCTCAAGCGGCCATCTTGCGCAGCCAGTTCTTCCAGGACGGGAAGAGCGGCGACGATAAGACGATCATCGAAGTCTCCAACGAGACGTTGGACAAACAAGCGCAAGGGGACGCCGGGAACGAACTCAAGGTCAAGGTGGCGGCCTTCGAGACTTCCAAGTTATAGTCAAGTTCCGGATAAGACTGATGTGCATACGGTTAATTTATTTTGTTTTATTGGCTTAATTGTATGTTGCAAGCTATTGTATTATCGGTTTTTTATTTTTTCCGTCTACGTGGGATTTAAAGGATATATAATTCGTATTTTTAATGTATGTACATAAGGATGAATGTAAATAGCTAAGTTCTTGAAGTTTGTGTTCAGATATGGATATTATTGCCTTGTCTTGAAAAAAAAAACAAAAACATACTAAACGAAACGTAGGACACCTTCGAACCGAATTTTTCAACTGAAACGTACGAATAAATTAGTTTTTCGCGTCAAGACCACTTTCATTTGGTTTTTGTACGATTCGGCCCGCGGTGTGCCACGTTTTCCATGTACAAGTTGAAATAAAGCATTACGCAGACGGTCGTTTTTTATGTGCTCGTGTGAGGAAGAGGGGAACCGCCAGCAACAATTCTCCGTTCACCGGACAAAAACTACGTCAGTACTCATTGTTCTTTACTCGCTACCAGTACGTAATATATCAATAAAGTCTAAAAACAATATACTGTCAAATGCAAGATATGTACCTAGACACAGATTCTTAAAAGCTGCATATATGTATATATACCATAAAATCTATATTTCATATAATCTCTTCTTGAGCATCTACGTCCTCCTTGTTCTGCCTCGTGTTGTACCTCTTGACCACCTCGGGCTTGCTGTGCACCATCCTCATGTGCGAGTTGAAGCTGCTCTTCCACTTGGTGTCGAACAGACACACTGAACACTTGTAGATCCGCACGTTCTTCGAATTCGAGTGGACCCTCAGGTGCGACTTGAGACTCTCTCTCCACTTGGTGGTGAATCCGCACTTGCCGCACTTGTACGTCTGCGCCTCCTCCTGGCAGTGCATCTCGCGCATGTGTTTGGTCAAGAAGTACCTCGACTCGCCCTCGAACTCGCATTTGGCACACTTGTAAATCTGCGTGGAGTTATGCCGCTCCACGTGCTCTTTAAAATACTGCCGCCATATCGTGATGAACGAACAAATCGTACACCTGTAGACTTTGACCGAGTCGGGGTTGGTGTGCTTCTTGACGTGTTCGCGAAAATACTGCTTCCATTTCGTTTTGAACTTGCAGCTCTTGCAGCGGAAGACTTTGTCGGGGCTGCTGTGGAGCTTGACGTGCTCGCGGTAGCTCTGGCGCCAAGTCGTGGTGAATTCGCAGTCGTCGCACGAGTACTGCTTGAGTAGTTCCGGGGATTGGTGCTTCTTGACGTGCTCTTTGAAGTACTGGCGCCACTTGGTGACGAACTCGCACTCCGGGCACTTGTAAATCGGGATCAAATCGGGCGAGTCGTGCTTTTTGACGTGTTCTTTGAAGTACTGCTTCCACTTGGTTTGGAATTGACATTGCTGGCAGGTGTAGGTCTCGAGGTCGTCGCCGCCGCTGTGGAGTTTGACGTGACGCTTGAGATAGGTCTTGCTCCGGCTCTCGAAGGGACACTCGGGACACTTGTGCATCTTCACGTTCTCCGGCGGGTTGTGTATTGACATGTGCCCGTTCAAGCTATTCTTCCACTTCGTCTTGAACGTGCAGATATTGCACTGGTACAAAGGTACGATTTTGGACTCTCCGTGGACCGCTCGATGCCCGATCAAGCTATTCTTCCACTTGGTCTCGAATGGACACTCGGGACACTTGTAGCAAGCATCCGAGTCGTGCAGCTTGACGTGTCGCTTCAAGTACTGCTTCCACTTGGTCTTGAACACGCACTCCGAACACTGGTAGTACTCCACCTTATCCGTGATGTCGTGGCACTTCTTCAGATGATTCTTCAGGACGTACTTGCTCTCCGCCTCGAAGATGCACGCCGAACACTTCCACACCCTCACCTTCTTCGGACTGCTGTGCCTCTTCACGTGCTCCTTGAAGTACTGCTTCCACCGCGTCACGAACTGGCACTCCGCACACGTGTACGTCTTCACCGTGTGCGGCGCCGAATGAATCTTCATGTGCTCCTTCAAGTACTGCTTCCACTTGGTCTGGAAGCTGCACTCGGAGCACTTGTGCTTCTGTAAACTCTCGGGCAGGTGACTCTTGAGGTGCCGATTGAGGTACTGCTTCCAGTTGCTCTCGAACGTGCACTTGCCGCACTTGTAGATTTTGAGATTGGTGTCCTTCACCGAGTGGATGGACTGGTGCATCTTCAGACTCGTCTTCCATTTGGTCTGGAAGCTGCATTCGGTGCACTTGTACATGTCGAGCAGCTCGGGAGTGCTGTGGATGCGCACGTGCTTAGCGAGGTAGTTCTTCCACTTGGTCTTGTAGGAGCACTGCTTGCACTTGTACAGCTTGACGAACTCGGCGGCGCTGTGGGTCTTCATGTGGCCCCGAAGACTGTTCTTCCACTTGGTACGGAAGGAGCACTCGGAGCAGGTGAAGGTCTTGGAGGGGTCCGGCGGCTCGGGCTTCACGACAGGCAAGGGGGAGGGCGGGGCGGGGGGCGGAGAGTACCTGCAAACGAGCGAACTGTGAGCGGCGCGGGAAATTCAAACGCTCGAATGGGATTGGCCGCTGCGGCGGCGCGCTTTTTGAACGACCGCAGCGGCCAATCGGATCGCGCTTGGAGGGGGAAAAATGCAAAGAAAGGACCCGAATAGGACGGACAAACCAAAGAAACCACAAACGAAAACAATTTAAGATAAAATGAAAAAGATAAAAAAAATACGTTTATCACACAATTAGTTGTCTTTTTCATTATTCTTCGGATTCTAAACTACAAACACTCGCTATCTAATCTAACATTCAATAAACATAACAAGTCCCTTATCGAAACCAAAACAAACAAATCTGGAGAAAATAGTCCGGATTTTCTCGCTCTGTTGTTGTCACGTTTATCCACAAACCACCACCTCCGGGCGCCCCCACACCCCCAAATCCCTCTAACCCTCTACTCCACTCCAACAAAAAAATACCTTTCGTAGTGAATACTACTGTATTCCTCCGTTTCATTCTTGATTTCCACCTTGACGATGTCATACTCCGGGTGTTCCTCCTCGCACTCGATCTCCACATCGCTCGTTTGCTCCGTCTTCACAAAAACATTATTGTAATCGAAATTTTCTACATTTTCTTTACTCATTTTTATTTATTTCTTCAGCTGTCAACACTCCCAGTATCCTACTTATTCGCACATTTGTTACACACCCCGCTGCTCCTCCGCTTCGTCAGTTCCTTTATTTTCGTACTTTTCTTCATCCATCACAACATTTTACCGATTGTATTTTTCCCTTTTTTATTAATCTTGTTTATTAAAAAATAAATAAACCGCAGCGCCATCTCTGCGCCGGGATTGGTCGAGCGGGGGCGCCAAGTTTGAATGTGGGTGCATTCGAACAAAAACAATCAACTTTTTTTGAGTATGTAGTACTCCGGGGATACACTTATAGCACCAGAAGTCACTTTAATTGTGAATTTGGCGAAAATAATCCGAATTGGCGATTCTATCAATACTAGTGCGTTTATAGGTTAGGTGAAAGTATGCGTGTCGCGTTATGCAACCAACAATACACGCTCTCGTGCCTATTCTATAATAAGAATGACATTAGTCGATATAACCTCACTTTTACAAACAATTACGAAATCACCGAAGAACAATTTCATTTAAACACAAAACAGTCAATTATCAGTCAAAATGAACGTCTCCCGGTTGTGTTTAACCCTACGGGCTATAAAGGTAACTCCCACACCAAATTTTTTTACCTAACCTCAAATTGTAGCCCCCTTACTGCCACCCGAACTACGTGAAATTGGCTACTTGCTACCACCAGAGGCGCCCCATTTCCAACGTAGAAGCCAAACACTCACAAAAAGACGACTCTCTAGTTAAGAAAATAGTGAAAAAGATACCTTTTTTTAACCCCTCTAAAACGGTAATGTCGCCCCCTTTTTTCCGACGGAGTTTCAGTTAAAGTAACCCCTTGTAGCAAATAATGGCCTCGGGCTACTTTCTCTACGAAAGCGTGGCCGACAAAGTCAACTATTTGGACTTTTTCCAAGAACTGGACCTCCCTGACACGTTTTATTCGTGGTTTGTGGTCACGGAGCTCCACATTTGGATGATTTCGGCACGGGCTATGGCGGAGGGTGATGATGGGAGGTTGTTGCGGAACTATCTAGTGGAAGCTTTGTGGAATGACGTTGGACAACGAATAAAGAGGCTTGGAGGGGTTGTTAGTTGCTTTGGGGCGACTTTAAATAACGTGGTTACTTGTAGGAGAGTAATCCGGCGGCTGCACGTGAACAAGTAACCCAGTTATCGGAACAACTGCAAGCTGCTCTTATAGCGTACGACGAGGGGCTGCAGGGGGACGATATCGTGCTAGCGGGGGCTTTGTGGAGGCGCTTTTATCAACAAGGAGACGTCGAAATTACGTACCTAGACATGCTGGTGCGATACATCCGAAAACAGGTTTTTTTCCCATGCGTGGTGACGCTTTCTCTACTATAGTGTTGTAGATGCGGTTACTGGATCACCTATCAGGGGAAAACCTCCAAGACACTAAAAATATAAAGTGGATTCCTTTGAAACAACACTAAGTTTGAAGACTTTTATTAATAAATTGTTCATTGTTTGTGGTGAGTCTTCGTCATTTGTTGGCACCGAAGCATCTCCAGAGTTTCCACTGCGGTGATTCCGCACACCAATTTTTTCATACACAAGTCGTCGCAGCCGGGTTTGACATGAGGGGCACTGTCACGACCTTGAAACCTATACAAAAAAAATCAAACTTTTTTTTAACAAGTGGGGGAAATACCGAAAATATTGTTGTGCCAACGTCTTGTTTTTCCCCATCCTTGCCACCAAATCCCCTAGAGCCTCGTTAGAGGTATTTTTCAACCCATAGTCACTCTTGAACGAGTACAATTTAAACCACTGCGGCGGATTTTTCCTATCTAAGTTGGCTTTGGTCAGATTGTACGTGTAATGATCGTAATCTAGCACCCTCTGAAAGTCTGGCGTTATTGGCGACCAATCACATCGTCGTTCTTACGTAAGTGGCGGGGTCGACGTCATACGTGCGGTAGTTGGGGTTGAAACCCACGAACGTCGTAAAGCTGCCGGCATTAAAGGCCACATTGATCACTTTGGTTGTGTTGACATCACGGAAGAGGCGGAGCTCGTCTAAGTGGGTGTGGCCGTTAAATTGCGCCGCTATGATTGGTGCAAACCTCTGCACGATCTGTCGGAATTGGTTGCTCCATCGTTGGTTACACAACAACTCTCCTGGAGGAATATGGGACAAAATATGGACAATTTCGCCGTTTTTCTCCGCTTTTGTTAGAGTCGCGGTGAGCCAATTGAGCTGCCCGTAGGGGTCGTGGTCATCGTAGATCAGCCATCTTGGAAACATAATCATGTGGTTTGAAATGAGATTAAATACTTACAAGTTGCTAACGAAACACACGTTGGAATTGAGGGCGATTATTCGGAATTTGGGGCGCACTAAGACGGTGTAGTAGCCTCCAGTTTTGATATCGCTGACTGTGCTGTTGGGTAGCCACCGGGCCCATTCTGATGCCACTAAATCGAACATCCACTGGGTGGAAATCGCCGCAGTTACATTCCGCTCCGACCAGCTACTTAGTATTAGTTTCGCCGGAATTGACACCTCACTATACTTACAAGTCGGTGGGATGCGGTTCGTGGTTGCCCAAAATGGCAAAAACTGTAGTATTGTCAAATGTGTCCTTGAAATGCTGAAACAATTTTTTGAGGGCCTTCGTGTTGTCGTCCTTGTTAGTAGCCCACGATCTATGACTAATAATATCGCCGGTGTAGTACACAAGGTCGTACGTTTCCTAATAATAATAATAATACTATTTTGTGTTTCAAGGTTGTTTTTTTTACGTTAAGATTCGTCAAGTAGGCCGTAAAGTTGGTGACTGAGTGCCACGGAATGTCACACACGTGGTAGTCGCCCCAGAAGCCGGCCTCAGACGCGGGCGTGGGGGCGGGGCCATTGCCCTTCTGGCAACAGAGCGGCAAATCACAGGCCGCGTTGCTCCCGGGCTCGTAGAGGGGGTCGTAGTGGAAGTCCGTGAGGTGGAGAATCTTCAAAGGGGCGGCGCTTGCGTGATGACGATGCTGAAACAACCAGTCACAAAGCGCCACGTCAACAATCACACGTACCTCGTGCCGGTGGGTGTGTCTTAGCTTCGCCGGTATGGGGACCGTCCACGGGTTGGCGTTGGGGTCCACGCAGCCCTTAGACTGGAAATAAATCCCGCAGATGCGGCTCGCCGCCAATTCTTTTCGATTATCCATAATGTACAGAGCCGTATCCTAAAAATAAAATGTTTTTCATGGGGTATTGGGTATAAGGGACGTACTATCTCGATGTTGATGTAGCCGGCGCAGGCTACGGGCCCCCAATCCGTGAAAACCCGGCACAGTTTGTTGAAAAAGTCCACCATAGAGTCTTTGCTGGCGCCCACTCGACGGTACGCCAGGATTTGGGAGAACACGAGGTCGCATGTTTGGCAGAGGACGTCGTCTGCGAGCTTTTTGTCGCCGATTTTGAGCACTTGTTTGACCAGAGAGGCGAGTTTGTGCGGGGATTTGCCCAGTCTGACGAAATCGACTTCGTTGGAGATGATTCCGGGGAGATCTGGACTGAGTTTAGCAACGTGGGGTCACCAGTTTGGGGCTTACCTTGGAGTGGGTGTGTCGCGAAAATCGTGGATATTGAAAGGGCGATTACCAAGAAGGGTAGGACGTGCATTTTGGACACGAACTGTTCGTCGAAACAGTGAAAGAACTTTGACTTTTCGACTGTAATCGGGTTAATGTCACAGGGCAACTTGATACCATTTATTTGTTATTTATTACCACGAAACAACAATCTTTTTATAGTTAATTGTAAATGTATTTAACATGATAACATTTTTCGTGGTTAATTATATATTTAACAACATGATAACAGTTTTTGTTATTCGTCGGCCATTTCGACGTCGTCTATGACCAAGTCGTCGAGCATTTCCGCCAAGGTTATTCTCGGAATGGTCTCGTCGGTTTCGTCGGTGGAGTCAACGGGGATTTGTTTGCTGTTGTCTTTGAAGATGTTGATGTTTTGTCGTAGGTCTGGGTCTTCTTCTAAGTCGTCTAAGAACTCGTTGTAGTCTCTGAAAAGTGTACGTTTTTTTGTAAACTGTGGATTTTGTTTGGTGTTTATTTTTTTACCTGGTGTCTGTGATCAGGCCGTTAGCTTCTTCTGTCAGATGTTTCAGTTTCCACATTCTTCGCTTCTTCCGTTCGCTCTTGTCGTAGTATTTCTTCACGAGAACTACGTCTGGGATGTTGTTTCTCTCCAGTTTATCAAAGTTGGCATCGTTGATGTTGCTGTCTTCTAAGTTATAGCTGGAAAATTGTAAACTCAATTATCACGGTTACTTGAATAGCTATCATGACGGCGACTTCAGATTTGTAATTATCGGAAAATTGTTTTACAAGATGGCACGAATTCCCGGTTTATTCGAGTCACTTTAAGCATCTTTCCGGAAAATTTATGAAAATTGTAAACTCGATTTTCACATTTATTTAAATATACATCGTGATGCCTACTTCGGATTCGTAATTAGTGGAAAATAACTTACATAATCGCACCATTTCCCGATTTATTTGAGTTAATTTAACCATTTTTCCAGAAAAGTTATGCAAATTGTAAACTCGATTTTCACGGTTATTGGAAGGCTATCTGAGGACGACCTCGGATTCGTAATTAGTAGAAGATTATGACACCAATTCTCGACAGATTGGAGCCATTTTTACCATTCATTCGGAAAATTTTTGGAAATTGTAAACTCGATTTTCAGGCTTATTTAAACAAATATCGTAACGCCTAATTCGGATTCTTAATTAGGCGAAAATTATTTACATGATGGCACCAATTCTCGATTTATTTGTGTCACATTTAACATTTTTCCGGAAATTTTCTGAAAATTGTAAACTCGATTTTCACGGTTATTCGAAAGGCTAAAATGCGGAGGACCTCGGATTTATAATTAGCAGAAAATTATCAACAATATCACACCAAGTCCCGATAGGTTGAAGTTATTTTCACTATTTTTTCGGAAAATTTTTCAAATTGTAAACTCGATTATCAAGTTTACTTAAATATAAATGGTGATGCCTATTTTGGATTCGTAATTAGTTGAAAATAATTTACATGAAGGCATCATTTCCCGAGTTATTTGAGTTACTTTAACCGTTTTTCCGGATTTCTGAAAATTGTAAACTCGATTTTTTTTCGGACGGCTATCTGAGGACGACCTCGGATTCGTAGGTAATAGAAGATTATCTACATGCCACAAATTCCCGATAGTTCGGAGATATTTTGATCATTTTTTCTGGAAATTTCTCAAATTGTAAACTCAATTTTCACGTTTACTTAAACGGATATTTGTGATGCCAACTTCGGATTCTTAATTAACGGAAAATTATTTAAAATATGACACAAATTCTCAAACGATTGGAGCCAGTTTCACAAATTTTTAAAAACTTTTTGAAAATTGTAAAGTCAATTTTCACGCTAATCTGAATAGCTATTGTGACAGCGACTTCAGATTCGTGATTAGTGGAAGACATGATGTAACCAATTCCTGGTTTATTTGAGCCACATTAACCATTTTTCCGGAAAATTTTCGAAAATTGTAAATTCGATTTTCACGTTTATTTGAAAGGCTATCATGAGGACGACCTCAGATTCGTAGTTCGTAGAAGATTTCCAACATGAAACAAATTCCCTATAGATCGGAACAATTTTTACTATTTTTCGCAGAAAATTTCTTGTATTGTAAACTCGATTTTCACGGTTATTCGAAACGCTAAAATGCGGAGGACCTCGGATTTATAATTAGCAGAAAATTATCAACAATATGACACCAATTCCCGATAGATTGGAGTTATTTTCACTATTTTTTCGGAAAATGTTTCAAATTGTAAACTCGATTTTCACGTTTATTTAAATAGAAATGATGAAGTCTATTTCAGATTGGTAATCAGTTGAAAATAATTTACATGATGGCATCATTTCCCGAGTTATTTGAGTTACTTTAACCGTTTTTCCGGAAAATTTCTGAAAATTGTAAACTCGATTTTTACAGTTATTTGGAAGGCTATCTGAGGACGACCTCGGAATCGTAGGTAATAGAAGATTATCTACATGCCACAAATTCCCGATAGTTCGTAGATATTTTGCTCCTTTTTTCTGGAAATTTCTCAAATTGTAAACTCAATTTTCACGTTTACTTAAACAGATATTTGTAATGCCAACTTCAGATTCTTAATTAACGGAAAATTATTTAAAATATGACACAAATTCTCAAACGATTGAAGCTACTTTCACAAATTTTTAAAAACTTTTTGAAAATTGTAAACTCAATTTTCACGCTAATCTGAATAGCTATTGTGGCAATGACTTCAGATTCGGGATTAATGGAAGTTTATTTACATGATGTGACCAATTCCGGGTTTATTTGAGTCACATTAACTATTTTTCCGGAAAATTTTCGAAAGTTGTAAATTCGATTTTCACGTTTATTTGAAAGGCTATCTGAGGACGACCTCCGATTCGTAGTTAGTAGAAGATTACCAACATGAAACAAATTCCCTATAGATCGGAACAATTTTTACCATTTTTTTCAGAAAATTTCTCGTATTGTAAACTCGATTTTCACGGTTATTCGAAAGGCTAAAATGCAGAGGACCTCGCATTTATTATTAGCAGAAAATTATCAACAATATGACACCAATTCCCGATAGATTGGAGTCATTTTCACTATTTTGTCGGAAAATTTTTCAAATTGTAAACTCGATTTTCACGTTTATTTAAATAGAAATGGTGAAGTCTATTTCGGATTCGTAATTACTGGAAAATAATTTGCATGAAGGCATCGCTTTCCGAGTTATTTGAGTTACTTTAACCGTTTTTCCGGAAAATTTCTGAAAATTGTAAACTCGATTTTCACGGTTATTTGGAAGGCTATCTGAGGACGACCTCGGATTCATAGGTAATAGAAGATTATTTACATGACATAAATTCCCGATATTTCGGAGAGATTTTGATCATTTCTTCGGGAAATTTCTCAAATTGTAAACTCAATTTTCACGTTTACTTAAACAGATATTTGTGATGCCAACTTCGGATTCTTAATTTACGGAAAATTATTTAAAATATGACACAAATTCTCAAACGATTGAAGCTACTTTCACAAATTTTTAAAAACTTTTTGAAAATTGTAAACTCAATTTTCACGTTAATCTGAATAGCTATTGTGACAGCGACTTCAGATTCGTGATTAGTGGACGATTATTTACATGATGTAACCAATTCCCGATTTATTTGAGCCACATTAACCATTTTTCCGGAAAATTTTCGAAAATTGTAAACTCGATTTTCACGTTTATTTGAAAGGCTATCATGAGGACGACCTCAGATTCGTGGTTAGTAGAAGATTACCAACATGAAACAAATTCCCTATAGATCGGAACAATTTTTACCATTTTTTTCAGAAAATTTCTCGTATTGTAAACTCGATTTTCACGGTTATTCGAAAAGCTAAAATGCAGAGGACCTCGAATTTATGATTAGCAGAAAATTATCAACAATATGACACCAATTCCCGATAGATTGGAGTCATTTTCACTATTTTGTCGGAAAATTTTTCAAATTGTAAACTCGACTTTCACGTTTATTTAAATAAAAAAAGTGAAGTCTATTTCGGATTTGTAATCAGTTGAAAATAATTTATATGATGGCATCACTTCCCGAGTTATTTGAGTTACTTTAACAGTTTTTCCGGAAAATTTCTGAAAATTGTAAATTCGATTTTCACGGTTATTTGGAAGGCTGTCTGAGGACGACCTCGGATTCGTAGGTAATAGAAGAATATCTACATGCCACAAATTCCCGATGGTTCGGATTTTTCTGTAAATTTCTTAAGTTGTAAACTCAATTTTCACGTTTACTTAAACAGATAATTGTGATGCCAACTTCGGATTCTTAATTAACGGAAAATTATTTAAAATATGACACAAATTCTCAAACAATTGAAGCTACTTTCACAAATTTTTAAAAACTTTTTGAAAATTGTAAACTCAATTTTCACGTTTATTTAAATAGAAATGGTGATGTCTATTTCGGATTCGTAATGAGTTGAAAATAATTTACATGATGGCAGCGTTTCCCGAGTTATTTCACTTTAAGCATATTTCCGGAAAATTTATGAAAATTGTAAACTCGATTTTCACATTTACTTAAGTATACATCGTGATGCCTACTTCGGATTCGTAATTAGTAGAAAATAACTTACATAATCGCACCATTTCCCGATTTATTTGAGTTAATTTAACCATTTTTCCAGAAAAGTTTTGAAAATTGTAAACTGTTATTGGAAGGCTATCTGAGGACGACCTCGGATTCGTAATTAGTAGAAGATTATGACACCAATTCTCGACATATTGGAGCCATTTTTACCATTCATTCGGAAAATTTTTGGAAATTGTAAACTCGATTTTCACCCTTATTTAAACAAATATCGTAACGTCTAATTCGGATTCTTAATTAGGCGAAAATTATTTACATGATTGCGCCAATTCTCGATTTATTTGTGTTACTTTTCCGGAAATTTTCTGAAAATTGTAAACTGGATTTTCACGGTTATTCGAAAGGCTAAAATGCGGAGGAGCTTGGATTTATAATTAGCAGAAAATTATCAACAATATGACACCAATTCCCGATAGATTGAAGTTATTTGCATTATTTTTTCGGAAAATTTTTCAAATTGTAAACTCGATTTTCACGTTTGTTTAAATAGAAATGGTGAAGTCTATTTCGGATTCGTAATTACTGGAAAATAATTTGCATGAAGGCATCGCTTTCCGAGTTATTTGAGTTACTTTAACCGTTTTTCCGGAAAATTTCTGAAAATTGTAAACTCGATTTTCACGGTTATTTGGAAGGCTATTTGAGGAAGACCTCGGATTCGTAGGTAATAGAAGATTATCTACATTCCACAAATTCCCGATAGTTCGGAGATATTTTGATCATTTTCTCTGGAAATTTCTCAAATTGTAAACTGAATTTTCAAGTTTACTTAAACGGATATTTGTGATGCCAACTTCGGATTCTTAATTTACGGAAAATTATTTAAAATATGACACCAATTCTCAAACGATTGAAGCTACTTTCACAAATTTTTAAAAACTTTTTGAAAATTGTAAACTCAATTTTCACGCTAATCTGAATAGCTATTGTGACAACGACTGCAGATTCGTAATTAGTGGAAGATTATTTACATGATGTAACCAATTCCCGGTTTATTTGAGTCACATTAACCATTTTTTCGGAAAATTTTCGAAAATTGTAAATTTGGTTTTCACGTTTATTTGAAAGGCTATCATCTCAGATTCGTAGTTAATAGAAGATTACCAACATGAAACAAATTCCCTATAGATCGGAACAATTTTTACCATTTTTTTCAGAAAATTTCTCGTATTGTAAACTCGATTTTCACAGTTATTCGAAAGGCTAAAATGCGGAGGAATTCGGATTTATAATTAGCAGAAAATTATCAACAATATCACACCAAATCCCGACAGATTGGAGTTATTTTCACTACTTTTTCGGAAAATTTTTCAAATTGTAAACTCGATTTTCACGTTTATTTAAATAGAAATGGTGAAATTTATTTCGGATTCGAAATCAGTTGAAAATAATTTACATGAAGGCACCATTTCCCGAGTTATTTGAGTTACTTTAACCGTTTTTCCGGAAAATTTCTAAAAATTGTAAACTCGATTTTTACGGTTATCTGGAAGGCTATCTGAGAACGACCTCGGATTCGTAGGTAACAGAAGATTATCTACATGCCATAAATTCCCGATGGTTCGGAGATAGTTTGATCATTTCTTCGGGAAATTTCTCAAATTGTAAACTCAATTTTCACGTTTACTTAAACAGATATTTGTGATGCCAACTTCGGATTCTTAATTAACGGAAAATTATTTAAAATATGACACAAATTTTCAAACGATTGAAGCTACTTTGACAAATTTTTAAAAACTTTTTGAAAATTGTAAACTCAAATTTTCGAAAATTGTAAATTCGATTTTCACGTTTATTTGAAAGGCTATCATGAGGACAACTTCAGATTCGTAGTTAGTAGAAGATTACCAACATGAAACAAATTCCCTATAGATCGGAACAATTTGTACCATTTTTTTCAGAAAATTTCTAGTTTTGTAAACTCGATTTTCACGGTTATATAAATAGAAATGGTGAAGTCTATTTCGGATTCGTAATTAGTTGAAAATAATTTATATGATGGCATCGTTTCCCGAGTTATTTGAGTTACTTAAACCGTTTTTCCGGAAAATTTCTGAAAATTGTAAACTCGATTTTCACGGTTATTTGAAAGGCTATTTGAGGAAGACCTCGGATTCGTAGGTAATAGAAGATTATCTACATTCCACAAATCCCCGATAGTTCGGATTTGATCATTTTATCGGGAAATTTCTCACATTGTAAACTCAATTTTCACGTTTACTTAAACGGATATTTGTGATGCCAACTTCGGATTCTTAATTTACGGAAAATTATTTAAAATATGACACAAATTCTCAAAGGATTGAAGCTAGTTTCACAAATTTTTAAAAACTTTTTGAAAATTGTAAACTCAATTTTCACGCTAATCTGAATAGCTATTGTGACAGCGACTACGGGTTCGTGATTAGTGGACGATTATTTACATGATGTAACGAATTCCCGGTTTACTTGAGTCATATTTACCATTTTTCCGGAAAATTTTCGAAAATCGTAAACTCGATTTTCACGTTTATTTGAAACGCTATCATGAGGACGATCTCAGATTCGTAGTTAGTAGAAGATTACCAACATGAAACAAATTCCCTATAGATCGGAACAATTTTTACCATTTTTTCAGAAAATTTCTCGTGTTGTAAACTCGATTTTCACAGTTATTCGAAAAGCTAAAATGCGGAGGAATTCGGATTTATAATTAGCAGAAAATTATCAACAATATCACACCAATTCCCGATGGATTGGAGTCATTTTCACTATTTTATCGGAAAATTTTTCAAATTGTAAACTCGATTTTCACGTTCATTTAAATAGAAATGGTGATGCGTATTTCGGATTCGTAATTAGTTGAAAATAATTTACATGAAGGCACCATTTCCCGAGTTATTTGAGTTACTTTAACCGTTTTTCCGGAAAATTTCTGAAAATTGTAAACTCGATTTTCACGGTTATTTGGCAAGCTACCTGAGGACGACCTGGGATTCGTAGGTAATAGAAGATTATCTACATGACACAAATTCCCGATAGTTCGGAGATATTTTGATGATTTTTTCGGGAAATTTCTCACATTGTAAACTCAATTTTCACGCTTACTTAAACGGATATTTGTGATGCCAACTTCGGATTCTTAATTAACGGATATGACACAAATTCTCAAACGATTGAAGCTAGTTTCACAAATTTTTAAAAACTTTTTGAAAATTGTAAACTCAATTTTCACGCTAATCTGAACAGCTATTGTGACAGCGACTTCAGATTCGTGATTAGTGGAAGATTATTTACATGATGTAACGAATTCCCGGTTTATTTGAGTCATATTAACCATTTTCCCGGAAAATTTTCGAAAATTGTAAACTCGATTCTCACGTTTATTTGAAAGGCTATCATGAGGACGACCTCAGATTCGTGGTTAGTAGAAGATTACCAACATGAAACAAATTCCCTATGGATCGGAACAGTTTTTACCATTTTTTTCAGAAAATTTCTCGTATTGTAAACTCGATTTTCACGGTTATTCGAAAGGCTAAAATGCGGAGGACCTCGAATTTATAATTATCAGAAAATTATCAACAATATCACACCAATTCCCGAAAGATTGGAGTCATTTTCACTATTTTGTGGGAAAATTTTTCAAATTGTAAACTCGATTTTCACGTTTATTTAAATGGAAATGGTGAAGTCTATTTCGGATTTGTAATCAGTTGAAAATAATTTATATGATGGCATCATTTTCCGAGTTATTTGAGTTACTTTAACAGTTTTTCCGGAAAATTTCTGAAAATTGTAAACTCGATTTTCACGGTTATTTGGAAGGCTGTCTGAGGACGACCTCGGATTCGTAGGTAATAGAACATTATCTACATGCCACAAATTCCCGATAGTTCGGAGATATTTTGATTATTTTTTCGAGAAATTTGGAAATTTCTCAAGTTTACTTAAACGGATATTTGTGATGCCAACTTCGGATTCTTAATTAACGGAAAATTATTTAAAATATGACACAAATTCTCAAACGATTGAAGCTAGTTTCACAAATTTTTAAAAACTTTTTGAAAATTGTAAACTCAATTTTCACGCTAATCTGAATAGCTATTGTGACAGGGACTTCAGATTCATGATTAGTGGAAAATTATTTACATGATATAACCAATTCCCGCTTTATTTGAGTCATATCTACCATTTTTCCGGAAAATTTTCGAAAATTGTAAACTCGATTTTCACGTTTATTTAAATAGAAATGGTGATACCGATTTCGGATTCGTAATTAGTGGAAAATAATTTACATGAGGGCATCGTTTCCCGAGTTATGCGAGTTACTTTAACCGTTTTCCCGGAAAATTTCTCAAAATTGTAAACTCGATTTTCACGTTTATTTGAAAGGCTATCTGAGGACGACCTCGGATTCGTAATTGGTAGAAGATTATGACACCAATTCTCGACGGATTGGAACCATTTTTACCATTCATTCGGAAAATTTTTGGAAATTGTAAACTCGATTTTCACGCCAATCAGAATAGCTACGATAACGACGACTTCAGATTCGTTATTAATGGAAGATTATTTACAAGAATGCGCCATTTCCCGGTTTATTTGAGCGAGTTTAACCATTTTTCCGGAAAATTTCGAAAATTATAAACTTGATTTTTACGTTTATTAGAAAATTGAGGACATCGAATTTTTTCGGAAAATTTTTAGAAATTGTAAACTCGATTATCACACTTATTTGAAAGTGTATCGTCACGATTTCGAACATTTTTTTACAAAACCAAAAAAAAAACTACCAACCCTAAAACGTAGTCTCCAGGCTTCAAAATGTGCCCCAAATGCGTCCTAGTATGAATAGTATTATCATTAACCCCCAACTCCGAAGCCCTGACCACCCAAATATCCGCCAAAACGTGCTTATTTGAAATAGCCCCTTGTCCTGGAAAAGTGCGCCGGTCCTTATCCATAATAGGCTCTATATCCATAACCACGTATTCAACCAACTGTTTGGGGTTGCAAATGGGGTTAAAGGGGTTGCGCCAATACACAGTGCTATTAATTTCAGCAACTAAAAACCCAACAAAAATAAAAATTGACACAATTTTACACAAAAATAGTTACTTTGTGCTCTGGAAGGATCAATCAAGTGAAGCGAGTTGGTAACCCTGTATACTAAACACAACGGCGAAATCCCCCCGAGTTGTTGCGTCAGCTTCTTCGGCAAACACACCAAACTGTCTTTGGACACCGGGAGAATCTCCACAGAGTAAGTAAACTTGTAGTTGTACAAATTGCTGTGAATATCATGGGAGATCAATTTTTTTGAGTGACTGGATTTACACGGAAGAACCGCGGAGAGAAAATCAACCATTTTGCGGGCATGGGCTTCAGTGGCGTAGAAAAAATCTAAACCATCTGGAATCAATTTATAAGTCATTTATGATCATCTACGTGATTTTTTTTACCATGAATGGGTTTTATCCCCAATGTATCACTATGCGCCTTATGCTTCAAAATCATCTGCTCCAAATAAAAAAACGTCTTCTTATTCTCCCCTTTCTGGCGAACTTGCACCAACGCCCTCCAGAAATACTGCGCCTCGCTCCTGTGGCAGTCGTCGCACATGTGGTGCGACACCACATAATCCACAACGAAAACCTGCTCCAAAACAGCCCCCCCGAACACCTCTCCATGCACAGTTAGTTTCACTTTGATGCGTTTCGAGTGGGGCTCAGTCCACACAAAACCGGCGTCAACGAGCTTCACTTTACCCAAGCCTTTGAGCTTTTTCAAACATAGGGTGAGCAACTCCTTGGATTCTAGAACGCAGTGGACCCATTCTGATGGGGGGTTAAAGTAGCGTTCACACCCTTTACAGAATTGGAGCACGATTTGCTTGGGGATGCCTTCGGTGATGTCGACGCGGGTGCGTAAGCACATGACGCACATGTTGGACGGGTTGGGGGCTATGGGGGTGCCGCAGTCGCAACATAGTCTGAAAAAGAGAGGTTAGTTGAGGTTAGGTTTTCGGGAGTACTTACATTTTGTTGGCGGTGGGTTCTGATGATTGCGGGGTGGGAATGTACTCCATTTGGTGCTTTCTTTGCAATTTCTGCGACTGATTATTGAGAAGAAAGGGTTTAACACGTGCTTAAATAGTGGAAAAGTTGTCAAATGTCAAAATCGTATGGAAAATTAGAAAGCAGCTTTAGGGTTTTTAGTTTTATGGCTAAAACTGATGTGTCAATAGTGTCGACAAGTGTATTATTGGTTGCCGGATTTCAATTTTCTTCTTTTTTAATTTTTTTATGGTTTTTTTGTCTTTTTCATCAGTGCAACCAACCCATTTTCGGGCGCCAAATTCAAACCGGGTCGTTTTGATCACCCAGCACGTGTTTTCCCCCCCACTTGCTCGTGAAGAATGCAACAAGTGTTCAACGCAACCGCGTTGGTCGGCGTATTCACAGTCTAATGTATTTATAAATCGCAGTTCTCATTCCGACGAGGTCGGTAGAGCTCATTTGGGGCCGAGTTCATTCATACGTAGCACGATTTGTGTTTTTGTTTACTGTGTGTCGGTGAACGGATGTTTTTGTGGAGGTTTCGGTGCGGATTGAGGGGGTGAGGAGATGAGACTGTAGCGAGGTCGTAGAAACTGAGAAAATTGTGAGTGGGTAATTACGACTTGAATTTTTAATATTTTTGTACAATAAGTTGAATGAAATTAAATGCCTGCGGGACGCATTTTTTTCCATAGTTGTTCTAGACGCTCGAGAAAGTCTAGAATTCCAAATCGATTGACAAAATATCGAAATAATTCTGACGTTATTTTTATTGTACGCATTAACATCTAATCTGGCACTAATTAAACAAGTCCTCTAATGAGTTATTATGAGTCACGTAATTCCAAAAGAATATGTCACCGTATCAGTCACATGATTAAAAACAGTAATGATCATGAATAATAATCTCATCAAAAATCAAGCAAGAAAAACCTTCCTGTCCAGGTAAAATGATAAAACCCTTCCTGACCATCTGGTTTCCCAAAACTCCCAAAAAAACTACATTCCACCAGAATGCAGCAGGTGCACAACGTGAACGTAGACCTGATCGTCAAGGCTGTTAAAGCTCGAGTCTCCTATATAATTTGTCAATTATGTGGAAAGTGGAGGAATACCGAATTCAGGAACTTGTAAAAAGGTATAATTTGCATTTCGCTGAAGGAAGAAGGGAATAATCGTGCCAATAATTTTATGGAAAGGAACGTGGCCTTTGGTTTTTTGCGATTTGATTGTGTAAGCGGGTTTTGTTTGTTTTTGTAAGACTTTCCAGTGAATTGTGGGTTAATTACAAAAATAAATAAGCCAACGCCTTGGTATGATATTAATATGCGTGTGCGAGCTGTAATTAGGATAAAGGATTTTTATTCGATTTTTTCCTGCCCGCAGGCTGTATGGAAAGCTTGCAGTGTGGTAAAAAATAAAATTGTTTTTGCAAATTAAGTTTTTATAGTATGTACATGATATTTTCTAAATTTACAACTTTGCAAGTACCAAGTTCTTATGTAAGGTGTCTGAACTGACTAGTACTTAGTTTGCAGATTTTTTGAATTCTAGATCTATATTTTTTTTACAGATCTTGTAGTTAATATTCCATCTGTAGGATATAGATGTGTAAAGTTCGAAATAAACATCCTTTTTCGAAGCACCGTTAGAACTTTGAAACCGTATTATGATTGAATCAACAACGGAAATTGAGTTTTTGAGTTAGATTTTCAAAGCACAAATATTGATATTCTAGATCTACATCTTCAACTTTACAAATAGTCATATGAGTTGCTTAAATTGTTACAAATAATATGTGGTTTTAGATCTATTGCTCTATATTCGTGGAAAAGTCGTCTGAACGTCGTTTTCCCTGAAATTCTTTTTAAGATGCGATCTATATAATCTACCAACACCAAAGACGATAGATCATTTGGCAAAATCAGTCTTATTTTAACAAGTACTAGCCCTCTTGGAAAAAAAGAACGGCTGAGCGAGGCTAGTACTTGCTTGGATAAAACTGATATTGCCGAATGGCATACTTTCGAAGAAAATAAAGGGTGGGTGGGCGGGGCCAATTCTTGCCAAGATAAGACTGATTTTGCCAAATGATATACCCTCTACCCCTTTTTTCTCAGAGGGTATGTCATTTGCCAAATCAATCTTATCTTAGTAAGAACAAGGCCCCGTCCACCCGCCTTTATTTTCTTAGAGAGCAAGTCATTTGCCAAAATCAGTCATTCTATCCTGGTAAGTACTAGCCCCGCCCACCCTCCCTTTATTTTCTTAGAGAGTAGATCATTTTCCAAAATCAGTCTATCCTGGCAAGTACTAGAATAGAATATAGTAGATGAGTAATCTCGAATTACCAGATCCTTCAGGCTCTTTAGTTGTATGTCTTTACTGAAACTTCTAATTCTAGAATAGAACTTGTCTTCGCCTTTTCGTACTATTCGTCCTGTTCGCCCTTTTTCGTCCTTTTTCTTCCTTTTCATCCTTTTCTTCCTTTTTCGTCTTTATTCTCCTTTTTCGTCTTTATTATCCTTTTCGTCCTTTTCGTCCATTTTCATCCTTTTCGTTCTTTTTCGTTCTTTTCGTCCTTTCCATCCTTTTCGTCCTTTTTGTCCTTTTTCGTCTTTTGTCGTCCTTTTCGTCCTTTTCGTCCTTATTTGTCCTTATCGTCCTTTTCGTCCTTTCTCGACTTTGTTCAACCTTATTAACCTTTTTTGTCCATTTCGTCCTTTTTCGTCCTTATTAACCTATTTCGTCCTTTTCGTCCTTTTCGTCCTTTATCGTCCTTATTATCCTTTTTCGTCCTTATCATCCTTTTTCGTCCTTATTATCCTTTTTCGTCCTTATTATCCTTTTTCGTCCTCGTCCTTTTCATCCATTTTAATAATAATAATAATAGTAACTTTTATTGAAACAATTTTAAATAAATAAGGTACAAAAGGTACAGATACAGCAAAAACTGATATTAATCTGACCTGACATTAGTATCTAACCTAACATTAGTATTAAAAGAAGTTTAATTATTAATAATTTAAAACAGACCTAAATTTATATTTGGTATTTCTCCATTCAGCAGTCGTTGTTTTAGCAGTTTCTTTGAAGTCCTTTTCGTCCTTTTCGTCTTTTTGCGTCCTTTTCGTCCTTTTTCGTCTTTATTATCCTTTTTCGTCCTGTTCGTCCTTTTCGTTCGTTTTCGTCCTTTTCGTCCTTTCTCGTCTTTTTCGTCCGTTTTCATTCTTTTTCGTCCATTTCATCCTTATTAACCTTTTCCGTCCTTTTCGTCCTTTTTCGTCCTTTTCGTCCTTTTTAATCCTTTTCGTCTTTTTCGTCCTCTTTCGTCTTTATTATCCTTTTTCGTCCTGTTCGTCCTTTTTCGTCCTTTTCGTCCTTTTGCGTCCTTTTCGTCCGTTTCCATCCTTTTCCGTCCATTTTATCCTTATTAACCTCTCCCGTCCTTTTCGTCCTTTTTCGTCCTTTTCATCCTTTTCCGTCCTTTTCGTCCTTTTTCGTCCTTTTCGTCCTTTTCGTCCTTTTCGTCCTTTTTCGTCCTTTTCGTCCTTTTTCGTCCTTCTTAATCTTTTTCGTCCTTTTCGTCCTTGTTCGTCTTTTTCGTCCTGTTTCGTCCTTTCAGTCCTTTTTCGTCCTTTCAGTCCTTTTTCGTCCTTATCCTTTTTCGTCCTTTTCGTCTTTTTGGTCCTTTTCGTCTTTTTGGTCCTTTTCGTCTTTTTCGTCCTTTTCGTCTTTTTGGTCCTTTTCGTCTTTTTCGTCCTTTTCGTCTTTTTCGTCCTTTTCGTCTTTTTCGTCCTTTCCGTCCTTTTCGTCCTTTTCGTCTTTTTCGTCCTTTTCGTCTTTTTCGTCATTTTCGTCATTTTCGTCTTTTTCGTCCTTTTTCGTCCTTTTTCGCCCTTTTTCGTCCTTATTATCCTTTTTCGTCCTTTTCGTCCTTTTTCGTCCTTCTCGTCCTTTTCATCCGTTTTCGTCCTTTTTAGTCTTTTTCGTTCTTTTTCGTCCTTTTCGTCCATTTCGTTCTTATTAACCTTTTTCGTCCTTTATCGTCCTTTTCGCCCATTTCGTCCTTTTCGTCCTTTCTCGTCCTTGTTCAACCTTATTAACCTTTTTCGTCTTTTTCATCCTTTTCGTCCTTTGTCGTCCTTTTTCGTCCTTTTCGTCCGTTTTCGTCTTTATTATCCTTTTTCGTCCTGTTCGTCCTTTTTCGAACTTTTCGTCCTTTATCGTCCTTCTCGTCCTTTTCGTCCGTTTTCGTCCTTTTTCGTCTTTTTCGTCCGTTTTCATCCATTTTCGTCCATTTCCTCCGTTTTAACCTTTTCCGTCCTTTTCTCCTTTTTCGTCCTTTTCATCCTTCTCGTCCTTATTATCCTTTTTCGTCCGGTTTCGTCTTTATCATCCTTTTCCGTCCTTTTCATCCTTTTTCGCCCTGTTTCGTTTTTATTATCCTTTTTCGTCCTTTTTCGGCCTCATCGTCCTTTTTCGTTCTTTTTCGTCCTTATTATCCTTTTTCGTCTTTTTTCGTCCTTTTCGTCCTTATCATCTTTTTTGTCCTTTTCGTCCTTTTTCGTCCTTTTTAATGCTTTTCGTTTTTTTCGTACTGTTTCGTCCTTTCAGTCCTTTTTCGTCCTTATTATCCTTTTTCGTCCTTTTCGTCTTTTTGGTCCTTTTCGTCCTTTTCGTCTTTTTCGTCCTTGTTCGGTTTTTTCGTCCTGTTTCGTCCTTTTCCGTCCTTTTCGTCCTTTTCGTCCTTCTCGTCCTTTTCATCCGTTTTCGTCCTTTTCATCCGCTTTCGTACTTTTCGTCCTTTTTCGTCTTTTTCGTTCTTTTTCGTCCTTTTCGTCCATTTCGTTCTTATTAAACTTTTTCGTCCTTTATCGTCCTTTTCGCCCATTTCGTCCTTTTCGTCCTTTTCGTCCTTTCTCGTCCTTGTTCAACCTTATTAACCTTTTTCGTCTTTTTCCTCCTTTTCGTCCTTATTAACCTATTTTGTACTTATTAACCTTTTTCGTCCTTTGCGACCATTTCGTCCTTTGCGACCATTTCGTCCTTTGCGTCCTTTGTCGCCCTTTTTCGTCCTTTTTCGTCCCTTTCGTCCTTTCCGTCTTTTTCGTCTTTTTGCGTCCTTTTCGTCCGTTTTCGTCTTTATTATCCTTTTTCGTCCTGTTCGTCCTTTTTCGAACTTGTCGTCCTTTTTCGTCCTTCTCGTCCTTTTCGTCCGTTTTCGTCTTTTTCGTCCTTTTTCGTCCTTTGCATCCTTCTCGTCTTTATTTTCCTTTTCCGTCCTTATTAACCTTTTTCGTTCTGTTTCGTCTTTATCATCCTTTTCCGTCTTTCTCATCCTTTTTCGTCCTGTTTCGTTTTTATTATCCTTTTTCGTCCTTTCTTGGCCTCTTCGTCCTTTTTGGTTCTTTTCGTCCTTTTTCGTCCTTATTATCCTTTTTCGTTTTTTGTCCTTTTTAGACCTTTTCGTCTTTTTTCGTCCTTTTCGTTCATATTATACTTTTTCGTCATTTTCGTCTTTTTTCGTCCTTTTTCGTCTTTTTTCGTCCTCCTCGTCCTTTACGTCCGTTTTCGTCTTTCTATTCTAGAATTAGAAGTTTCAACAAAGACACAATTAAAGAAGCTGAAGGATCTGGTAATTTGAGATTACTCATCTACTATATTCTATTCTAGTACTTACCAGGATAGACTGATTTTGGCAAATAACATACTCCCTAAGAAATAAAGGGCGGGTGGGCGGGGCTAGTACTTACCAAGATAAGACTGATTTTGGCAAATGACATACCCTCTAAGAAAATAAAAGTAGAGGGTATAGTACTTGCCAAAATCAATCTATCCTGGCAAGTACTAGAATAGAATATAGTAGACGAGTAATCTCGAATTACCAGATCCTTCAGCTTCTTTAATTGTGTTTTCACTGAAACTTCTAAATCTAAAATAGAACTTTGTCTTCGCAAATTGCATCGTTTTCCCCTTTTACGACTTTCCTAGAATTTGAAAAAATCTGTAGATTTCGCAAACTTTGCTATTCTAGATCTACATCTTCAGCTTGACAGATAATAATCGTATGCATTGTTTAAATTGTTGTAAATAATGCGTGATTTTAGATCTCTTGCTCTAAATTCGTGGTCTGTAACCCCTTTTTGACATGGAAGATCTTGAAATTCTACATTTGGAAAAGTAATTTAAACGTCGTTTTCCTAGAAATTCCTTTTTTGGTGCGGTCTACAGAATCTACCAACACCGTAGATGATATTCCATCTGTAGAATATAGATGAGTAATTTTCGAATTAACCAGGTTCTTTAGCTTCTTTAATTGTGTGTCTTTACTAAAACTTCTAAATCTAGAATGGAAATTGTCTTCGCAACTTTTCTGGTTTCCAAAATCCCCTCCACGACTGTTCTTCCAAAATTTGAAAAAATCTGTAGATTTCGCGAAATTTGACATTCTAGATCTACATCTTCAACTTTACGGATTGTTTAAATTGTTGCAAATAATGTCTGGTTTTAGATCTTTTGCTCTAGATCCGTGGTCTGTAGCTCCTTTTTCCGATGGTAGATTTCGAAATTCTACATCTAAAAAAGTAGTCGAAACATCGTCTTCCTTGAAATTCGATTTTTGGTGCGGTCTATGGAATCTACCAACACCCTAGATGATATTCTATCTGTAGAATATAGATGAATATCTAATTCTCAATTTAATTAGTTCCTTCAGCTAAAAAAGCGCTCGTGCTCTAGATTCGTGGTTTATAACTCCTCTTTTCAGATGGAAGATCTAGAAATTCTACATCTGGAAAAGTTGTCTAAACGTCTAAATATAGATGAGTAATTCTCGAATTAATCCGAGGTTTCAGCCGCTTTAATTGTGCGTTTTTACTGAAAATTCCAATTCTGGAAGAGAACTTGTCTTCGTAAATTTTTTCGTCTCGTCTGCTACTGTTCTAGAATTTGCAAAAATCTGTAGAGATTTCGGAGTATATTATGTTAACAGACCGTTTGAATCGATAACGAAAATTATGAGTTCTTGACAATTTTCTAGCCTCTTGGAGTTGCAATTTTCACACCACACATTTATCAAACAATTCTTGCGTGTTTTCATCGCAATTTTCCACCAATTTTTCCATAATTAAAAACTAAATAAATAAACAAATTACTCCACACCCTCCACAAATATTAATTATTAACTTGCGCGTAAATGTAAATTTTAACAAATTTTTTTTCATGCACGAACCACTGGAAAGTGGTATTTTACTCCGACTTTTCCATATTCAGTGCACGAAAACACCTTCGATGGGTGAAATCTGATCGAGTACGTGATGGAACCCCACAATGTCAAAACAGTGTCAGTTAATCTGTCATGCTTTCAGATCCTTTTGATGGGACGCTTCTAACCCAAGATGGTCTACGACTGTGGTTCCTGTTTGGCCAAGTACATCCTGTGCTTCTTCAATTTCGTCATTTTCGTGAGTAATTTTCGCTTAATCGATATTTAATTTAATTAGGGGAAAGCGGTATTTTGTTTAGTTGTTGCAAGAATCATTACAATCGATATTAAATTCTTGAAAATAAAAGTAATTTGGTAATGCAACCTTGGTAGTGTTAATGTGGGTAATTTATTAGTAGTTTGAATGGTTCGTGCGGGAATTTTTTTGATGAGGTTCAGGGTCGTGCTGTGGAATTTTAACTGGGGTATTAGGGGAGTCAATAGCTGCTGCATTAGTGGATATTAATTGGTGATGGTATCGGGGCGCACTTTGAAATAACAGGCTATTTTTATCATAGAAATTTTTTTCTCCACCCCCTGGAAATCGGAATCCACCCCACTAAAATATTGAAACCAATTACTTCGAGCCGCCTTAACCAAATAAAAACCACTAGAAAGCACTTGCATAACAAACGAAAACCAAACAACTCATCATTGTATTTGCTCAAGATATCGTGGGCAGATGCAAACATGCATCAGTAAATAATTTATCACGAAAGTCCAACGTCCTGTAATAGCTAGTAGCATCTAATGCAGCCGCTAGAAATCAATTTCTCGGTCATAAATGGACTGATCGGAACCACTTGATTACTTTCACTCTATATTAATCGATTCGAGTCGTTTCCGAATCGCCCTGTATAACAATTTCTCCGTTTCCAGCTGGCCGGATCAGCCGTTCTAGCCGTTGGAATATGGCTAGCCGTGGACAAGAACTCCTTCATAGGCTTGAGCAAAATCGTGCCGAACGACAACGTGCAGGTACGTATTGTAATTTTTTGCGGTAGCTGGAATGGGCTTTCACTTTTCATGGCGCACTTAACAAAAATAATTAAGCCGAGATCGAGAGGGATTTCTTTTTTGCTTTGTCCGCGTTACGAGTTGTGATTATTTTAATATAAATCGCTTTCAGGTAAAAGTGAACTTAACACTAATTTAAATAATAGTTTTCACGTGCATTTCCACCCTCCCCGACACGTGGAAATGGGGCGAGGGTTCATTAACCCGTGCATTTCCCGTTCTGAATAAAATTAGAACCGATAAAGCACCCTTGCGATTTAATTTCGTACTTTTTCTCGAAGAATTGAGATTCGTCTTCCACTCCCAGTCTCGACTCAATGAAGCACGAAATTAATTCAAATTAGTCGCTTTGTCTGCGATTTTTTCAAATTCGATTGACGCTCCTTGCGTGCATTAAATGCAACACGCAAGTTACGTAACACTGCAGCACAGCATAATCCATGTAGGTCGATTTTTGTAATGTAGTACACAGAACGGTTCTTTAATAAAATCCATCTTGAATGCAGTTAAGCTAAATTACACATTGTTTCCACTTAACTGTAAATAAATGATTAATGAAGCGAGAAATGGAGTAAATGCGTATGTACAAATACACGAATATGGGTCGCGTCAACATTGTTCCGCCGAAAGTGATGTCATCTTAAATTGTGCTTCAGTTGAAAACAACCAAATCAAAAAAAATCATACTTGAGTATTGAATATCGGTCGTTGACAGTGTCGATGAATATTTTACAAATTGACCGCTTTACAGAATCGAAGATATCGTTAAAAACGCGGATATCGATTCGGAGAAAAACAGAGGGGACTCGTCGCAACTCCAACCTGTCGTGGCGAGTCCCTCTTCTCCCCGACCAGACATACAATCACACTTGTCATTCCACACACATGCGAAATTCCACCAAAGGTCAATTGATATTGGTGGCAATTGACCTCGGGCGTTCAGAATTAAATTTGGCTTAATTAATGTCGCGACGTTTTTTTAATGTGTGTTTTTTTTGTAGCAATTTACGCAGCCCGCCGTGATTGAGCAGGGGTCGTACATTTTGATAGGTGTGGGAGCTTTCATGTTCGTCGTCAGCTTCCTGGGATACTGCGGAGCGCTGAGGGAGTCGCAGTGCCTTTTGACAACGGTAAGTTCGGGTTTTTGTGGCCGAGTAACTGGATATGGTAATGAGTACGGGTCGGTCCGTTAAAGACAATTATCTGATTTTTAGAGTGGTGCGAGTGGAAGTTTGGTCTGTTTAGGAGGTCGAGTGTGACTATCAGATGTGATAGGTGACTGAAAATGGCATTGTTTTATTTTTGACGGGTGGGCTTTAATTAATTACGTTGATTGGTGTCATGACACTGAATGTGTCAAGCTTATCCAATCAGTGTAAAAAAAGGAAAGATAGTCTTCAATGAAAATTAACTGTTTAAAACAAACTAATAAAAATCCATGTAGATTTTGTTGTCAATAGTTTGTGTCAGAATTTTACGAAGATTGTTAGAATTTTAAAATTTAGAACAAGTTGTGTGTTTTAGTTATTTTATTCCGTTCAATACCGTGGATGTTTTGTCATTTTACAGTGACTGGTGTCAAGACATTTGACACTGGACTTTCAATATAATCAAAAATGAATTGAATGATTATTTGAACAGACTTCGAAACTATTGTGTTTTCATCCGGAACACTATTCATTGTCAATGTTAAATAGACATGGTGGTGTCAGGTTTCCTGTGTCAAATGTAATCCACATGAAACTAATCAATGTAAAAAAAAAGAAAATAGCCTTCAAATTTATAACACACCTATAAAATCCTATTTAGATTTTATGTTGTTAATTTATACATAGCTTTGTGAAAACCAGTGTTATTTTATTCTGTTCAATACCGTGGATGTTTTGTCATTTTACAGTGACTGGTGTCACGACATTTGACACTGGACGCTCAATTTAATCAAAAATGAATTAAATCATTACTTGAACAAACTTAAAAGCTTCATTGAATATATTTTGTTGTTGTGTTTTCATCCCCAAGACTATTCGTTGTCAATGTAAAATTGACATCGTGGTGTCAGATTTTCGCTGTCAAATGTAATCCACGCGACACCGAATCAGTGCAAAGAAGTGAAAATAATCTTCAAATTTATAACAAACCTATAAAATCCCCTAGAGATTTTATGTAGTCAATTTATACATAGTTTATGTCAAAATTTTACAAAAAGTTTGTCAAAATTTTAAAATTTAAACAAGCTTTGTGAAAACTAGTTGTTATTTTATTCCGTTCAATACCGTGGATGTTTTGTCATTTTACAGTGACTGGTGTCAAGACATTTGACACTGGACTTTCAATATAATCAAAAATGAATTGAATGATTATTTGAACAAACTTTGAGACTTCATTGAATATTTTTCGTTCTTGTGTTTTCATCCCCAAGACTATTCGTTGTCAATGTAAAATTGACATCGTGGTGTCAGATTTTCGGTGTCAAATGTAATCTACGCGACACCCAACAGTGCAAAAAAGTGAAAATAGTCTTCAAATTTATAACAAACTTATAAAATTCCATATAGATTTTACGTTGTCAATTTATAGGTACATAGTTTGTGTCAGAATTTTACAAAAAGTGTCAAAACTTTAAAATTTAGAACAAGCTTTGTGAAAATTAGTCGTTATTTTATTCCGTTCAATAGCCTGGATGTTTCGTTATTTTACAGTGATTGGTGTCAAGGCATTTGACACTTGACGTTCAGTATAATCAAAAATGAATTAAATGATTATTTGAACAAACTTCGAAACTTCATTGAATATTTTTCGTTGTTGTTTTCATCCCTAAGACTATTCATTGTCAATGTAAAATAGACACGGTGGTGTCAGATTTTCGTTGTCAAATGTAATCCACACGACACCCAATTAGTACAAAAAAGTGAAGAAAAGTCTTCAAATTTATAACAAACCTATAAAATCCCATATACATTTTATGTTGTCAATTTATACATAGTTAGTGTCAGAATTTTACAAAGAGTTTGTCAAAACTTTAAAATTTAGAACAAGCTTTGTGAAAACTAGTTGTTATTTTATTCCGTTCAATACCCTGGATGTTACGTTATTTTATAGTGATTGGTGTCAAGACATTTAACACTGGACGTTCAATATAATCAAAAATGAATTAAATAACTATTTGGACAAATTTCGCAACTTCATTGAAAAATTTTTCGTTGTTGTGTTTTCATCCCCAAGACTATTCGTTGTCAATGTAAAATTGACATCGTGGTGTCAGATTTTCGCTGTCAAATGTAAGCCACGCGACACCCAGTAAAAATAGTCTTCAATGAAAAAACTCACAACAGTGACACTTCCATAAAACATCATATAGACTTTATGTTGTTAGTTTATACCTAGTTTTTGTCAAAATTTTACAACCAGATTGTCAAAATTCTAATTGCTGTAGATGTTTGGCATTTTACATTGACTACTGTCAAGACATTTGACAGCACACGTTGAATATCGTTAAAACTTGATGGAATGATTATCCGAACAGACTTCGAAACTTCATTTAATATTTTTCGTTGTTGTGTTTTCATCCCCAAGACTATTCATTGTCAATGTAAAATTGACATCGTGGTCTCAGATTTATGGTGTCAAATTTAACCCACACAACACCCAATCGGTGTAAAAAAGTGAAAATAGTTTTCAATGAAAATTAACTATTTATAACAAACATTTAAAAGCACATTTAGTTTTTATGTTGTCACTTTATACATAATTTGTGTCAGAATTTTACAAAAAGATTGTCAAAATTTTAAAATTTAGAACAAGCTTTGTGAAAACTAGTTATTTTATTCCGTTCATTACCCTGGATGTTTCGTTATTTGACAATGATTGGTGTCAAGACATTTGACACTGGACGTTCAATATAATCAAAAATGAATTAAATGATTATTTGAACAAACTTCGAAACTTCATTAAATATTTTTCGTTGTTGTGTTTTCATCCCCAAGACTATTCGTTGTCAATGTAAAATTTACATTGTGGTGTCAGATTTTCGCTATCAAATGTAATACACGCGACATCCAATCAATGCAAAAAAGTGAAAATAGTCTTCAAATTTATCACAAACCTTTAAAATTCCATATAGATTTTATGTTGTCAACTTATACATAGTTTATGTCAAAATTTTACAAAAAGATTGTCAAAATTTTAAAATTTAGAACAAGCTTTGTGAAAACAAGTGTTATTTTATTCTGTTCAATACCGTGGATGTTTTGTCATTTTACAGTGACTGGTGTCAAGACATTTGACACTGGACGTTCAATATAATCAAAAATGAATTAAATGATTATTTGAACAAACTTCGAAACTTCGTCTTGTCAATGTAAAATTGACATCGTGGTGTCAGATTTCCGGTGTCAATTGTGACCCACACGACACCGATCAGTGCAAAAAAGTTAAAAAAGCCAGTGAAAAAACTCTTAACAGTGAGACTTCCGTAAAACCTCATATAGACTTTATCTTGTCAATTTATACATAGTTTGTGTCAGAATGTGACAAAAAGATTGTCAAAATTCTAAAATTTAGGAGTTTTGTAAAAACTAGAGGCGATGTTATTTTATTTTGATCAATGTCGTAGATGTTTGTCGTTTTACATTGACTAGTGTCAAGACATTTGACACTGAACGTTGAAAATAGACTAAACTTAAATTGAACAGACTTCGAAACTTCATTTAATATTTTTCATTGTTGTTTTCATCCACAAAACTATACATTGTCAATGTAAAATTGACGTCGTGTAAAATTTCCGTTGTCAAATTTGACCCCACGACAACATTGTAAAAAAGTGAAAATAGTCTTAAGTGAAAATTAACTATTTATAACAAACTCAAAACAGTGACACTTCCATAAACCCCATATACATCTTATGTTGTCAATTTATACATACTTTGCGTCAGAATTTTACAAAAAATTGTCAAAATTCCAAAATTTAGAACAAGCTTTGTGAAAACTGAAGGCAATGTTATGTTGTTTCGTTCAATTACTTTGGACGTTTGTCGTTTTACATTGACTGGTGTCAAGACGTTTGACGTTCAATATAGTCAAAAAATTATTATATGATTATTTGAACAGACTTCGAAATTTCATTGAGTATCTTTCGCTCTAGTGTTTTCATCTCCAAGATTGTTCATTGTCAATGTAAAATTGACATCGTGGTGTCAGATTTCCGGTGTCAATTGTAGCCCACACGACACCGATCAATGCAAAAAAGTTAAAATAGTCAATGAAAATCTCTTAACAGTGAGACTTCCGTAAAACCTCATATAGACTTTATCTTGTCAATTTATACATAGTTTGTGTCAGAATGTGACAAAAAGATTGTCAAAATTCTAAAATTTAGGAGTTTTGTAAAAACTAGAGGCGATGTTATTTCATTTCGTTCAATATCGTAGATGTTTGTTTTACATTGACTAGTGTCAAGACATTTGACACTGAACGTTGAAAATAGACTAAACTTAAATTGAACAGACTTCGAAATTCCATTTAATATTTTTCGTTGTTGTTTTCATCCACAAAACTGTTCATTGTCAATGTAAAATTAACGTTGTGTAAAATTTCCGTTGTCAAATTTGACCCCACGACAACATTGTAAAAACGTGAAAATAGTCTTAAGTAAAAATTAACTATTTATAACAAACTCAAAACAGTGGCACTTCCGTAAACCTCATATACATCTTATGTTGTCAATTTATACATAGTTTGTCAGAATTTTACAAAAAATTGTCAAAATTCCAAAATTTAGAACAAGCTTTGTGAAAACTGAAGGCAATGTTATTTTGTTTCGTTCAATTACTTTGGATATTTGTCGTTTTACATTGACTAGTGTCAAGAAATTTGACGTTCAATATAGTCAAAAAATTATTAAATGTTTATTTGAACAGACTTCGAAATTCCATTGAGTATTTTTCGCTCTAGTGTTTTCATCCCCAAGATTGTTCATTGTCAATGTAAAATTGACATCGTGGTGTCAAATTTCCGGTGTCAATTGTAGCCCAGACGACACCGATTAGTGCAAAAAAGTTAAAATAGTCAATAAAAAAACTCTTAACATTGAGACTTTTGTAAAACCTCATATAGACTTTATCTTGTCAATTTATACATAGTTTGTGTCAGAATGTGACAAAAAGATTGTCAAAATCCTAAAATTTAGGAGTTTTGTAAAAACTAGAGGCGATGTTACTTTATTTTGTTCAATATCGTATATGTTTGTCGTTTTACATTGACTAGTGTCAAGACATTGAATGATTATTCGAACAGACTTCGAAACTTCATTTAATATTTTTCGTTTCCAAAACTTCATTGTCAATTTAAAATTAACATAGTCGTGTCAGATTTTCGATGTCAAAAGTTACCTACACGACACTAATCAGTGTAAAAAAGTGAAAATAGTCTTCACCAACTATTTATAACAATTTTTGACACTTCCGTAAAGCCCCATCTTACATTGTCAATTTATACGTAGTTTGTGTCAGAATGTGACAAAAGATTGTCAAAATTCTAAAATTTAAGAGTCTTATTTTATTTTGTCCAATATCGTAGATGTTTGTCGTTTTACATTGACTAGTGTCAAGACATTTGACACTGAACGTTGAATATAGACTAAACTTAATTGAATGATCCGAACAGCCTTCGAAACTTCATTTAATATTTGTCGTTGTTGTTTTCATCCACAAAACTATTCATTGTCAATGTAAAATTTACGGCATGTAAAATTTCCGTTGTCAAATTTAACCCCACGACAACATCACTGTAAAAAAGTGAAAATAGTCTTAAATGAAAATTGACTATTTATAACAAACTCAAAACAGTGACACTTTTGTAAAAGCCCATATACATCTTATGTTGTCAATTTATACATAGTTTGTGTCAGAATTTTACCAAAAATTGTCAAAATTCCAAAATTTAGAACAAGTTTTGTAAAAAGTAGCAGCGATGTTATTTCATTCCGTTCAATTAGCGTAGATGTTTGTCGTTTTACATTGACTAGTCTCAAGATATTTGACACTGAACGTTGAATTTAGTCAAAACTTAATTGAATAATTATCCGAACAGACTTCGAAACTTTATTTAATGTTTTCCGTTGTTATGTTTTCATCCTCAAAACTATTGAATGTCAATGTAAAATTGACGTCGTTGTCAAATGTAACCTACACGACATTAATCAGTGTAAAAATAGTGAAAATATTCTTCAATGAATATTAACTATGATTTATAACAAACTCATAAAGGTGTCACTACCGTAAAACACCAGATACATCTTATGTTGTCAATTTATACATAGTTTGTGTCAGAATTTTACAAAAAGATTGTCAATAGTCTAAAATTTTGAACAAGCTTTGTCAAAACTAAGAGTAAAGTTATTTTATTTCGTTCAATTACCTTGAACGTTTGTTGTTTGACATTGACATTCAATATAGTCAAAAATTTATTAAATGATTATTCGAACAGACTTCGAAACTTCATTTAATATTTGTCGTTCTTCTGTTTAATCCGCGAAAATTGTCACCGTCAATGTAAAACTGACAAATTTCCGTTGTCAATTAAATAAGAGATTGTTAGGCGAGATAAGATTTACAGAAACAACCAACTTAAAACAAATTTTATTGCGAATTGTGTTTGTTTACGAGTATCACGTGCCACCTTGATACCAAATCCCGTTCAGTAATTTTAAATGCGTCGTCATCCTCCTATATTAAAACAAAAACCACACCATCCACATACCTCCTCATTACACTTCGTCATCACCTGTGATTTCACGCAATTATCCGCCATATTAACGATCACTTACGATTCCGGCATGCTCGACTCGGCCATACAACGAAATTACACCTCGGAAAGGAAAAAAACAAACATAAATACCGTATACATCTCGCAACAAGGTTAAAAAGAAGTGGTGCAAGGTAACGGATTGATTATTCATGTGCTCCACAGGGTAAATACCTCGTTAGTCTCATTACGCCATTCAAGACGCATATTAATAGGAAGTTAAGCATCAAGGCTGAATAATAAAATTTAAAAGTCGTGATAAGCGATAACGATAATCGTTAGGATGTTTGCATTAATAACATTAATAAACCCTGCACCCTAAATTGTGAGCAATTTAGCTGCCGTGGGTGCTCGTAGTCGTAAAACGCGTTCACGACCAATTAATCGGTCGGTACTTTTCCGTCAGCGGAATTAGTACTAATGGTACGTTTTCTTTGTAGTACGGGATTTGTCTGTTGATCATCATAGTCGTGGAGATCACCGTCGGGTGCTTGACTGTCGCCTACAAACCGAAAGCGGAAGAGGAGACGCGGAAGGTACTCAAGTCCACGATCGAGAAGTACTACTCCACCCCTGAGAACAAAGACGCAGTGACTTTAATGTGGGACCATTTGCAAGCGTCGCTCAAGTGCTGCGGAGTCAACAACTACACCGACTACGAAAGTAGTACCAAGTGGAAAGATAGCGGCAAGGTCATCCCCGAATCCTGTTGCGTCTTGGAAGGGGACCCTTTGAAGTTTCAACCCAAGTCGCCTGAGTGCGTCACCAAGCCGAGCGAAGTCAACTCCTACTACAAAAAAGTGAGTACCTATTGTAGTAGTTTCGGTATGACTTATTATCGAACCACCGTTTCAGGGTTGCTTCAACGCCGTTATTCACTGGCTCATGACCCACATCGACATCGTCATAGGCATCGGCGTCGGCCTCGGCCTGCTCGAGCTCATCGGCATCTTCTTAGCCTTCTGCCTCTCCAAAGCCCTCAACGGCTACATCAAATGAGCCCCCACCAAAAAGTGCATTTAATCTAATAATCTAGTCGTTACGATCATTGTTGTCTAAGTGTGTACATATTCTAAGCAACGAACTCAGTATTACGTGCGCGTGCCTTTCGACCGACCAAATTTTCATAGTAGCACAGCACACTGTAACCTTGTTAGTGTTAAGGAGCCAAATAAACTTTCTTTACACATGGATCCTTTATTTACAATTTACATTCATTGCGGTCCCATCATGCCCATGGGCATGGAAACCGGGTACCCTGGTTGCCCGCCTTGCATGGCCGGGGACTGGATCTGCTGCACCGCCCCCGGCGCCGGACTCGGCTGCTGCGGCTCCGACGGCAGCACGAGGTTGAGCAGCAAATCGCGCAGCGCCGGGAAAATCGAACACTCGGTGATGTTCGACTGGAACTGCGTGAAGTGCTTGAGGAGCTGACTGGCGGCGGCCATGCCTGGAACCGACCCCGTCTCCCGCTTCTCCGCCAATTGGGTTAAATTCGTGTTAATGTCGTAGATGAAGGGGAGGATGAGCGACGGAGGTTCCATGTTCGAGGGGTACTGCACCCCCATGCGAGTTATTTGCAACTAAAAAAAAAAAAAACAAAAATGAATCCTACTGACTGCGCCACTTTCGCAACCTACATTGATTAAATACATATAGATAGACCCATGCTATTGTTTGGAGCGAACAAGAGATGGCGCACCAACAGTCGGCCGTCAAACGCCGGCGAAAAGCTTGGACACCAATCACGCGCATAGGTAACACAAATCACACCAACAATACATTTAATAAATCTACCACTCGATAGAGGGCGACGAAAAAAATGTGTAAAAATCTCATAGTCAGCATTTAAGGTTAAGGTAAAACAAATTTAATATTATGGCGGTATACCTATTATCCATGAACTGCATGGTTAACAAATATGCGTCCCTTCGTCCACTTTAAAGGTACGAAATTAAACGACCACTACTTTAATTAATAAGTAACAAGTCATCTAATTTGCTTCCAGAATAACTATGGGTTATCATCAAACTATGAACACCAAATTAATTCAATATGAACATCTTCTTACGTATTTTTTTATTAACAGTTGTCAAATCATTAAATACATATTATCTTTGAAACTAAAATGCATTTTATCCTAAGATTGTATCACAAAATATTCATCACCATTTAAATATATACGATTTAGACATCAAGAAATAAATTTAAAATTGCAAAAATTATATCTAGCAGACTTAAAACAGCCTTAAATGTGTCTTGTATGTACGTGCTTATCAGTATGTAGGCATTTTAACGCACAGCAATAATCGTTCTTTATGAGTAATGACTGATGACTACTGTGACACAGTAAATCCTCGAAATTGAAAATTTAAAACACTGAAAAATTCAAATATGGGAAAATTGTAAAATCGAAAAATGGAAACATAAAAAAATCAAAAAAAAAATTGGAAAATCTAAAATTTAAAAATCGAGAAATTGAACAATCGGTTAATTCAAAAATCGAAACATCGAAAAATTGGGAAATCGAAAAATAAAAAAAAATTGGACAATCGAAAATTTAAAAATTCCGAAAAAAAAAACTCAAAAAATCGAAAAAAATTAATAATTTCAAAAATCGAAGAGTTAAAATTGAGAAATCGAAAAACTGAAAAATCACAAAATTGAACGAAATATCAAAAAATTAGGAAATTAAAAAATTGAGAAACAAAAAAGTCAAAAAAACAGGGTCTAAAAATCGCAAACTTAAAAAATCGAAAAATTGAAAAATCAAAAACCTGAATAATCGAAAAATTGAAGAACTGAAGAACTGAAAAATCGAAACTTTAGGAAGTGGAGAAATAGGAATATAAAAAAATAGATTAATTGAGAAATCCGAAAACTAAAAATTCAGAAACGTCAAAATTTGAAAAATAAAAAAATATTGAAGAACTAAAAAATCGAAAAATCTAAAATTTAAAACACTGAAAAGTTAAAATATCCTAAAACTGAAAAATGGAGAAATCCAAACATGAAAAAATCAAAAATAAAAATAAAAATCTAAAATTTAATAATCGAAAAACTGAAAAATCAACGAATCGAGAAGTCGAGAATTTAAAAATTGGACAATTGAAAAATCGGATAAATCAAAAATCGAAACATCGAAAAATCGAGAAACCGAAAAGCAAAAAATCGAAAAACCAACAAATCGAAAAATCGAAACATTGTAAAATTAAAAAATTGAGACATCGAGAAATCGAAAAATCAAAAGACAAAAAAAATCGAGGAGTCGAAAAATCGAGAAGTCGAAAAATCAAAAAATTGAGAAACCGAAGTAGGCCAAAATCGAAAACTTAAATATGGAAAAATTGATAAAGCGAGATTGAATAATTAAAACATCGAAACATCAGAATCTCAATGAATTGAGATCTCAAAAAATTTAAACATTCGTAAATTTAAAAAATTAAAATATAGAACTGGAAACTCGAGAAACTGAAAAATCTAGAAATTTAAAAATTAAAATATGAAAAAGTTGAAAAATTGAGAAATTGAAATAAAAAACAAAAAACTGAAAATCCAAAAATAAAAAATTGAAAAATCTAGAAGTCGAAAAATGAAAGAATCGAAGTATTGAAAAATATCAAAACTGAAAGAAATATCCAAAAATTGAGAAATCGACAAACCAATAAAGCGAAGTCGAAAAATCGAAGAATTGAAGAACTGAAAAATCGAAACTTTGAGAAGTGGGAAAATCAAAAATAGATTAATTGAGAAATCAGAAAACTGAAAATTTAACGCAAAAATTTGAAAAATTCAAAAATTTAAATACTGAAGAACTGAAAAGTCAAAAAATCGAGAAATCGAAAAAACTAAAATTTAAAACAATGAATAATTAAAATATCGCAAAATTGAAGAATCGAGAGATTCAATTCAATTTGAAAAATTGGAAAATCCAGAAATTGAAAAGCTCAAAAGAAAAAAATCGAAAAACCGAGAAATCCAAAAATCGAAACATCGAAAAATTCAAAAACTGAGACTTCGAGAAATCGAAAAATCGGAGGATCGAGAAATTGAGGAGTCGGAAGCCGAAAAGGAAAAATTGAGAAATTGAACAATCAAAACAACGAAACATCTGAATTCGATAAATTGAGAAATTAAAAAATTGAATAAGTAATCGAAAAATTTTAAAAAAGAAAAACTGGAAAATCAAAAATTAAAATTCAAAAAATCGAAAAATGAAAAATTGAAATATAGAAGAACTGAAAACTCGAGATATCGAAAAACCTAGAATTTTAAAAAATGAAATATTAAAACATCGAAAAGTTTAAAAATTGAGAAATCGAAGCATTAAACAGTCCCAGAATTGAAAAATCTAAAGTTTACAATAAATTGAAAATCCAAAAAGGAAAAAAGCGAGAAATCAAAAAAAAATCCATCAATTCAAAAATCGAAAAGTCGAAAAATTGAAATATTGAAAAATTTCATAACTGAAAGAAATATTCAAAAAATTGAGAAATTAAAAAATTGGAAAATTGAGAAATCGAAAATCTAAAAAAGCATAATTGAAAAATCATAATCTTAAAAAATCGAAAAATTGAAGAATTGAAGATGTGAAAAATCGAGACTTTAGGAAATCCAGAAATGGACAAATAAAAAAAATACTTTAGAAATCGGTAAACTGAAAATTTAGAAACGTGAAAATTTGAAAAATTGAAAAATCGAAATATTTAAAAACCGTAAATTGAGAAGTCGTATCATTGAAACATCGAAAGATTGAGAAATCGAAAAATAAAAAAATCGAGAAATAGAAAATTTAAAGAATGGAGGAATCGGAAAAGCCCAAAATTGAAATATTGAAAAATTGAGACTTTTAAAGTTGAAAAATCGAGAAATCGACAAGCCGAAAAATCCCAATATAAAATGTGAAAGAAAATGTCTTATTTTCTAGTTTATGCGGCATATGTTACCCGTTTTTTAAGACATATATGAATGGATATGTTTTGTCTTAGTATACAGGGTGTTTCTTTTATTTGATACAACCCCTGTAACTTTTTTATTCTTAAACATAAACCTGTAGTTCTTTGAGCAAATGTATCATTTTAAAAGATCTTTGTGAGGGCAACCTCACATTTACATTATCACTTCCGGTAGAACCGGAAATGATATCAACTTAATTTTTTTTTATGGAACCCTAGGTATATTTTTTCATAAATGGAAAGACTGATTTTTTCTAAAAATCACAGGCAACCAATATTTCTAAAATCAATACTTAAAAAGTTATTAAATACAATACACGAAAAATTCATATTAATTGATGACAATCTAGTAGCTTGAAAAATTGACACTCATGTCATTTATTCACATAGATGATCTTTTAAAATGATACAAATTTGGTCAAAGAACTATATGTTTATTTTTTTAAATAAGAAAATTTCGGAGGTTGTATCAAATAAAAGAAACACGTGGTATATCTGTCCGTCTCTAGACTAATAAATTTTCTAAAAAAAATATAGTTAGTTTTGAGAAAACGCATTTGAAACCATTTTCCATATTATTAGTAACAAAAGCGAGCTCGCGAAAGCGTAAAAAAAAATTCCAAGTCCGGTAAAATTCAGCCAAAAAGGACAAGTCTTGTAAAGTATTACTATGTGTTTAAACATTTGATGCTGATTTGCACGAATAAACAAATTAAAACATTAGCCAAACAGCGGTTGCTAACGATGTCAGAAAAAGTGACTCGATTTGAACTTTTTCCAAAACAGTAATTATTTTATCGAATAAAAAAAATATGTTGACAGTATGAAATAAAATCCATAACGACATACCTCCGATAACTCTTTTCGCAGTATTCGTTTCGAAATTAAAAACTCGGCTCCCTACGGTCGCCTCGTCCTGAAAAATCTCACTCGTACTGTAAAGTTTGAGTATTTATAATAAAGTTAGCACTAACAAGTATTTAAAATAACAAGTAATAATTTGTTTGTTTTATTTATTTGTATTCATTATAATAATCCCATTTCTTTATCAGAAACTTTTAAACGAAATAAAACCTACTTGGCTAGAAATAACGGCAAACTTGTGTTAGGCTCATCTGGCAACGTTGTAAATTATCTAAATGCTGACTATGAGATTTTTACACATTTTTTTCGTCGCCCTCTATCGAGTGGTAGATTTATTAAATGTATTGTTGGTGTGATTTGTGTTACCTATGCGCGTGATTGGTGTCCAAGCTTTTCGCCGGCGTTTGACGGCCGACTGTTGGTGCGCCATCTCTTGTTCGCTCCAAACAATAGCATGGGTCTATCTATATGTATTCAATCAATGCAATCTACTTACGAAAAAGAGAATTTTGGTTCGATAAACCAAGACGCCTGACATTCCTGTGGGGACGATAGGTTGCGCGGAGGGTGGTATTCGAAGCATCCACTGCACCGACCACTTCATCCCCTGTTGTTGGACTAACCCCGGCATCAACTCTAACTTCATTATTTGAATGAAATCCTTCAACACGTTGCATGGAACGTTCAACATGGTGCAAAACGTGAACATGGAGGTGGGTTTGTACGGTGGAGTGGCCGTCCGAGTGTCGAAGAACTTCTCCAAAACTTGGAGCTCCTCGGAAGTCCAAACGTCCTTATTGTCAGACAGGGGGGTAATCTTGAGGTGGAGACTTTGTAAGTGTTGGGGGTTCAACCCGATGCGACATTGAAGCACCTCGGCCACTTTAAAATGGATAACCCCGGGTTCGGTGTTCGGGATGGCCGTCAACTGCAAAACACAGTCATGCACGTTTCTCAAAAACGTGGTACAAACTCACGTAGCTTTCGTTGTGTATGAACCTCTGGAGTTGTCGCCGCATGTAGACGCAGCCCAGGAAGCGCTCCAGTGGGGCTAATTCCGGCCCGGGAAGACCCTGCGGGTGCATGGAGGCACAACAAAGCGTCTCCAACGCTTCGTGGGTCAACAACGTCGGTACCGCGCCTGCCCATGACCTCTGTGGCAAGACCCTCGATAAGTGTCCTCCGGTTTTCAAATCCGACTGCGGACTGTGCATGATGGGGTGACCCCCAGGCGACTGTCCTGGTCTGGCGGGCGACGGGCGCGGCATACTCGGGGAGCCTGGCCAGTTGGAGGCGGCTGGCGACGCCAGCCCTTGCGACGACGGAAACGGGCTGCCGTCGGTGTGTCCCGTCGCCATAAAACTACTAACCGGAGAGTGCCCCGGCAAGCTCGTGGACACCGGTCCCGGCGACGAATTAGACAACAATCCCCCGGGACTCGGTAGTTGCGGGTTCAAGGGAGAATTAGCCACCAAGCCACCAGGACTGGGATGGGGCATAGGACTCGGGTTGATATTCGTGGGAAGGGACGTCGGCGACGACAAATTGAAAGACGTGGCAGGACTCGAACCAAAACTAGTATGGGTGTTGGGTTGGTTCATGCTCGAGGTGTGGGGACTGGCGGGGGTGTGGGGGTTGGAACCAGACGGAGGGGTGAGCGGGGGGTGGAAACGCAACCCCGGCTCGCGAGTCCCGGCCGGGGATTGGGGACCGCGGTGATGACCTAAAAATCCGCCTCCTTCGACTTCCACGGACACCGGAGACGGCGGATTGTCGTCTTCGGACTGCGATCTTCGCCGGAATACCGCAGTTTCGTCTACGTATTTAGACAAAAAGGCTTTTAGTCCTTGCGTGGGGGTGAAGACGTCGACGACGTTGCTACGGTCGAACCTGCTGTAGGCGCCGTCCCTCAAAGAGACCAACCCTGCACCTCTTATACGTAACTCGAGACAGTACATTCCCTGGTACGCTAACCGGATGAGAGTGCACGACTGCGCCATTATCGTGAACGTCTGGACCGGGACCTGAGGGCGCTACAACCGCTAAATAACGACGACGAGGTCCAAAAGGTCGGACTTACCGTATTCTGGATACCCAGCTGGGGGAGCGTCGGGAGCTTACTTATGGAGATGAGAGGTTCATACGTTTCGTACAACAATTGTATGATTTGTGCCAGGTTTCGGTGTTCGTTCAGGTGGCTCTCGAGCTGTTCTTTGATCAAGGAATGGGCGTTGAGGGTGCTATTAGCGGCACCGAAGGCCAACTTGAAAGCCTTCTCCGTGCTGTTCCAGTTAATAGAGACCATGGCGCCCTTATCGGGACCATAACAAAGTACCAGCTTGCTATAGTTGTACGACTTAATACTGAACATATTCGACAGGTTGTACTTATCTTAAAAAAAAAAAAAAAATATAGTGAGTGTTGATTATTCGTTACTACGAAGTACCGATTTTTAAGTACTCGCTCAGGTCGTGCACTAGAGTGTATAAATGTACGATTTGCCCCCAGTCACTCAATAGCGCGTCCACCGTCCTCGACGTAGCGTCCACCGTTGCCATATCGTACTGGAAGTACACCGGTCGCCGTGACCCTACACAAACCCATCATCAATCCCCACCGTACTATCATTGTTTAAGTATATTATAGTTGGACAACCTATACGGACAATCACTTTCCCATGTAGAAAAGAATGAATATATATTTTACATCTCACTCGCTTCACTATGAAGTGGCGGTACCTTACGAAAGGGGGTAAAAATAGTCCGTAAGCACGTGATGTCGGTAAGGTAGTAAACGGACGTATTAATCAGTACGTTGTACGGGGAGCAGTCACAAAATAAGCAAACGTAGGTACGTGTTGAAGACTTTACATATATGTAATATATGTATATGTAGTGCATACCTGTTTCAAGGTTAAGGTAACAAAAATTTAATATTATCGCGGCATACCTATTATCCATGAACTGCATGGCTAACAAATATGCGTCCCTTCGTCCACTTTAAAAGTATACGAAATTAAACGACCACTACTTTAATTAATAAGTAACAAGTCATCTAATTTGCCTACAGAATAACTATGGATTATCATCAAACTATGAACACCAAATTAATTCAATATGAACATCTTCTTACGTATTTTTTTTATTAACAGTAGTCAAATCATTAAATACATATTATTTTTGAAACTAAAATGCATTTTATCCTAAGATTGTATCACAAAATATTCATCACCATTTAAATATATACGATTTAGACATCAAGAAATAAATTTAAAATTGCAAAAATTATACTAAAACAGCCTTAATCGTTCTTGATGAGTAATGACTGATGACTACTGTAACACAGTAAATCCTCGAAATCGAAAATTTAAAACACTGAAAAATTCAAATATGGGAAAATTGTAAAATCGAGAAATCGAAACATAAAAAAATCAAAAAAATTAAAATTGGAAAATCTAAAATTTAAAAATCGAGAAATTGAACAATCGGTTAATTCAAAAATCGAAACATGGATAAATTGTAAAATCGAAAAATAAAAAAACATTGGACAATCGAAAATTTAAAAATTCCGAAAATTGAAAAATTGAAATATAGAGAACTGAAAACTCAAAAAATCGAAAAAAATTAATAATTTCAAAAATTGAAAAGTTAAAATTGAGAAATCGAAAAACTGAAAAATCACAAAATTGAACGAAATATCAAAAAATTAGGAAATTAAAAAATTGAGAAACAGAAAAATCAAAAAAGAAGAGTCTAAAAATCGCAAACTTAAAAAATCGAAAAATTGAAAAATCAAAAACCTGAATAATCGAAAAATTGAAGAACTGAAAAATCGAAACTTTAGGAAGTGGAGAAATGGGAATATAAAAAAATAGATTAATTGAAAAATCCGAAAACTAAAAATTCAGAAACGTCAAAATTTGAAAAATAAAAAAATATTGAAGAGCAGAAAAATCGAAAAATGTAAAATTTTAAACATTGAAAAGTTAAAATATCCTAAAACTGAAAAATGGAGAAATCCAAACATCAAAAAATAAAAAAAAATCTAAAATTTAATAATCGAAAAACTGAAAAATCGACGAATCGAGAAGTCGAGAATTTAAAAAATTGGACAATTGAAAAATCGGATAAATCAAAAATCGAAACATCGAAAAATCGAGAAACCGAAAAGCAAAAAATCGAAAAACCAACAAATCGAAAAATCGAAACATTGTAAAATTCAAAAATTGAGACATCGAGAAATCGAAAAATCAAAAGACAAAAAAATCGAGGAGTCGAAAAATCGAGAAGTCGAAAATCCAAAAAATTGAGAAACCGAAATAGGCCAAAATCGAAAAATCGACAACTTAATATGGAAAAATTGATAAAGCGAGAGATTGAATAATCAAAACATCGAAACATCCGAATCTCAATAAATTGAGATCTCAAAGAATTTAAAAATTTGGAAATTTAAAAAATTAAAGTATAGAACTGGAAACTCGAGAAACCGAAAAATCTAGAAATTTAAAAATTAAAATATGGAAAAGTTGAAAAATTGAGAAATTGAAATAAAAAACAAAAAACCGAAAATCCAAAAATAAAAAATTGAAAAATCTAGAAGTCGAAAAATGAAAGAATCGAAGTATTGAAAAATATCAAAACTGAAAGAAATATCCAAAAATTGAGAAATCGACAAACCAATAAAGCGAAGTCGAAAAATCGAAGAATTGAAGAACTGAAAAATCGGAACTTTGAGAAGTGGGAAAATCAAAAATAGATTAATTGAGAAATCAGAAAACTGAAAATTTAACGTAAAAATCTGAAAAATTGAAAAATTTAAATACTGAAGAACTGAAAAGTCAAAAAATCGAGAAATCGAAAAAACTAAAATTTAAAACAATGAATAATTAAAATATCGCAAAATTGAAGAATCGAGAAATCCAATTCAATTTGAAAAATTGAAAAATTCAAAAATCGGGGATTGAAAAATTGGAAAATCCAGAAATTGAAAAGCTCAAAAGAAAAAAATCGAAAAACCGAGAAATCCAAAAATCGAAACATCGAAAAATTCAAAAACTGAGACTTCGAGAAATCGAAAAATCGGAGGATCGAGAAATTGAGGAGTCGGAAGCCGAAAAGGAAAGTTAAAAATTGAAAAATTGAGAAACTGAACAATCAAAACAACGAAACATCTGAATTCGATAAATTGAGAAATTGAAATATAGAAGAACTGAAAACTCGAGATATCGAAAAACCTAGAATTTTAAAAAATTAAATATTAAAACATCGAAAAGTTTAAAAATTGAGAAATCGAAGCATTAAACAGTCGCAGAATTGAAAAATCTAAAGTTTACAATAAATTGAAAATCGAAAAAGGAAAAAAGCGAAAAATCAAAAAAAATCCATCAATTCAAAAATCGTAAAGTCGAAAAATTGAAATATTGAAAAATCTCATAACTGGAAGAAATATTCAAAAAATTGAGAAATTAAAAATTTGGAAAATTGAGAAATTGAAAATCTAAAAAAGCAAAATTGAAAAATCGTAATCTTAAAAAATCGAAAAATTGAAGAATTGAAGATGTGAAAAATCGAAACTTTAGGAAATCCAGAAATGGACAAATAAAAAAAATACTTTAGAAATCGGCAAACTGAAAATTTAGAAACGTGAAAATTTGAAAAATTGAAAAATCGAAATATTTAAAAACCGTAAATTTGAAGAGGACAAAAATTGAAAAATCGTATCATTGAAACATCGAAGGATTGAGAAATCGAAAAATAAAAAAATCGAGAAATAGAAAATTTAAAGAATGGAGGAATCGAAAAAGCCCAAAATTGAAATATTGAAAAATTGAGACACATAAAGTTGAAAAATCGAGAAATCGACAAGCCGAACAATCCCAATAGCGTAATTAGGTATAAACCACAAGATCAGGACTATTCTACTTTTTAAAATTTAAATAACAATATAAATTGGAAAATGTTGATTTTTTTTTCCAAAAATCTTGACGTCTAAGGTGAAAACTCGACACGGCTGCATAAACCGTAAACGGGGCGAAACTACAATTTTACTATTGTAAAATTTGGAGATTGCGTCATTTCATTGTTCGTAAGAAATTTTGGAGAGTGTAATTTGATAGTACAATTTGAAATGTAAATTTTGTCATTCGGGAACATTATGTATTAAATCGTTAAGATGTTCAAGAACTTTGTTCACTTATTCGTTGTAAAGTCCAATGGTCGAAATGGGTTAGTTCTTCGTAGTGGATGTGTATCAGATCAACTCTAACGAATATCGGTTTATAGATAAATCGCTTAAAGCCGATATTGGCCTGAGTGTGCTTTGGTCTGTAGACGAAAAATTGCATGTGGAGGGAGACTTCGGATTACAAATCGTGCCAAGAAAGACATATTTGGGAGAGATGGATTTTCAGGTGCTTGACTAGCGGTAATTTTAAATTGTTTGCTGTCGTTCGCACAATTTCATTAAAATGATAATTATAAAATTATCATAATCACTATTGGTATTAATTAACACAAAATGGCGCGCAAGTTATCAGTTGATTTCGTTAATAAATTCATAGAAATCCTATATGGGATTTTTTCATGCCTTAGAAAATTAAAAAGTAAAAAATACAATAACAAAAATTTTAAAATGCGGTTTACGAAAAATTAGTTGACCTGTGCAAAGAAGAAAATTTTGGAAACGCTGACAAATATGACATCTTAAAAAAAATAACACTTGAAGAAGTGCTTTCGGCGTAATATTTTTGATGCTCCCGTGAACAAAATACTCTATGTCAGTGTGCAGTGCGCAAAGAGTTAACTGTGCAGATCTAGCCGAAAATCCGAAAACCAAATCGCTCTGTGTAGGGCCAGCATAACGGAAGTAATAAATCATCCCATCGGTTGAAGAACGTTGGGTCGGTGCACTGATGTCGGTGTTATATCCCGAGAGGGGCCCAATACACCCAATAAAATGGAACAGACAAAATAAAGCTTCAAACATGATTATTTTTATATACTAAAATTCTGAAGTCTATAAACTGCACATTTTTTTATTTATTTATTTATTTATTTTATCTTGTTTTCGAACTATAATAAACATTTCAAACAATGTCTGTAACTTATTTTAATGTAAATTATATTCATGTGGTTAACAAAATCAGATGTAATATTAGTGTGATTTTGACCTTATTCTAGATTTTATTACAGCAGAACGGCGTATCCTTTTTAAATTTTAGAAGTTACGGAAACTAGTTCAAGAAACAATTAGTTATCTCGTATTTTTGGAACAAAATCTACCAAAATGTCCGATAACAGCAATTGTTTTTCATAGAAACAAACAGTCTTCAAAGCAGCCTTTAACAACTCGATATTACAAACATGCCTCTTAAGTTCTTTATGCGTTTTTTTCTCTCTTGTAATTATTTGTAATGTTAACGCCGAAAGTTTATGTCATTCTGTTATTTACTTTGAACATATATTTTCATTTTGTGTTAATATTTTTGTAACACCACGAATCTAAATTTTACTTAAAATCTTGTTTTACTTTAATCTTGTAAAACTAAACAATTATACCAGTTTAAAAACCCTTGGAAAGTTTCTGTCAGTCTTCAGATATAGTCAAATAAAAATAGGCGTCAAATTCATTTAAATTCAATTCTTTCGTATCACGTTACAACGCGTTGCTTCATATTTTTTATGTCAAGTATATTTTCATATTTTGTACATATATGTTTATACACATTACTAGAGAGCGGATTTTATGAAATTTGCATATCCGTTATTTTTTGCATATAAGTCTTGATATTTAATATGTGAACGAATCATGCTAATTAAAAATGAATACAGCTATAAAAAAATTGCATATTTGCATATATTTGCCTTCTGCTGCATATTTCACGTAACGGGTGCATATTTTGCATTTTTATCAATTTTTGTGCTAATTTGAAAAAAAAATTGTCATTCTATTGGCATTTATCTAGAAAAACGAAATTTTATGAATCATATTTCAAATTTTGTCCTGAGCTTCAAATAACTAGTAAAGGTTTGGGTTTTATGGTAGTTTGGAGAAACCACCGGGTGTTAAGCCATTCTTCCACGTAAATTCGGGCTTTAATTACTTTTGGAAATATCGTTGATTCCCAATATTTTTGTTCGTTACTTAAGCGTATTAATGGTATGTTTTATGGTGATCGAAGGAACGTTACCCTATTATTTTTCATCGTGAGTTTGCATTGACAGTGTCTCAATATGTCGACGATAACTCTAATTAATTTATGGATTAAAGCTTTTCTTGAACTTATTCTTCAAGAAGGAACTCTGTTTTGTCGCGCCTGCTCTAAACCGGTAAGGATTTTTATACATCAGTGGACGTAGTACGCACTTTTTCTACTTACAAAAGCATATTTTAGAATCACCGGAAAAACTTTTTGTTAGAATATTTCGAAAAATATTTAAAAATAAACTGTTACCAAAATAGTAATTACCACTATTTTTCAATTTGTTCTGTTTTTATTATATTTATTTTTTACTATAACAATATTATCTTTAAAAATGTGATTTATGTGTTAGTGAGAATTAATTAAACACTTTACAATGTGATTTATGTATTTTTTGTAATAAAATGTATGCTCGGGAAACCTGTTTTTGTAATTTGTAAATAAATTTAATTCGGTTATTACGGTTTTTTTTTTATTTTTGGAGCATATGCAACTGCATATCTCTGCATATATTAGGAAAGTTACTGCATATTTGCATAAATTTGATGCATATCATATGATCATATTTCCCAAAATTTTGCTGCATATTTTCCGCTCTCTACACATTACTGTTTACGGAACAATGTTAATTATGGATTTGTGGATAACTCCTCGTATAAGAGCAGAGTGAAGGGTGTTTGCATTTGCTAATGTTTGATGGCGCCATCTGATTTAGAGTAAAATAAACCTAATACGTTGGCTCACTGTAGTGAAAATGCGCGTTGACGAAAAATTTGTCCCACGCCCCCTGGATTCCTTGTCCTAAAGCTCACTATTTAGGCGAAGTAAAATTTGTATTAGGTTGTCCAACTATAATATACTTAAACAATGGTACTATTAATTCCTTACCCACCTTGCTCCTTCGGGTGCGTACTGGCCAGCGGCGTCGCATAAAACACGAACTCCGTCATCCAGCTCTTCATCACGCCTTTGCTGAGCACTCGGATCGACACCGAGAGCAGCCTCTTCAAGAGGGCGTGCCACGCCCCGCCTACCCCCACCTCGGCGGTAGGCGGGGGCAGCTGCACCAATCGTAGCACCAACCCAGTAGCGTTGGCCTCCACCTGCAACCCCTGGTGGAAAATGGCGCGCTTCGTCAGCTCGTTGGCTAACCCGACGTACGGCAGCCGCTCGTCGCACATGGCCACCACGTGCGCCAGCTCGGCTATGAAGTAGGCGGGCTGTTTGGCCCGGCGAGCCGGATGCTCCGGTCTAACCCCGCCCTTGCGCTTGAGGGAACCCGAGTCGGTGTGCTCCGGGTCCGACGTGCTATCGATAGGAGTGAAAGGCCCGTGAGTCGCCACGAACGTGTCGAACTCGATGAGGGTCTGCACTTTGAGGTACACCTTCGGGATTTCGGTCTCAATCGTGTCGTCGTCAGGGTTGTCCTCGATGCTCGACTGTTTGACGACAGCCATGTAAAAGGCGCAGTCGACTTCGCACGGGGCGGAGTCTTTTTCCTTAAGCTCGACGATCTAAACACGAAAATATTTATCGTATTATTATTTACACATGATAAAGATAAGTGGAATTCCCAAGTACCGCACTGATTAATCTATCAACCATAAAAATCGCTAGTTTTTCCGTAATTTCTACCGAGATGAGACGTCGAAAGAGCAAGAAGGGCGAACCCGGTGCGCACCGTCTCGTCAACCCGATTCAGGTCGCGGGCGTGGCTTTTCGGTCGGGGCGCAAAGAAGCGGCCGTGAAAATCCTTGAAGACGAGCTCGGGAGCGGCGAACTGGTCGAAACGTTGTTGAAATGGTCCGAAAACACGGCCGCCTTTTACAAAGCCCTGGAAAGCGGCGACCCGGATTTGCTGTACATGGTGATGCTCAGGCTTCGGAAGATCAAGTCACCCGACGATTTCCGGAAGACGATTCGCAATTTCCCGGTTGCGGTGACTCTGTACAAGAAGTACTGCCACCAGTTCAACAGGCAGGAGTTGTACGAGATGTACGTAAAGGAGAAGGACTTCGGTGCCCAAGCGGCGACTTTCATTTCGGCAATCGTCGATTATAAAGTAAGTTCTTAATTTTAGTCACTTCCGACAGTCGGTCCTAGTGATTTTAGATTAAAAAAAATTTTAGAACCGCAATTGGCTTTTTTAAAAATAAAAATAGATAAATAAAACAAATTTCAGGAGCCAGTGCTTTTTTATGTCATTTGCCAAAATCAGTCTTATCTTAGCAAGTTTTAACCCCGCCCACCCACCCTCTATTTTCTTGGAAAGTATGTGATTTGCCAAAATTAGTCTTATCTTAGCAAGTACTTCTCATTCTAACGACTAATTTTATTTAAGAAATGATTTGTTTGTATTGTGTTTTGTTTTTCTTATATGTACGTAGTTTTTCCGTTAACGACAAGAAACTGAAAACTTGTTTAAAATGGTAAATTTGTAGAGAAGTCTGGCAGATAAAATTTACGATTGTAAACATGTTTTCAGTCTTTTGTTGTGAAGAGTATGAATATTAAGGAGATAAAAGTTAAATACTAAGAACTTGAAAAAACAAATGAAAAAAATCTTGTTGGGACCCTGGTGTTTAAATTTTTGAAAAATAATAAAAACAAATCTCGTTCGACCAATTTTTGAAAAATCAGAAAATGTTCTGTGGGCTCCTTGAATGGAAAAAAAAATGGGAGCCCTGGTGTCTTTTGAGAGAATATCTTGGAGAGCCTGGTATTTTAATAATGACAGAAAATATCTCGAGGAGCCCTTGTTTTTTTTTTAATGTGAAGTATTTTGAAAAAATCTTGGAGGCATGCTAGTGTTTAAATTAAAAAAAAATCTTTCCTAACTATTTTTTTTTTAAGAATGTAGAAATATCTTGGGAACTGATGGTGTTTTAATAATAAAAAAAATCTCAAGGACTTCTTCAATAAAAAAATAAATAAATGAATAAATAAAACAAACTTTGGAAGCCCTTGTGTACTTTTTTTAAGAATCTGAAATATCTGAAAAAATCTCCAGGTGTTTTTGTGTATTTTTATGTCTTGGAGGCCCCGTATTTTAAAAATAAGAATAGAAAAAAATTTCCAGGAACCCTCTTTTTTTAATGTGAAGTATTTTGAAAAAATCTTGTGAGATAAGTGTTCAAATTTTTAAAAAATAAAAAAGATTTCTAGGGCCCCTCTTTTTTTAATTTCTTGAGGACTGATAGTGTTTTAATTATTATTTTTTTAATCTCAGGGACTCCATGTGTCTTAAAAAATTAGAAAACATCTTGAGGGCCCTTTCTTCAATAAAATAAATAAATAAATAAAACAAATTTAAGGAGCCCTTCTGTATTTTTTTAAAGAATCTGAGTGTCCTTTTATGAACTTGAAAAAAAAATGATAAGACGCTTGCTGGGACCCCGGTGTTTAAATTTTTAAAACAGAATAAAAACAAATCTAGTTCGACCAATTTTTGAAAAATGAGAAGATATTTTGCCTTTTTTTTCCTTAATATACATAGCCATCTTTTCACAACAAAAAACTTAGAACATGGTGAAAATCGTACAATTTTGCAAGAAAATATGGATTTTGCAATTATGGGGCGGAGTCTATTTGCAAAATCGATATTTCCTTATACAAATTTTCCATGTTTTAAGTTCCGTATTGTGAAAAGAAGTCTACCAATATTAAAACAAAAAGGCAAAATATGAGCCCGCCCACCCGCCCCTTTTCGATTGTGATGATTTTTTTATTCGCCGTGAACCAAGAGGGCGGAGCTTAACTGCAAAATACTTATTTCTTGACATGAAATTAAAAACATGTTTTTGAGTATCGTGTTGTTCAATCACATGGTGATTTCTTGTAGTGAAATAATAAGGATTTTGCAATTAAATTGTGCTCCTTTGGTTCTCGACGATAAAAAAAATATCACAATTGAGGTAGGGTGGGTGGGCGGGGCTTATATTTTGTCTTTTTTCTTAATACGTACGTAGTCGTCTTTTCAGAACGATAAACTTAAAACATGTCTAAAATGGTAAATTCTTATAAACAAATATGGATATTGAAATTAAGCCCCGCCCACAATTAAGAATTGAGATCGGGGCGGGTATGGGTGGGGTCTAAATCTTTGGCTTTATTTTTTCTTATCATACATAGTATTCTTTAAAAAACACGATACTCAAAAATATGGTTTTCATTTCGGGTAGAGAAATCAGGATTTTGCAGTTAGATCCGCCTTTTTGGCTCAGGACGAATAAAAAAAATCATCACAATTGAGATAGGTCGGATGGGTGGGGCTACATTTTGCCTTTTTGTCTTAATATGTCTAGACTTATTTCGACAACAAGAAACTTAAAACATGTCTAAAATGGTAAATTTTTGTAGTAATCAACTTGAATGGAAAAAAAAATTCGGGAGCTCCTGTGTATTTATTTAATATCTTGGAGATATATTTTAATACTAAGGATAGAAAATATCTCGAGGAGCCCTTGTTTTTTTTAAATGTGAAGTATTTTGAAAAAATCTTGGTGGCATGCTAGTGTTTAAATAAAAAAAAAATAATTTAAATTTTCTCTGGTACCTACTTGTTTTTTTTTAAGAATGTAAAAGTATCTTGGGAACTGTTGGTTTTAATAATAAAAAAAAAGTCAGGGACTCCGTGTGTCTTTTAAAAAATATGAAAATATGTTCAGGCCCTCTTCTTTAATAAAACAATAAATAAATCCAACTCCTTTATAATAAAAATAATAACAATATTACAAAAAAAATCTTCAGGTGCCTTTGTGTCTTTTTATATCTTGGACACCCCGGTATTTTAATAATAAGAATAGAAAAAAATCTCGAGAAACCCTATTCTTTTTAATGTCAAGTATCTTGCAAAAATCTTGGTGGGATAATGGTGTTTAAATTTTCAAAAAGGCAAAATATAAGCCCGCCCACCCGCCCAATCTCAAATGTGATGATTTTTTTTATTCGCCGTGAGCCAAGGGGGCGGAGCTTAACTGCAAGATACCTATTTCTTTACAAGAAATTAAAAACATGTTTTTCAGTATCGTGTTGTTCAAAGAATACTATGTAAATTAAGAAAAAAAGGCAAAATATAAACCCCGCCCACCCACCCCATGTCAATTGTGAAGATTTCTTTTATTCTTAGAAACTTAAAACACGTTTAAAATGGTAATTTTTTTTACGAAAATGTGGATTTTGCAACTAGGCTCCGCCTCTAGATCTGTCAACGAATGAAAATTTCATTACAATTTTGATCAAGGCAGGTGTGGGTGGGACTTAATCTTTGGCTTTAATTTTTTCTTAATATATGTACATAGTATTCTGTGAATAACACAATACTGAAGAACATTTCTAACATGTTAATTTCCTGTAGAGAAATAATAAGGATTTTGCAATTAAATTCCGCTCCTTTGACTCTCGACGATTAAAAAAAAAGATCACAATTGAGATAGGGTGGGTGGGCGTGGCTTATATTTTGCCTTTTTTCTTAATATGTACGTAGTCGTCTTTTCAGAACGATAAACTTAAAACATGCTTAAAATTGTAAATTCTTGTAAACAAATATGGATCTTGCAATTAAGCCCCGCCCACAATTGAGAATTGAGATCGGGGCGGGTATGGGTGGGGTCTAAATCTTTGGCTTTATTTTTTCTTAATATACATAGTATTCTTCGAAGAACACGCTACTCAAAAATATGCTTTTCATTTCGCGTAGAGAAATAAGGATTTTGCAATTAGATCCGCCTTTTTGGCTCACGAAGAATAAAAAAATCATCACAATTGAGATAGGTCGGATGGGTGGGGCTACATTTTGCCTTTTTGTCTATGTGTAGACTTATTTCGACAACAAGAAACTTAAAACATGCCTAAAATGGTAAATTTTTGTAGCGATCAACTTGAATGGGAAAAAAAAACTCGGGAGCCCATGTGTCTTTTTTTAAAATCTTAGAGAGTCTGGTATTTTAATAATAAGGATAGAAAATATCTCGAGGAGCCCTTGTTTTTCTTAAATGTGAAGTATTTTGAAAAAATCTTGGTGGCATGCTAGTGGTTAAATTTAAAAAAAAATCTCTAGTACCTATTTTTTTAATGTAAAAATATCTTGGGAACTGATGGTGTTTTAATTAAAAAAAAAATCTCAGGAACCCCGTGTGCCTTTTAAAAAATGTGAAAATATCTTGAGGGCTCCGTCTTTAATAAAAAAATTAAGAAATCAATCAATAAAACAAACTTCGGAAGTCTTTGTGTATTTTTTTTAAGAATCTGAAAATATCTTTGGAGTCCCTGCTCCTTTAATGATGATAATAATAATAATAACAGAAAAAATATCTCCAGGTGCATTTGTGTCTTTTTTGTATCTTGGAGATCCCCGTATTTTAATAATAAGAACAGAAAAAAATCTCGAGGAACCTTCTTTTTTTAATGTGAAATTTCTTGTAAAATTCTTAGTGGGATCCTGGTGTTTAATTTTTTTTTAATAAAAAAGATCTCTAGGACCCGTCTTTTTTTTCAATGTCAAAGTATCTTGAGGACTGATGGTGTTTTAATTATTTTTGTTTTTGATCTCAGGGACTCCATATATCTTTTAAAAAATGAGAAAACATATTGAGAGCCGTTTCTTTAATAAAAGTAATAAATAAATAAATAAATAAATAAATAAATAAAACAAATTTCCGGAGCCCTTCTGTATTTTTTTAAGAATCTAAGTGTCCTCTTGTGAACTTGAAAAAAAAAATGAAAAGAAGCTTCCTGGTGTTTAAATTTTTAAAAAAGAATAAAAACAAATCCCGTTCGACTCCAATTTTTGAAAAATGAGAAAATATTTTGCTTTTTTTTTCTTAATAAACATACCCATCTTTTCACAACAAAAAACTTAGAACATGGTTAAAATCGTACAATTTTGCAAGGAAATATGGATTTTGCAATTATGGGGCGGAGTCTATTTGCAAAATCGATATTTCCTTATACAAATTTTCCATGTTTTAAGTTCCATATTGTGAAAAGAAGTCTACCAATATTAAAACAAAAAGGCAAAATGTGAGCCCGCCCACCCGCCCCATCTCGATTGTGATGATTTTTTTTATTCGCCGTGAACCAAGAGGGCGCAGTTTAACTGCAAAATACTTATTTCTTTACAAGATATTAAAAACATATTTTCGCGTATCGTGTTGTTCAAAGAATGCTATGTATATTCAGAAAAAATCCAAAACATAAATCTCTCAATTGTCATGATATCTTTTATTCTTAGAAACTTAAAACACATGGTGACTTCTTGTAGTGAAATAATAAGGATTTTGCCATTAAATTCTGCTCCTTTGGTTCTCGACGATTATAAAAAAAATCATCACAATCGAGATAGGGTGGGTGGGCGGGGCTTATATTTTGCCTTTTTTTAATATATGTAGTCGTCTTTTCAGAACAAGAAAAAAAGAAACTTAAAACATGTTTAAAATGGTAAATTCTTGTAGACAAATATGGATCTTGCAATTAAGCCCCGCCCACAATTAAGAATTGAGATCGTGGCGGGTATGGGTGGGGCCTAAATCTTTGGCTCTATTTTCTCTTAATATACATAGCATTTTTTGAAGAACACGATACTCAAAAATATGTTTTTCATTTCGCGTAGACGAATAAGGATTTTGCAGTTAGATCCGCCTTTTTGGCTCACGACGAATTAAAAAGTCATCACAATTGAAATAGGGCGGGTGGGCGGGGCTACATTTTTTGATTTTTTGTCTTAATATGTGTACACTTATTTCGACAACAAGAAACTTGAAACATGTCTAAAATGGTAAATTTTTGTAGTAATCAACTTGAATGGGAAAAAAAATTCGGGAGCTCCTGTGTATTTATTTAATATCTTGGAAATATATCTTAATAATAAGGATAGAAAATATCTCGAGGAGCCCTTGTTTTTTTTAAATGTGAAGTATTTTGAAAAAATCTTGGTGGCATGCTGGTGTTTAAATAAAAAAAAATTATTTAAATTTTCTCTGGTACCTACTTGTTTTTTTTAAGAATGTAAAAGTATCTTGGAAACTGTTGGCTTTAATAATAAAAAAAAAGTCAGGGACTCCGTGTGTCTTTTAAAAAATATGAAAATATGTTCAGGCCCTCTTCTTTAATAAAACAATAAATAAATCCAACTCCTTTAATAATAAAAATAATAACAATATTTCAAAAAAAAAATCTTCAGGTGCCTTTGTGTCTTTTTATATCTTGGACACCCCGGTATTTTAATAATAAGAATAGAAAAAAATCTCGAGAAACCCCATTATTTTTAATGTAAAGTATCTTGCAAAAATCTTGGTGGGATAATGGTGTTTAAATTTTCAAAAAGGCAAAATATAAGCCCGCCCACCCGCCCTATTTCGATTGTGATGATTTTTTTATTCGCCGTGAGCCAAGGGGGCGGAGCTTAACTGCAAAATCCTTATTTCTTCTTCTTTTATTTTGTAATTACGCCTATTTCTGTACAAGAAATTAAAAACATGTTTTTTAGTATTCTGTTCAAAGAATACTATGTAAATTAAGAAAAAAAGGCAAAATATAAACCCCGCCCACCCACCCCATTTCAATTGTGAAGTTTTCTTTTATTCTTAGAAACTTAAAACACGTTTAAAATGGTAATTTTTTTTACGAAAATGTTGATTTTGCAATTAGGTTCCGCCCCTAGATCTGTCAACGAATAAAAACTTCATTACTATTTTGAACAGGGCAGGTGTGGGTGGGACTTAATCTTTGGCTTTAATTTTTTCTTAATATATGTACATAGTATTCTGTGAATAACACAATACTCAAGCACATATCTTACATGTTAATTTCCTGTAGAGAAATAATAACGATTTTGCAATTAAATTCCGCTCCTTTGGCTCTCGACAATTAAAAAAAATCATCACAATTGAGATAGGGTGGGTGGGCGGGGCTTATATTTTGCCTTTTTTCTTAATATACGTAGTCGTCTTTTCAGAACGATAAACTTAAAACATGTTTCAAATGGTAAATTCTTGTAGACAAATATGGATCTTACAATTAAGCCCCGCCCACAATTGAGAATTGACATCGGGGCGGGTATGGGTGGGGCCTAATCTTTGGCTTTATTTTTTAGGATTTTGCAGTTAGATCCGCCTTTTTGGCTCACGACGAATAAAAAAAAATCATTACAAATGAGATAGGGCGGGTGGGCGGGGCTACATTTTGCTTTTTTGGCTTAATATGTGTAGACTTATTTCGACAACACGATCGATCTCTTGGTATTTTAAAAAATTGATGTGTTTTAATAAATAAAAACCGAAAATTCCAGGAGTTACACCTAAAAGAGACGCTCTTGGCCTCAGCCAGCGAGGCCTACTCCAAAGGCCGCAACGCCCCCTACGCCCGCCTGTGCGAGCAACAACTCAAACTCCTCGCCTACCAAAGAAAACTCAACGAAAAATACATCGACCACAACTTCCTCGGAAGAACGATCCACCAAACCTGCTCTTTACTCGTACGAAGCGACCCGAACGCGGCCGAAGAGTTCCGCGCCGAGTTCCACATCCCCGAACAGAGATTCTGGTGGCTGAAAATCCAAGCCCTTGCGGAAACCGACGACTGGAAAAACCTAGAAAAGCTGTCTCAAAGCGAAAACTGCCCCATGGGCCCCGAAAAATTCGTAGACGCGTGTTTACAAAGAAACAACGAAAAGGAGGCCATGAAGTACTTGTCGATGGTGCCCGAGCAACTCAAGCTGAAATATCTCATCAAAATGAGGCGAGTTTGTCGAGATTAATATAAATTAATTGACTAAATTGAATTTCGTAGACTTTTGGAGGAGGCGGCTGAGATGGCATTCAGAAAAAACGACTACTACAACTTGCTTCTGGTCAATAGTTTGTGCGAACACCGGTCCGAGTTGGCGGCGAGAGTGCAGTCGATGATTAGACAGCTGGAGGCGGCGGACAACGGCGCATCCCCCAGCCTATTCAAAGCTTGTCTCGGCTTGTAAAGCCGACTTTTATAAATGATAATTAAATAAAGTCGCGTTTTTAACCGAATAAATACTAGCTCGTCGAAGATGACTCACCAGGACGACGTTGGGGTGTCGGTGCAGCTGCACGTACATCTTGTGTCTGCCGATCTTCGTCAGCGGGTGGTCGGCGTGGTGCAGCAGCGGCAGGCGCTCGTGCGCCGTCGCCGGCAGGTGCTGGAGCGTCTTCTCGCACCGCCTCTGCGTGATCCAGAACCTCAGCTCGCTGATGAGCACCGGGAGCTTGGCGTGGTCGCCGTTGAGGGCGTTGTTCAGCTCGGGGATGAGCGGCGGCTCGTACTGCGGCACGTGGCACTGCAGCATCCCCGTGTGGGTGTCGACGGTGATGAGCAGCTGCTCGGCCCGCAGGCACGGCTGGAGGATGGCGACGGAGAGGATCGCCGGCGAGCCCTGCAGGTTGCACTCGACCTCCTTGAGCATGGTCTGGATCTCGAGCTTGATGTCGGTGAGGCGGCTGCGCGTGCGCACGTAGATGGTGTGCACGAGGAGGCGCTCCATGGAGAGGATCTCGGAGCGGATGGCGCGGTCGGCCACTTCGCTCTCCTAGAGTATCGCAATCATTAAAAAAATTGGTCGGAGGTTATTTCGACAGAACTTCCCTCGCGTCTTTGAAAAATCATAAACAGATTTTTGAGATGTTTGTTTCCAAGTTTAAATTTTTCAGAGTAAAATAATTACTCTGAATTCAATTATTATAATTCATTAATTACAATTTAGAAATTTTGTATTTTCTAGCAAAAAAAAATTAGGTTATTTCGTCAGAACTAAAGTAATAACCATAAAAACGGAATATCGAAAAATCGGAAGTTCGAAAATCTAAAAAAAAAAAAATTGAAACATTTTCGGAGTCACAAAATCGAAAATTGAAAAACCAAAAAATTCGAAACACGAGAAATCAAAACAACGAAAAGTAAAAAAAATTGAAAAATCTAAAAACTAAAGAATGTAAAAATTAAAAAAAGGAAAATTTTAAGCAAATAAAAAATTCCAATATCGAAAATTCGATGAACTAAATACTCGAAAAAACGAAAATCCGAGAAATCGGAAAAGCTAAAAATCGAATCTTGGAAATTCCAAGAATCGAAATATAGAAGAAGTGAAATATCGAAAGCCGAAAAATCGAAAATTCTGAAAACCGAAAAAGTCGAAAAATAGAAATATCGAAGATGAATCGAGAAATCGAAAAATATATCATTAAAATACCGAATAATTGAAAAAAGTCCAGAAATGGGAAATTAAAAAAAAAAAACGTAAATCTAAAAAATCAAACAAAAAACGAGAAATCGAAAATTCTAAAATTTAAAAAATTGAAAAATTGAAAAATCAAAAAACTGAAGAATGGAAAAACTGGAAAAACTCAAAACTGAAATGTAGAAAAATTGGGAAATCGAAAAATCGAGAGATCTAAAAATCGAAACATTGAACAATCGGAAAATTTAAAAATCGAAAAGTTTAAAAGCTGAAAAATTGACAAAAAAGGGAAATCGGGAAGCTGGAAAGTCTAAAATTTAAGAAATCAAAAAATTGAGTCTATCGATAAATTGAAAAATCGAAGAAAAATTGCAGAATCGAAAAACCGGAAAATCCCAAACTGAAACATCAAAAAATTGAAAATGCCAAAGTCTGAAAAATTGAAAATCTGAAAATCGAGAAATGGGAATATCGATTCATCCAAAAATCGAAGATTTGGAAATGTCCAAAATTAAAGTATCGAAAAGTCGAAAAATTTTAAAAACCGTAATATCCAAAAATAGAGGAGAAATCGAAAACTAAAAAAATGAGAAATGAACAAATTGAAAAATACCAAAAATAAAATATTCTAAAAAATTGAGCGAACGAAAATTTGAAAAGTTAAGGAATTGTAAACACGAAAAATTAAAAAAAAAAAAACAAAAAACTGAAGCATCCCAAGACTGAAATATCGAAAAATTGAGAAAACGGAAAATAAAAAAATTTTCAAAACCGAGAAGTTGAAAAATGGAGAATTCGAAAAGTCGAAAAATTGAAAACTCAAAAAAAACGATAAATCGAAAAATGTAAAAATTAAATAATTGGAAAACGGAAAATAAAAAAATTGAAGAACTTAAATTAAAAATTGAAGAATCTCCAAACTCAAATTTCGAAAAATTGGGTCAATCGATAAATTGAAAAATCGAAGAAAAATTGCAGAATCGAAAAACTGGAAAATCCCAAACTGAAACATCAAAAAATTGAAAAATCCAAAATCTGAAAAATCGAAGAATTGAAAACCTGAAAATACAAATCGAGAAATGAGAAAATTATTCATCCAAAAATCGAATATTTGGAAATCTCAAAAATCAAAGTATCGAAAAATCGAAAAATTTAAAAATTAAAAAATTGAATCGAAAATTTTAAAAATTGTAAAGTTAAAATATCCAAAAATCGAGAAATCGAAAAATTAAAAAAAAAAAATAAGAAATGAACAAATTGCAAAATATCAAATAAAATATTCAAAAATTGAGCGAACGAAATTTGAAAAGTTAAAGAATGGTAAACACGAAAAAAATGGGAAATTCGAAAAATTGAAAACTCAAAAAAAAACGATAAATCGAAAAATGTAAAAATTAAAAAATTGGAAAACTGAAAAATAAAAAAATTGAAGAACTTAAATTTTAAATTGAAGAATCCCCAAACTCAAATTTCGAAAAATTGGGTCAATCGATAAATTGAAAAATCGAATAAAAATTGCAGAATCGAAAAACTGGAAAATCCCAAACTGAAACATCAAAAAATTGAAAAATCGAAGAATTGAAAACCCGAAAAGCGGCAAATCGAGAAATGAGAAAATAATTCATCCAAAAATCGAATATTTGGAAATCTCATAAATTAAAGTATCGAAAAATCCAAAAATTTAAAAATTAAAAAATTGAATAGAAAATTTGAAAAATTGTAAAGCTGAACTATCCGAAAATAGAGAAATCGAGAAGTAAAAAAAAATCGGAAATCGAAAAGTTTAAAATCTGAAAAATTGACAAAAAAAGGAAATCGGGAAATTGAAAAATCTAAAATTCAAGAAATCAAAAAATTGGGGCAATCGATAAATTGAAAATTTGAAAAATCGAAGAAAAATTGCAAAATCGAAAAACCGGAAAATCCCAAACTGAAGCATCAAAAAATTGAAAAATCTAAAATCTGAAAATCGATTCATCTAAAAATCGATAATTAAGCTGAAATATCCAAAAATAGAGAAATCGAAAAATAAAAAAATTATGAAAAATCAACAAATTGAAAAATACCAAAAATAAAATATTCAAAAATTGAGCGAACGAAAATTTGAAAAGTTAAGGAATTGTAAACACGAAAAATTAAAAAAAAACAAAAAACTGAAAAATCCCAAGACTGAAATATCGAAAAATTGAGAAAACGAAAAATAGAAAAAATTTAAAAGCCGAGAAGTTGAAAAATGGAAAATTCGAAAAATTAAAAACTAAAAAAAAATGATAAATCGAAAAATGTAAAAATAAAAAAATTGGAAAACTGAAAAATAAAAAAATTGAAGAACTTAAATTAAAATTGAAGAATCCCCAAACACAAATTTCGAAAAATTGGCTCAATCGGTAAATTGAAAAATCGAAGAAAAATTGCAAAATCGAAAAACTGGAAAATCGAAGAATTGAAAACCTGAAAATCGGCAAATCGAGAAATGAGAAAATCATTCATCGAAAAATCGAATATTTGGAAATCTCAAAAATTAAAGTATCGAAAATTCGAAAAATCGGAAAATTTAAAAATTAAATCGAAAATTTTAAAAATTGTAAAGCTGAAATATCCGAAAATATCGAAATCGGAAAGTAAAAAAAATTGGGAAATTAAAAATTTGAAAAATCAAAAGATGGAAGAACCAAAAATTGAGCGAACGAAAAATTGAAAATCCAGAAATTGAAAAGTTGAGGAACTGAAAACACAAAAAATTAAAACAAAAATCAAAAAACTGAAAAATCCCAAGACTGAAGTATCGAAAAAATGAGAAAACGAAAAATCAAAAAAATTGAAACCAGAGAAGTTGAAAAATGGAAAATTTGAAAAGTCGAAAAATTGAAAACTCAAAAAATGAGAAATCGAAAAATGCAAAATTTAAAAAATCAGTTTCTCGATTTTTCAATTTTTCGTTTCTTCAATTTTTGCTTTGCAATTTTTCTAGTTTTCGGTTGAACTATATAAAAACGAAAATTTTTTAAAAATTTTATTTCTTCAATTTTACGATTTGAGTTTTTCCATTTTTCAATTAGTATAACTTAAAAACTTTCATGTATTCGATTTTTCAGTTTTTCGAAAAAATCAAAGAACGAAAATTTGAAAAAATGCATAAACGAAAAATTATACAATCGAAAAAAACATTGAAAAAGTAAAGGAAATGAAAAAAGGAAAAACTGTGATGTAAATTCGAGAAAATGAGAACTAAAAACTCGGGAAAATGAAAAATAAAAAAATTGAAGAACTTAAATTAAAAATTGAAGAATCCCCAAACTCAAATTTCGCAAAATTGAAAAATCGAAGAAAAATTGCAGAATCGAAAAACTGGAAAATCCCAAACTGAAACATCAAAAAATTGAAAAATCCGAAATCTGAAAATTCGAAGAATAGAAAACCTGAAAATACAAATCGAGAAATGAAAAAATCATTCATCCAAAAATCTAATATTTGGAAATCTCAAAAATTAAAGTATCGAAAAATCGAAAAATTTAAAAATTAAAAAATTGAATCGAAAATTTTAAAAATTATAAAGCTGAAATATCCGAAAATAGCAAAATCGAGAAGTAAAAAAATTGGGAAATCGAAAATTTGAAAAATCGAAAGATGGAAGAACCAAAAATAAAATATCCAAAAATTGAGCGAACGAAAAATTAAAAATCCAGAAATTGAAATGTTGTGGAATTGAAAACATGAAAAATTTAAACAAAAATAAAAAAACTGAAGAATCCCAAGCTTGAAATACCGAAAAAATGAGAAAACGAAAAATCAAAAAAATTTAAAAACAGAAGTCGAAAAATGGAAAATTTGAAAAGTCGAAAAATTGAAAACTCAAAAAACGAGAAATCGAAAAATGCAAAATTTAAAAAATCAAAAAATTGAAAAACGCCAAAACTGGAATGTAGAAAAATTGGCAAATTTTCATTTTTAAATTTTTCAACTTTTTAATACTCCAACTTTTGGATGTTTCAATTTTGCCGTTTGTCAATGTTCGGATTTTATAATTTTTCTTTTTTTTTATGCGAAAATTTTCAATTTTGAATTTTTCGGTTCTTCAGCTTGTAGACTTTTTAATTTTTCGTTTTTCGTTTTTTGAATTTTTGCTTTGCAATTTTTCTAGTTTTCGGTTTAACTATGTAATAACGAAAATTTCTTAAAAATTTTATCTTTTCAATTTTACGATTTGAGTTTTTCCATTTTTCAATTAATGGAACTTAAAAATTTTCATGTATTCGATTTTTCAGTTTATCGAAAAAATCAAAAAATGAAAATTTGAAAAATTGCATAAACGAAAAATTACAAAATCGAAAGAAACATTGAAAAAATAAAGGAAATGAAAAACGGAAAAATTGAAACGAAAAATTGAAAAATTTGGAAATCGAGAAATTGAAAAATAAAAAAATTAAATGTGAAAAAACGAAAACTAGTCATATTAAAAAATTGGTGGGAGGTAAACAAATCCAGATTTTTCGAAAAAATTATCGAAAATTCAAATTTTGCTTTTTTTTATTTAAAATTTATCGAGTTTCCAATTTTTAATTTTTCAATTTACAATTTCACTAGCTTTCAATTTTCACCTTTCCAATTTTTCAATTTTACGATTTGCAATTTTTCTTTCAATTTTTCGAATTTTCAACTTTTAGACTATAATTTTACGAGTTTTCAACACTAGATTTTTCAGTTTCGCGATTTTCCAATTTTTCATTTATTGGGTTTTTGATTTGCAGTTTAAATATGTAGCAATTAAAATTTTCACTTTTTCAATTTTCCGATTTCAGAATTTTTCAATTTTTCGACTTTTCAATATTAGTTTTTCGAATTCACGACAATTTTGACGATTATATAATTTTTCGATTTTACAATTTTTGAGTTTTCCAATTTTTTGACTCATGAATGTTTTTCGATTCTTAAATTTCTCGATTTTTATCGTTTCAATTTGTTTCTTCAATTTTTAGAGGCAATTTTGAATTTAAATTGTCTCAAGTTTTCAATATTTAATTTTTCATTTCTTCAAATTTTCGAATTGCAACTTTTTGTTTCGGTTTTTTATTTTCATTGTTTTAACAAATTTTCCAATTCTGTAATTTTTGGTTTTTTCAATTTTTCATTTTTTTTGTACAATTTTACGATATGCAACGAGAAATTGAAAAACAGCAAAAATTATAAGATTTGATTTGAGGAGTATCTTCCTTTATAAAATTAAAAACAAATTTATCCAATTTGATGGTCCTAATATACATAAAAAATTTCACGACAATCAATTCGGTAGTTTCGGAGATTATCAGTCTAATAAAAATCGACAGACAGACAGACCGACGGACTGTCAGACAGACAGGTGAAAAATTACCTTGTTTCCGAGGGAGGGGACGTGTAGCACCGCCAGGGGGCGCGCCGGATCATGAGTGTCCACCTGAATGGTCAAACGATAACCGAGTTCAGAGCGAAGATCCTTATTGGCGGATTCTTTCCCCTTGCTCGTCAATTCCCGCCAATAAGACACAGTCAAACACTTTCCAGGGACGTACTCGTCGACGTGGATGTGGTCGTCCAAACGGTCCCTCATTAACCTCAAAGTCTGCGAATAGAGAACTTCAAGCTGAAGCGACTGACAGAAAAAGTGTAAACAATTGTAGACTTCCGTCAAAGGTTGGGGGTTATCGACCAGACGAGTCTGGATAAGCTGGTGGATATACTGGACTTGCAAAGAGTGCACTAGGGCTTTTCCGTCTACAAAAAACGCATTATTGTTTACCCACGCAAGCTTGAAACTGACTTACCCCCGGTTTCTTTGTCTTCCACTAAAACGTCGATCTCGAGCAGCCGCCACGGAATGTTGGGTCCGTCCCCCATCACGGTCAAAGACACCTCGAACTCGTGCTGGACGTGAAACGTGACCCGCCCATTCTCGATCTGCAACAACACACTTAAATAAAGCCCCCAAAGTCGCCGCCCCCACCTTCAAATTTTTCATTTGTGGCAACAAGTTGCCGGTGACCAGTCGGTGTTGTATGACTTGGTTCAGCCTCAACAGGGTCGTGCGCTTCTCATTATTAGTAATGGGGTCTGGGGGCACGATCTTCTCCCTAATACACGCTGGTAGCCGCCCGTATGTCCCCGTAGTCAACACCTATCAATCAATCGTCACATCCTAACCCACTTTTTGATTAACAATATTACCTCCACCGCCGCTGGAATGTGAAAATTGGGGAGCCGGGCCTGCACCAACGTCTCTCGCGCCATCCGCGACAACATGTCTGCTGTATCCACAAACAGCAACGACTGCTTATCCAGGAACCCCATAATGCGCTGAAACAAACTTCGTAATTGTTCGTGGTTTACGGGTCAAGGGGGCTTACGGCTGACTTCTCCACTTTCGAGGCGCTGTTGGCCCACTTCACCAGCGCTAGCAATCGTACGAAGAGCTGGCGCGTCCGCGTGGCGAAATTGTAGATTTCGATTTTGCGTTCCATGTCGGTTTTGCGTGGAAGCCTAGAAACATGAGTGAGTGCTGGTTTTGGGGTAAAGTGCGACTTACAGTTCCGCTAATACTGTGAGTTCGTGGTAGGTTCGCTGGATGATGTGGTCGATGAGCTTCGCTAGGGAGATCATTCCCCCGCGGTTGCCCTCCTGGGGGCCGCCCATGCCCCCTTGGGGCGCCGCATTCGCCACTAGAGTTTGTAAACCCTCCAATGGTACGGGGGCCATTTTGAGGTTAAGTTTGTACTTGACACTTACTTGGGGACTTGTGCGACGCACATTTTGCTTAAAACTACGAGTTTGTGTTAGGGGGCACCTTTAAACTGAATATATTGGCATTTTCACGGTTTAGTGATGGTTGACTGTTGACGTTTGATATCAGTTGGCTGACCTCGCGGCCATTTTGTACGAGTACGAGTAGCCACCACAACAAAACAAAAAACGCAAGAACTGAATCATCATCATTATGAGTTGTTGAAACCACGAATTATGTAAACAAGAAATAATAATTATAACACATTGCCTCCTTCAAAACGATTAAAATAATTTCCCAGAGTTTCACCTTCTAACTAAATTAATTTTTATTGAACCACTTTTTCTTTAGGGATTTTTAATCGTGGTTGGTATAACTGGTAACATGCAATGAGCATCTGTATTGTGGGTTACCTAAATCTTTAAAATTTTATTCCAATTTTTTTATTAGAAAAAATATTATTAGCTCGTAAACAACTAATCAAAGCAAAATCGCTTAAATCCAAAACCATCAATCATTAAATCTGCAGAATTTTGATAATTTTTGACATCTTTGAATTTTAACATCATCAAATTCCAAAATATTTAGAAGATCGTAAGTTTTTATTATCACAGCTTATGCAACATCGATGTAACTGAAAGATACCAGAAAAACACAATAAATAACACCAACATTTTCTAAGCTACAAAAGTCAGTATTTTCAAACTTGAATATCTTCAATTTGAAATTTTTAGAAAACTGTTGGTGGCTCAAACCCAAAACCAGCAAACATTAAACCTGTAGAATTTGATGATTGTTGATTCCTTTAAATTTTCAGATCATCAAATTCCAAAAATATTTTGAGAGATCGTAAATTATGATAATTACAGTTTACATCACAACATTGCAACTGAGAGATATTTACCAGGAAAACACAATGAAGATAACGCCCAACAGGAATATTCTTTAAATTACTAAAGTTAATATCTTCAAACATGAATATATCCAAATTTTGATTTTTTTTAGAAAAAATATTGTCAGTGCGTGAATAACAACTAAGTAAAGCAAAATCGCTTAAATTCAAAACATCAACTATTAAATCTTCAGAATTTGATAATTTTTGACATCTTTAAATTTTAAGATCATCAAATTCCAAAATATTTTGAAGATCCTAAATTTTTGTTATCTCAGCTTATGCAACATCGATGTAACTGAGAGATATTTACCAGAAAAACACAATAAATAGTAGCAACATTTTCTAAGCTACAAAAATCAATATTTTCAAACTTGAATATCTTCAATTTGAAATTTTTAGAAAACTGTTGGTGGCTCAAACCCAAAAACCAGCAAACATTAAACCTTTAGAATTTGATGATTGTTGATTCCTTCAAATTTTCAGATCATCAAATTCCAAAAATATTTTCAGAGATCGTAAATTTTGATAACCACTGTTCATGTCACAACACTGCAACCGAGAGATGTTTACCAGGAAAACACAATGAAGATAACGCCCAACAGGAATATTCTTTAAATTACAAGAGTTAATATCTTCAAACATTAATATCTCCAAATTTTGATTTTTTTAGAAAAAATATTGTCAGTGCATGAATAACAACTAAGCAAGCAAAATCACTTAAATTCAAAACATCAACTATTAAATCTTCATAATTTGATAATTTTTGACATCTTTAAATTTTAAGATCATCAAATTCCAAAATATTTTGAAGATCCTAAATTTTTGTTATCTCAGCTTATGCAACATCGATGTAACTGAGAGATATTTATCAGAAAAACACAATAAATAGTAGCAACATTTTCTAAGCTACAAAAATCAATATTTTCAAACTTGAATATTTTCAATTTGAAATTTTTAGAAAACTGTTGGTGGCTCAAACCCAAAACCAGCAAACATTAAACCTTTAGAATTTAATGATTGTTGATTCCTTTAAATTTTCAGATCATCAAATTCCAAAAATATTTTGAGAGACCGTAAATTTTGATAATTACAGTTTACATCACAACTTTGCAATTGAGAGATATTTACCGAGAAAACACAATGAAGCTAACGTCCAACAGGAATATTCTTTAAATTGGAAAAGTCAATATCTTCAAACATTAATATCTCCAAATTTTGATATTTTTTATTGTCAGTGCGTGAATAACAACTAAGTAAAGCAAAATCACTTAAATCCAAAACCATCAACTATTAAATCTTCATAATTTGATAATTTTTGACATCTTTAAATTTTAAGATCATCAAATTAAAAAATATTTTGAAAATCCTAAATTTTTGTTATCACAGCTTATGCAACATCAATGTAACTGAGAGATATTTACCAGAAAAACACAATAAATAGTAGCAACATTTTCTAAGCTACAAAAGTCAATATTTTCAAACTTGAATATCTTCAATTTGAAATTTTTAGAAAACTGTTGGTGGCTCAAACCCAAAACCAGCAAACATTAAACCTTTAGAATTTGATGATTGTTGATTCCTTTAAATTTTCAGATGATCAAATTCCAAAAATATTTTGAAAGATCGTAAGTTTTGATAATTACAGTTTACATCATAACATTGCAATTGAGAGATATTTACCAGGAAAACACAATGAAGATAACGCCCAACAGGAATATTATTTAAATTACAAAAGTTAATATCTTGAAACATTAATATCTCCTAATTTTGATTTTTTTAGAAAAAATATTGTCAGTGCGTGAATAACAACTAAGTAAATAAAAATCGCTTAAATTCAAAACATCAACTATTAAATCTTCAGAATTTGATAATTTTTGACATCTTTAAATTTTAAGATCATCAAATTCCAAAATATTTTGAAGATCCTAAGTTTTTGTTATCACAGCTAATGCAACATCGGTGTAGCTGAGAGATATTTACCAGAAAAACACAATAAATAGTAGCAACATTTTCTAAGCTACAAAAGTCAGTATTTTCAAACTTGAATATATTCAATTTGAAATTTTTAGAAAACTGTTGGTGGCTCAAACCCAAAACCAGCAAATATTAAACCTTTAGAATTTGATGATTGTTGATTCCTTTAAATTTTCAGATCATCAAATTCCAAAAATATTTTGAGAGATCGTAAGTTTTGATAATTACAGTTTACATCACGACATTGCAATTGAGAGATATTTAGCAGGAAAACACAATGAAGATAACGCCCAACAAGAGTTAATATCTTCAAACATTAAAATCTCTAAATTTTGATTTTTTTAGAAAAAATATTGTCAGTGCGTGAATAACAACTAAGCAAGCAAAATCACTTAAATTCAAATCATCAACTATTAAATCTTCAGAATTTGATAATTTTTGACATCTTTAAATTTTGAGATCATCAAATTCCAAAATATTTTGAAGATACTAAATTTTTGTTATCACAGCTTATGCAACATCGGTGTAGCTGAGAGATATTTACCAGAAAAACAGAATAAATAGTAGCAACATTTTCTAAGCTACAAAAGTCAATATTTTCAAACTTGAATATCTTCAATTTGAAATTTTTAGAAAACTGTTGGTGGCTCAAATCCAAAACCAGCAAACATTAAACCTTTAGAATTTGACGATTGTTGATTCCTTTAAATTTTCAGATCATCAAATTCCAAAAATATTTTGAGAGATCGTAAATTTTGATAATTACAGTTTACATCACAACATTGCAATTGAGAGATATTTACCAGGAAAACACAATGAAGATAACGCCCAACAGGAATATTATTTAAATTACAAAAGTTAATATTTTCAAACATTAATATCTCCAAATTTTGATTTTTTTAGAAAAAATATTGTCAGTGCGTAAATAACAACTAAGCAAGCAAAATCACTTAAATTCAAAACATCAACTATTAAATCTTCAGAATTTGATAATTTTTGACATCTTTAAATTTTGAGATCATCAAATTCCAAAATATTTTGAAGATACTAAATTTTTGTTATCACAGCTTATGCAACATCGGTGTAGCTGAGAGATATTTACCAGAAAAACAGAATAAATAGTAGCAACATTTTCTAAGCTACAAAAGTCAATATTTTCAAACTTGAATATCTTCAATTTGAAATTTTTAGAAAACTGTTGGTGGCTCAAATCCAAAACCAGCAAACATTAAACCTTTAGAATTTGACGATTGTTGATTCCTTTAAATTTTCAGATCATCAAATTCCAAAAATATTTTGAGAGATCGTAAATTTTGATAATTACAGTTTACATCACAACATTGCAATTGAGAGATATTTACCAGGAAAACACAATCAGGATAACGCCCAACAAGAATATTCTTTAAATTACAAAAGTTAATATTTTCAAACATCAATATCTCCAAATTTTGATTTTTTTAGAAAAAATATTGTCAGTGCGTGAAAAACAACTAAGCAAGCAAAATCACTTAAATTCAAAACATCAACTATTAAGTCTTCATAATTTGATAGTTTTTGATATCTTTAAATTTAAGATCACCAAATTCCAAATTATTTTGAAGCTCCTAAATTTTTGTTATCACTGCTTATGCAACATCGATCTAACTGAGAGATATTTACCAGAAAAACACAATAAATAGTAGCAACATTTTCCAAGCTACAAAAGTCAGTATTTTGAAACTTGAATATCTTCAATTTGAAATTTTTAGAAAACTGTTGGTGGCTCAAACCCAAAACCAGCAAACATTAAACCTTTAGAATTTTATGATTGTTGATTCCTTTAAATTTTCAGATCATCAAATTCCAAAAATATTTTGAGAGATCGCAAGTTTTGATAATTACAGTGTACATCACAATATTGCAATTTGAGAGATATTTACCAAGAAAACACAATGAAGATAACGCCCAACAGGAATATTCTTTAAATTACAAAAGTTAGTATCTTCAAACATTAATATCTCCAAATTTTTATTTTTTTAGAAAAAATATTGTCAGTGCGTGAATAACAACTAAGTAAAGCAAAATCACTTAAATTCAAAACATCAACTATTAAATCTTCAGAATTTGATAATTTTTGACATCTTTAAATTTTAAGATCATTAAATTCCAAAATATTTTGAAGATCCCAAATTTTTGTTATCACAGCTTATGGAACATCGATGTAACTGAGAGATATTTACCAGAAAAACACAATAAATAGTAGCAACATTTTCTAAGCTACAAAAGTCAATATTTTCAAACTTGAATATCTTCAATTTGAAATTTTTAGAAAACTGTTGGTGGTTCAAACCCAAAACCAGCAAACATTAAACCTTTAGAATTTGATGATTGTTGATTCCATTAAATTTTCAGATCATCAAATTCCAAAAATATTTTGAGAGATCGTAAGTTTTGATAATTACAGTTTACATCACAACATTGCAATTGACAGATATTTACCAGGAAAACACAATGAAGATAACGGCCAACAGGAATATTCTTTAAATTACAAAAGTTAATATCTTCAAACATTAATATCTCCAAATTTTGATTTTTTAAAAAAAATATTGTCAATGCGTGAATAACAACTAAGTAATCAAAATCACTTAAATTCAAAACATCAACTATTAAATTTTTAGAATTTGAGTAATTTTTGACATCTTTAAATTTTAAGATCATCAAATTCCAAAATATTTTGAAGATCCTAAATTTTTCTTATCACAGCTTATGCAACATCGATGTAACTGAGAGATATTTACCAGAAAAACACAATAAATAGTAGCAACATTTTCTAAGCTTCAAAAGTCGATATTTTCAAACTTGAATATATTCAATTTGAAATTTTTAGAAAACTGTTGGTGGCTCAAACCCAAAACCAGCAAACATTAAACATTTAGAACTTGATGACTGTTGATTCCTTTAAATTTTCAGATCATCAAATTCCAAAAATACTTTGAGAGATCATACATTTTGATAATTACAGTTTACATCACAACATTGCAATTGAGAGATATTTACCAGGAAAACACAATCAGGATAACGCCCAACAAGAATATTCTTTAAATTACAAAAGTTAATATTTTCAAACATCAATATCTCCAAATTTTGATTTTTTTAGAAAAAATATTGTCTGTGCGTAAATAACAAATAAGCAAGCAAAATCACTTAAATTCAAATCATCAACTATTAAATCTTCAGAATTTGATAATTTTTAACATCTTTAAATTTTAAGATCATCAAATTCCAAAATACTTTGAAGATCCTAAGTTTTTGTTATCACAGCTTATGCAACATCGATGTAACTGAGAGATATTTACCAGAAAAACACAATAAATAGTACCAACATTTTCTAAGCTACAAAAGTCAATATTTTCAAACTTGAATATCTTAAATTTGAAATTTTTAGAAAACTGTTGGTGGCTCAAACCCAAAACCAGCAAACATTAAACCTTTAGAATTTGATGATTGTTGATTCCTTTAAATTTTCAGATTATCAAATTCCAAAAATATTTTGAGAGATCGTAAGTTTTGATAATTACAGTTTACATCACAACATTGCAATTGAGAGATATTTACCAGGAAAACACAATGAAGATAACGCCCAACAGGAATATTCTTTAAATTATAAAAGTTAATATCTTCAAACATTAATATCTCCAAATTTTGATTTTTTTTTATTGTCAGTGCATGAATAACAACTAAGTAAAGCAAAATCACTTATATTCAAAATATCAACTATTAAATCTTCAGAATTTGATAATTTTTGACATCTTTAAATTTTAGGATCATCAAATTCCAAAATATTTTGAAGATCCTAAATTTTTGTTATCACAGCTTATGCAACATCGATGTAACTGAGAGATATTTACCAGAAAAACACAATAAATAGTACCAACATTTTCTAAGCTACAAAAGTCAGTATTTTCAAACTTGAATATCTTCAATTTGAAATTTTTAGAAAACTGTTGGTGGCTCAAACCCAAAACCAACAAACATTAAACCTTTAGAATTTGATGATTGTTGATTCCATTAAATTTTCAGATCATCAAATTCCAAAAATATTTTGAGAGATTGTAAGTTTTGATAATTACAGTTTACATCCCAACATTGCAATTGAGAGATATTTACCAGGAAAACACAATGAAGATAACGCCCAACAGGTATATTCCTTAAATTATAAAAGTTAATATCTCCAAACATTAATATCTCCAAATTTTGATTTTTTTTGAAAAAATATTGTCAATGCGTTAATAACAACTAAGCAAGCAAAATCACTTAAATTCAAAACATCAACTATTAAATCTTCAGAATTTGATAATTTTTCACATCTTTAAATTTTAAGATCATCAAATTCCAAAATACTTTGAAGGTCCTAAGTTTTTGTTATCACAGCTTACGCAACATCGATGTAACTGAGAGAAAAGCACAATAAATAGTACCAACATTTTCTAAGCTACAAAAGTCAGTATTTTCAAACTTGAATATCTTCAATTTGAAATTTTTAGAAAACTGTTGGTGGCTCAAACCCAAAACCAGCAAACATTAAACCTTTAGAATTTGATGATTGTTGATTCCTTTAAATTTTCAGATTATCAAATTCCAAAAATATTTTGAGAGATCGTAAGTTTTGATAATTACAGTTTACATCACAACATTGCAATTGAGAGATATTTACCAGGAAAACACAATGAAGATAACGCCCAACAGGAATATTGTTTAAATTACAAAAGTTAATACCTGCAAACATTAATATCTCCAAATTTTGATTTTTTTAGAAAAAATATTCTCAGTGCGTGAATAACAACTAAGTAAAGCAAAATCACTTAAATTCAAAACATCAACTATTTAATCTTCATAATTTGACAATTTTTGACATCTTTAAATTTTAAGATTATCAAATTCCAAAATATTTTGAAGATCCTAAATTTTTGTTATCACAGCTTATGCAACATCGATGTAACTGAGAGATATCTACCAAAAAAACACAATAAATAGTAGCAACATTTTCTAAGCTACAAAAGTCAATATTTTCAAACTTGAATATCTTCAATTTGAAATTTTTAGAAAACTGTTGCTGGCTCAAACCTTTAGAATTTGATCATTTTTGATTTCTTAAAATTTTCAAGTCTTTTTTGTCTAAGGTTTGCTGATCTCGCGGTCGTTTTGTGGGAACCGCCATCAATGCCACCACAACAAAACAAAAAAACCAAGAAGTTTCTTGTTTTAATTAAAAATAATATATATATTAATTTTTATTGGACAACCAGGGAGGATATTCCACATTGGACCACTTTGCCTTTAGGGATTTTTTCAATCGTGGTTGGTGTAACTGGTACATGCAATGCGCATATGCATTTTGGGTTGCCTAATTCGAACCAAACCGCCGTCTTTCAAATTTTATTCCAATATTGGCTACATTTACAAAAATATCCAGCTTACGTCATATACAAATATTTACAATACATTAGTTACAACACTATATACATCCATATTGCACAGTAGGCCATCTTAAATAAATACTTTTAAATATTATTAGTCACGGTACGAGTAGCTGTCGATAGACACAATATTTACAACAACTGTTGGTAACTTATCATTCTTAGCAAAAATACGATACATAGCTCTTAACCTACGATTAATCTATCTGAGGAGCGCCGCAAAGTGGAAGGCCCTGAAACCATCATGGGTGGGGGCGCTGGTATGTGCCCCAGAGACCTCATCCTGTGTAGGGCGCCCCCTTGGACTATATCTTCGCTGATGGAGCGATTCCGCGACCTCCTCTGGTGCGAATTCCTCGTCGAACTGAGCTCGACTTGACGGATGGAGGCCGACCGGGACTTTCTCTGCGGCACGGACTGAAGAGAGTCCTCATAACTAAAAAAATCCACCTTAGAAGAGCCCTCCACTTAAACTAACCCAATTTTAGCTTTACAAACGTGTCTTCAACGTTTTAATAAACAAACGTCTTTCTAACGTGTCTAAAACGTTAATTTTCCACACTCTTGGACGTATTTTTAACGTAAATTCGACAAAATTTTGTATTTTTAGCGTTAAATAAAACCCCTCTCACTTGCTGCTTTCCTCCGACGAGTGCGAGCTCGATATCCCGCACTGGCAGTGGACGGCGGCGTCCACGATCCCCGAGTCCTGGCCACTGGAGTGCAGCGACGTGATCGACTTCTCTATGCACCCGGAACTCCTGGACCTCTCCCTGAAGGTGTGCCGGCGGCTGGCGCCCCTGGGGCAATTCCTGTCGTGGTGGTGGTGCACCACGTCGTGGCCGCCGTCGTAGTGGAGGCCTTCGGTTAGCGCGGCCGGAAAGAGAGTGGGCTTGCCTAGAGTGCCTATGGTGTAACCTAGTGGCTGCGCGAAACTCTTCTGGAGGAGCCTGGAAGGTTTTAGGTTTTAGTAAGTAGGGTGCAAGGACAGAGAGGGTCGCACCTTCGCTTTCTCCGTCGGGCGCACAGGACGCAGAGGGCGGTAGCGAGGGCGCCTATGAAGATGACGCAGCCGAGGATGACGACTCCGATCTCGAGGGAGGAGAGGATGACGCGCTGGCGTTTGGCGCGGAAGTTCTCGGTGATGCCGCTAGCCACGGCGAGGACCTTGGGGCCGGAAAGTTGGGCTTCGATTTCGGAGTGTTTGAGCTGGAGGACTCTAGAAACGCAGCGAATTTGTGGAAAAAATTAGTATGAATATCAATTTTTGAATTTTTTACTTTTCCGATTTGAAATTTTTTGTTTCGATTTTATGATTTTCTGTTTTTTCAATTTTGATTTTTTGGATTTTTCGTTTTTTCACTTTTTAGAATTTCCCTAGTTTTCATTTTTTAATTATTCAATTTTTCCATTCTTCAGTTTTTACTTTCTTCAAAGTTTCACTTCGCAGTTTTCGTATCATTTTTCTTTATTTCTACAAACTTGAATATGCTAATTTTATAATTTTTTGCTTTTTCAATTTCAATTTTTTCAATTTTTCGTTTCTCCAATTTTTTGATTTGCAGTTTTTCAAGTTATCTCTTTTAAGTTTTTCGGTTTTTCCATTTTCCGAATTTTGGATGTTTCAAATTTTAGATTTTGCAATTTTTAATTTTTTTTTGTTTCTTCAATTTCTCGATTCTTCAGGTTTTCATTTTTTCAAATTTTTTATTCGAAATTTATCGTTGCGTTTTTTATTTTCTTCATTTTTATAATTTTTTAATGTTACGGTTTTATAATTTTTTGTTTTAAATTTAGTTTTTTCAATTTTTCGCTTAGCAGGTTTTCAAGTTTTCATTTTTAAATTTTTAGTTTTTCTTTCGATTTTCGAATTTTTGGATGTTTCAAGTTTTAGATTTTATAATTTTTGAATTTTCATTTCGATTTTTTATTTTCTTTATTTTTTTCTCAATTACTCGATTTTTGAATGTCTCAATTTTATAATTTTTTGTTTTTTCACTTTTGCGATTTGCGATTTTTAATTTTTTTGTTCCTTCAATTTCTCGATTTTCAAATAATTGGATTATTTAGTTTTTCAATTTACAGTTTTTCAGTTTTTAATTTTCGGTTTCAAAAGATTTATTAATTTTCCGTGGTTTCAATTTCAGATTTTTCATTTCATAAGTTTCCAATTTTTCGTCTTTTCAGTTTTTTATTTGCATTTGTTCTAGTTTTCATTTTAAATAAATATGTAATTATAATAATTTTTAAAATTATGCACTTTTTCAATTTTAGAATTTTATCATTTTTCTGTTTTTCGATTCTTGGATTTCGAAACTTTTTCATGTATTATTTTCTTTATTTTTATAATTTTTCGATTTTTAAATGTCCAGATTTTCAATCTTTCCAGTTTTTCGTTTTTTCAATTTTCGTTTCGGTGTTTTATTTTCTTTATTTTATCAGTTTTTCGGATTTTCAATGTTGTTTACAATTTTTCTTTTTTTAATGTGGATTTTTTTTAATTCTTTAATTTTTCAGTTTCAACTTTTCGATTTTTCAACTTTCAGAATTTTAAATTTATCGATTTTTCCATTTTAGATTTTTCGTTTTATTATTTTTCAGTTTTTCGTTCCTTCAATTTTTGATTTTTATTTTTTCTAGTTTTTATTTTAAATATAGTAATAATTATATTTTTTTTCATTTTTTCAATTATATCTTGGGTTTTTTGAAAAATTTTTGATTAATTCGATTTTCTATTTTTCGATTTTTTAATTTTTCATTTCTTCAGTTTTCGTTTCGGTGTTTTATTTTTTTTATTTTCTCAGTTTTTCTGATTTTCAGTGATCAGATTTCATAATTTTTCTTTTCTAAATGTGGAATTTTTTTTATTTTTCAATTTTTCAGTTTCAATTTTTCGATTTTTCGTTTTATGATTTTTTTTTCATTTATTCAATTTTCGTTTCGGTGTTTTATTTTCTTTATTTTATCAGTTTTTCGGATTTTCAATGTTGTCTACAATTTTTCTTTTTTTAATGTGGATTTTTTTTAATTTTTCAATTTTTCAGTTTCAATTTTTCGATTTTTCAACTTTCAGAATTTCAAATTTATCGATTTTTCAATTTTCGATTTTTCGTTTTATGATTTTTCAGTTTTTCGTTCCTTCAATTTTGGATTTTTATTTTTTCTAGTTTTCATTTTAAATATAGTAATAATTATATTTATTTTCATTTTTTCAATTATATCTTGGGTTTTTTGAAAAATTTTTGATTAATTCGATTTTCTATTTTTCGATTTTTCATTTCTTCAGTTTTCGTTTCGGTGTTTTATTTTTTTTTATTTTCTCAGTTTTTCTGATTTTCAGTGATCAGATTTCATAATTTTTCTTTTCTAAATGTGGATTTTTTTTTATTTTTCAATTTTTCAGTTTCAATTTTTCGATTTTTCGTTTTATGATTTTTTTTTCATTTATTCAATTTTGGATTTTCATTTTTTGGTAGTTTTCATTTTAAATATGTAATAATTTTTTTTTTTTTCATTTTTTCAATTTTGCTATTTTAGAATTTTTCCATTTTTCAATTATATTTTGAGTTTCTTGAAAAATTTTTGATTTATTCGATTTTCAGTTTTTCGATTTTTCAAATTTTCATTTCTTCAATTTTCTTTTCGGTGTTTTATTTTCTTCGTTTTCTCAGTTTTTCGGATTTTCAATGATCTAATTTTATAATTTTAAATTTTCGCATTCAATTTTTCAATTTTTCAGCTTTCAGAACTTCAAATTTATCGATTTTTCAATTTTCGACTTTTCGTTTTATGATTTTTCTGATTTTCGTTCCTTCAGTTTTGGATTTCCATTTTTTGCTAGTTTTCATTTCAAATATGTAAAAAATATATCTTTTTTTTATTTTTTCAATTTTGCTATTTTAGAGTTTTTCCATTTTTCAATTATATTTTGGGTTTTTTGTAAAATTTTTGATTTATTCGATTTTCATTTTTCGATTTTTCAAATTTTCATTTCTTCAATTCTCGTTTCGGTGTTTTATTTTCTTCATTTTCTCAGTTTTTCGGATTTTCAATGATCTAATTTTATAATTTTAAATTTTCGCTTTCAATTTTTCGATTTTCAGCTTTCAGGATTTTAAATTTCTCGATTTTTCAATTTTAAATTTTTCTTATGATTTTTCAGTTTTTCGTCCCTTTAATTTTCGATTTTCATTTTTTTTAGTTTTCATTTTAAACGAGTAATAATTAATTTTTTTTTTATTTTTTTTTCAGTTTTGCCATTTTAGAATTTTTCCATTTTTCAATTATATCTTGGGTTTTTTGAAATTTTTTTGATTTATTTGATTTTTCAATTTTTCGTTTCTTCAACTTTCGTTTCGGTGTTTTATTTTCTCAGTTTTTCGAATTTTCAATGTTCTAATTTTATAATTTTTCTTTTTTTAATGTGGAATTTTTATTTTTTTTAATTTTTCGGTTTCAATTTTTCAATTTTTCAGCTTTCAGAATTTTAAATTTATCGATTTTTCAATTTTAGGTTTTTCGTTTATGATTTTTCAATTTTTCGTTCCTACAATTTTTGATTTTCATTTTTTCTAGTTTTCATTTTAAATACGTAATAATTACAACTTTTTTTTATTCAATTTTGCCGTTTCAGAATTTTTGCATTCTTTTTTTGAAAATTTTTTGATTTATTCGATTTTCCATATTTCGATTTTTTATTTTCCAATTTTTCGATTTTTCAATTTTTCATTTATTCAATTTTCGTTTCGGTGTTTTATTTTCTCATTTTTCGGATTTTCAATGTTCTAATTTTATAATTTTCCTTTTTTTAATGTGTAATTTTTTTAATTTTTTAATTTTTCGGTTTCAAGTTTTCAATTTTTCAGCTTTCAGAATTTTAAATTTATCGATTTTTCAATTTTCGATTTTTCTTTTTATGATTTTTCAGTTTTTCGTTCCTTCAATTTTTGATTTTCATTTTTTCTACTTTTCATTTTAAATATGTAATAATTATAATTTTAATTTTTTTCGTTTTTTCAATTTTGCCATTTTAAAATTTTTTCAATTGTCAATTATACCTTGGGTTTTTTGAAAAACTTTTGTTTTTTTCGATTTTCAATTTTTCGATTTTTTATTTTTCAATTTTTCGATTTTACGTTTGACAATTCTAATGTTTCGATTCACTGATTTTTTTCGATTTTTTATTTTTCCGTCCTTAAATCTTTGGTTCCACTTCAGTTTTTCGATTTTGCAATTTTTTGTTTTTGAAAATTGTAAAAACTGAAAAATCAAAAATGGAAAAACGAATAAATATAAAATGAGAACTTTGAAAAATCTAAAAACTGGAAATCAAGAAATTGAAAAATCGAAAGAATGAAAACTGAAAAACTTAAAATTCGAAAAAGTGCAAAATCGAAAAAACGAAATATTGAAAATTAAAGAAATTGGAAAATCGAACAATCCAAAAATTGCAAAATTGACAAATTTAAAAACTGTAAAGAAAATTAAAAAACGAAAAACTGTGATATAAAATTGAGAAAATGAAAATTAAAAAATTGGGCAAATGAAAAATGAAAATTAAGAAAATGAAAAATTGAAAAAGAATTGAGAAAATGAAAAATCGAAAAATTGGAGAAATACGATCAAAAAATTGTAAAATCGAAGAAAAAAGAAATAGAAAAAACTGTGAGCTCAAAAAATTGGTCGAAGGTAAATAATCCAGATTTTTCGAAAAATTATAAGATATGACACAGACGACAGACAGACAGACGGACAGACAGAAACACTACAGACAAACGGAAACGGGGGACCACTTTTTTCGTACTCTAATGGTCATGAAACATCGAAAAAACATAAAAGCTCAGGAAGTAAAAATTCACAAATTAATTAAATCGTTACCTTTGGAGGTGCTCCATATCAACCACGACGTTGAGAAGGGGATCCACAGCGTACAAGTACATATCCGTGCTACAAACACCCACTACAGTTAAAATTCAACACAAAAAAAAACTTCTTACGCGCTGTTATCCACCTGGTTACGCTCGGAATGGGGCTCCAATTTCCGAATCCGAATATCAAATCCCGTCGTATTGTACAAAATCCTGCAAACCCATCTTTAGTACTAGTCCTCAACCCCAAAAATACTCACGTGGTGATATTGTCCATACTCTTTTCGACTTCCGTGGGCTTCAACCCCATCACCATCACCAGCTGCTTCTGGTCGTCCAAAACGTACACAAAAACATTCGCTATCGACGATTTTCCATCATCGGCCCCTCTCCGATCCGTCGCCTTCACATCAAACCCGTACACTTTCCCTGCGTCCCGTATGAAGTTCGCGATGGCCCGAACCTGACCGGTGATCGGGTCCACGGTGAATCGCTTAGAAGCTTCATCAGCGCGCCCCAAGATCTGGTAGCGCACTTCGCCGTTGAGACCCAAATCTGGGTCCTTCGCTTGTAGCCTCACTATATGGTAGCCGTAATTGGCGTTCGTGGGAATGGCGGCCACGATGGGTCGTCCCGTGATGGTAAATTTAGGCACATTGTCGTTAACGTCGGTTACCCGAACGATTACCTTGACTTCGTTCAAACCCAGATTCCCGAGACGCTCACTCGTTACGGGGTACACCATCACGGTCATGTCCCTCCCGACTTTGTACTGGTCCAATCGAATAATTAACTCGTAGAGGGCTTTTTTCTCCCGATCGGGACTCTCGGTGATGAACAAGGACCCATTTCTGGGGTCAATCCTGAACATTTTTCGGACTTCGCTGGTTTTTTCAGCGACTATACTGAAACGGAGCTTGTGGGTTCGGTAGGGTTCTGTGACGTTCAGGGTGAGTACCCGTAGTGGTACTGGGACGTTTTCTTCGACTTCGACTTCGTAGTAACGATGGGCGAACACTGGGTGCTCCATTGATTGGAAGTCTTCTGGGACGTCAACTACGTTGATGGTAAGAATAGCGCTGGAGGTGCGACTTGGCGAACCCAAATCCGACGCCACGATGGTTATATTATGGGTACTTTGGGCTTCATAGTCCAATTTCGCGATCGTAGTAACTATTCCTTCTTTGGAATCAATGGTAAACAAATTTTGACCATTTTTCTTGTATGGGATATCGAAAAGGAGGAGACCGTTGCCGTTACCAGGATAGTCAGAGTCGTTGGCGAAGATCCTGGTGATGGGGGTACCCACGGGGATGTTCTCCGACGCGGTAGCATAAAAAACGGGGATGTTGTCAATGACATCGTCGTACCCATAGAAGGCAGGCGGATTGTCGTTGACATCTATAATGTTGACTTCGACGTTGACGAAGCTACTCAAGCTTGGGGAACTCCTGGGGTTGTCTTTGGCGGAAATGACAAAAGTGTACTTGTTTTGGGTCTCTCGATCCAGGAGACCATTGATGACCAAGACACCCCCTTGGGGCGAAACCGTGAACGGTAAATTTTTGTCTTTTTCGGTGATCCGGTAGGTGATGTTGGCGTTTGGACCGAAGTCGGAATCTGTGGCTTCAACCCTCCCTAGAATCGTGTTAGAATAAGACGATTCTTCCACGTCGAAGTTGTACCACGACTTTCCAAAAACAGGAGCATGGTCGTTGACATCTTCAATCACTAGTCGGACCGAAACGTGGTCCCTTAACCCTCCTTTGTCACTCGCGGAGATATTCAACCGAAATTCTGACTCCGGTGGTAGTTTTCTTGCAACCGAAATCTCCCCATTGGTACCATGTACCATGAAGTACTGAGTCAAGTGGAAAGGTTCCGCCGAGTACTCATTCGGTATATAAGTTTCCGAAACCATCTCATACTTAACTACCCCGTTGTCCCCGAAATCCCTATCCTCCGCCACTAACTTCACCACCGGACTACCAACCCCCGCATCCTCCTTCAGTTTAAAAAGCGGCGCCATCTTCGTCTTGGTCCGTTTCGTCCTCAACACGTACGTCCCCTTCGTCCCATTCTTCGCCTCCTCGAAATGCCCAATCCGATTCCCCAACCTATCCACCTCCACCACCTCCACGTTATCGAACACCACCATCTCCATAAACACCGGAGCGTTATCATTTTCATCCTCCACCATGATCACCAAAATCGCCTCATCGTACAACCCCCCTTTGTCCTTCGCCACCAGCCGCAAATTGAACACGCTCGTCTCCTCCCGGTCCAACCTGGAGTCCGCACTCGTGAAGAAAATCTTGCCGCTGTTCCTGTCCAGACGGAACTTCTCGCTCCCGTTGCCGAAGATCGTGACCGTGAACTGGCCGTTGGCGCCGGCGTCCTTGTCGCTCACGTGCACCAGGTAGTTCAGGTCGACCTCGGTGCCCGAGACGCAGTTCTCGCGAATCTTGCCCTCGTATTTCGTGCGCTCGAAGGTCGGCTTGTTGTCGTTGTCGTCGTCGACGTGGATGGTGACCTGGTAGATGCCGGTGCCGGAGACGGGGCCTGAAAACGCGGCCATTTTAGACGCTCTAGGGGTGGCATGTGACGATTTGGACACCTCGAGTATGAAGGAGTGCAAAAGTGAAAAAAAAGTCGGGAGGAATCGGCGCGTTCGCGAGATAGAGAGGCATCCTCCTGAGTCTCGAAAAGTCACGTCCGGGGTATTTTCTTGATACGAAAGAGAGTTCAGGACGGTAGCATCACAGTTTCGAATGATACAATTTTCGGGTTTTAACGTGCCCACAGAGTGACTATCCTGGTTGCGTTAGACGCTTTAGATAACGCGCCCGACTATTTAAGCTCTCTAACCCTGAAAGACTTTAAAAGTGAAAAAACATTTGACAGGAATCAGCGCGTTAACGAGCTAGAGGTCCCTCTTCCCGAGTCTCGAAAGGTCACGATTTTTCGACTTGGAGGTGTTCCCAATTCCCAATACGAAAAAAAAGTTAATACGATCTACGTTGGAAACACCCTTCGAGTCTTGAATTATTTGAATTTCTGACACGTCTGTAAACGGTTGCATTAGACGCTTTAGGGAACATATCCGACGATTTAGGCTCTTGGACCCTCAAGGACCCTAAAAGTGATAAAAAACCTGATAGGAATCAGCTCGTTCGGGAGATACAGGTATGTCCATAAGGTTCCAAAGGTACATGAATCTAGGTTTTCGGTTTGAAGGTCTTCCAGATACGAAGAGAAGTCAGGAAGATACACCTTGGAAATGTCCCTCTGCGTCCCAAAAAATTTGAATTTTTGGATTTTGGTGCGTCCGGAACCCAATTAGCTTGGTTGTATGAGACGCTTTAAAGGGAATACTCGACAATTTAGGCCCTTTGGCCCTCAAGAATTGTAAAAATGAAAAAAAGCTGGCAAGAATCAGCGCGTTTGGCAGATATACAGATGTTCCTTGGGTTCCAAAGCTACACGAACCTGATTTTTCGGCTTGGAGGCCCTCCGGATATAAAAGATAAGGCGAAATGATATACACTGAGAACATCCCCCCAAGTTCCGAATAATTTGGATTTTGTGATTTTGACGCGTCTGGAAACAAACTACCTTGGTTAGATTAGACGCTTTAGAGGGTACACCCGATGATTTAGACCCTTTGACTCAGAAGGATCCCTAAAAGTGAAAGAAAAGCAGCACGTTCACAAGATACCAGGGGGTTCCGAAGGTACATAAATCTTGGTTTTTGGCTTGGCGGCCTTCCGGATACGAAAGAGAGATCAGAAGATATATTAGACGTTTTAGGGGACACATCCGACGAGTTAGGACCTTAGACCCTCAAGAACCCAAAAAGTGATAGAAAGCCTAGTAGGAATCAGCTCGTTTGGGAGATATAGGTATGTCTCTAAAGTCTCAAAGGTACCTGAATCTGGGTTTTCGGCTTGGGAGCCTTCCAAATACAAAGAGAAGATACACCTTGGAAATATCCCCCGAGTCTTAGAAGATTTTGGCGCGTCCGGAAACCAACTGGCTTGGTTGTATTAGACGCTTTAGAGTGTGAACCCAACAATTTAGTACCTTTGACCATGAAGGACCCTAAAAGTGAAAGAAAATCCCGTAGGAATCAGTGCGTTCGAGTGATACAAGGGTGTCCCTTGGGTCCTGAAGGTAGATGAATTTAGTTTTTCGGCTTGCAGGTCTTTCGGATATGAAAGAGAAGGAGAGAAGATACATGTTTGGAACATCCTTCTAAATCTCGAATAATTTGAATTTTATGGTTTTTGACGCGTCTGGAAACTAACTACCTTGGTTGTATTAGACGCTTTAGGGGACACACCCGATAATTTAGGCCCTTAGACCCTGAAGGACCCTAAAATTGATAGAAAACCTGACAGGAATCAGCCGGTTCAGGAGATACAGATATGTCCCAAAAGTCCCAAACCTACATGAAACTGGATTTTGGGCTTGGAGCCCTGCCAGATACGAAGAGAGGTAATAAAGACAAGAAATATCCCCCCGAGTCTCGCAACGTTAAATTTTTGGGTTCTGGCGCGTCCGGAAAATAACGAGCCTCATTGTATTAGACGCTTTAGAAGATGCACTCGACGATTCAGTACCTCTGACCATGAAGGACCCTAAAAGTGAAAGAAAACCCAACAGGAATCAGTGCGTTCGAGTGATACAAGGGTGTCCCTTGGGTCCTGAAGGTAGATGAATTTAGTTTTTCGGCTTGCAGGTCTTTCGGATATGAAAGAGAAGGAGAGAAGATACATGTTTGGAACATCCTTCTAAATCTCGAATAATTTGAATTTTATGGTTTTTGACGCGTCTGGAAACTAACTACCTTGGTTGTATTAGACGCTTTAGGGGACACACCCGATGATTTAGGCCCTTAGACCCTGAAGGACCCTAAAACTGATAGAAAACCTGACAGAAATCAGCCGGTTCAGGAGATGCAGATATGTCCCAAAAGTCCCAAACTTACATGAATCTGGATTTTGGGCTTGGAGCCCTGCCAGATACGAAAAGAGGTAATAAAGACAAGAAATATCCCCCAAGTCTCGAAATGTTAAATTTTTGGATTCTGGCGCGTCCGAAAAATAACGAGCCTCATTGTATTAGACGCTTTAGAAGATGCATTCGACGATTCAGTACCTTTGACCATGAAGGACCCTAAAAGTGAAAGAAAATCCCACAGGAATCAGTGCGTTCGAGAGATACAAGGGTATCTCGGGTTCCGAATATACACGAATGTGGTTTTTCGGCTTGGAGGCCCTCCGGATATAAAAGATAAGGCGGAATGATATACACTGAGAACATCCCCCCAAGTTCCGAATAATTTGTATTTTGTGATTTTGACGCGTCTGGAAACCAACTACCTTGGTTGGATTAGACGCTTTAGAGGGTACACCCGATGATTTAGACCCTTTGACTCAGAAGGATCCCTAAAAGTGAAAGAAAAGCAGCACGTTCACAAGATACCAGGGGGTTCCGAAGGTACATAAATCTTGGTTTTCGGCTTGGCGGCCTTCCGGATACGAAAGAGAGATCAGAAGATATATTAGACGTTTTATGGGACACACCTGACGAGTTAGGACCTTAGACCCTCAAGAACCCAAAAAGTGATAGAAAGCCTAGTAGGAATCAGCTCGTTCGGGAGATATAGGTATGTCTCTAAGGTCTCGAAGGTACCTGAATCTGGGTTTTCGGCTTGGGAGCCTTCCTAATACAAAGAGAAGATACACCTTGGAAATATCCCCCGAGTCTTAGAAGATTTTGGCGCGTCCGGAAACCAACTGGCTTGGTTGTATTAGGCGCTTTAGAGTGTGCACTCAACAATTTAATACCTTTGACCATGAAGAACCCTAAAAGTGAAAGAAAATCCCGTAGGAATCAGTGCGTTCGAGTGATACAAGGGTGTCCCTTGGGTCCTGAAGGTAGATGTATTTAGTTTTTCGGCTTGCAGGTCTTTCGGATATGAAAGAGAAGGAGAGAAGATACATGTTTGGAACATCCTTCTAAATCTCGAATAATTTGAATGTTGTGGTTTTTGACGCGTCTGGAAACTAACTACCTTGGTTGTATTAGACGCTTTAGGGGACACACCCGATGATTTAGGCCCTTAGACCCTGAAGGACCCTAAAACTGATAGAAAACCTGACAGAAATCAGCCGGTTCAGGAGATGCAGATATGTCCCAAAAGTCCCAAACCTACATGAATCTGGATTTTGGGCTTGGAGCCCTGCCAGATACGAAAAGAGGTAATAAAGATAAGAAATATCCCCCCGAGTCTCGAAATGTTAAATTTTTGGGTTCTGGCGCGTCCGGAAAATAACGAGCCTCATTGTATTAGACGCTTTAGAAGATGCACTCGACGATTCAGTACCTTTGACCATGAAGGACCCTAAAAGTGAAAGAAAATCCCACAGGAATCAGTGCGTTCGAGAGATACAAGGGTATCCCGGGTTCCGAATATACACGAATCCGGTTTTTCGGATATGAAAAAGAGGGCGAAAACATACACGCTTGGAACATCCTCCCAAATCTCGAACAATTTGAATTTTCGGATTTTGACGCGTCCGGAAACTAACTATTTTGTTTGTATTAGACGCTTTAGAGGGCGCATTAGGTGATTTAGGTCCTTTGATCCTTAAGGACCCTAAAAATTAAAGAAAATTTGGCAGGAATCAGCTCGTTCGGGAGATACAAGTGTGTCCCTCGGGTCGCGAAGGTATATGAAACTGGTTTTCTTATTTAGAGCCTTACCAAATATGATAGAGAAGGCGGGAAAATACACGTTTGGAGCAACCTCGTGAATCTAGAATGATTTGAATTTTAACGTTTTGACGCGCCCGGAAACTAACTATCTTGGTTGTTTTAGACGCTTTAGCGGTCACAGTCGACGATTGAGGCCCGTTGACCCGGAAGGACCCATATAGTGAACGAAAACCCGTCAGGAATCAGCGTTTTCGCGCGATATAGCACATAATTCGGTTTTTTTTTACCTTTGTTGTATTCAGCGAGTACCGTCAGCCTGTAGACATCCCTTGTCTCGCGGTCCAGCGGCTTGACAGTGTACAGACTACCATCCGAGGTGATCGCAATGTGCTCGGTCACGTCCTTTTGATTGGCTATCGAGAAGACAAGCGCCGAGGAGGAGGCGTTCTGGAAACCCAACCGACCAATCAGAAGGTTGCCCTTGTTCTCGCGGACGTGGAACTCGATCGGGGTGGTGGCGGTCCGCATGAGGATGGTCTTCTCGTCTTTGGGGTCGACGACATGAATAGTGACGTTGGTCACTAGCGACATATCTCGTTCATTGGTCACCACTGCCTCGAAGTCGTAGTTCTGACGATCGTAGTTGTCGAGGTCGTCGACCACGGTGATGGTACCTGAGCGCTCCTCCACGGCGAAGGGTACTGGAAAGTTTGAGTAGGTGACAGTGGTGTAGGAAGTGACGACTTACCTCCTTCGTGGTAGCTGTGGAGCAGGTCGTAGACGATGGTACGACGATCAGGGACGTCGGTGATGCGGATTTGACCTACGCTGGTACCGATGTCGACATTGCCGCCGACCCAAAATTCGTACGGGGCACCCACGAAGTCGGGCACACCTTTGTTGGTACCTCTGCCTGGTTGGGTCTGGATCTCGATGGACACCACCGCTAAGGCAGACCTTCTCTCGCTCGGATTCAACGGTTGGTCGGACGCTTCCACGAACAAAAGGTGTCTTCCTGGGGGAACGTGCTCCTGATTGACACTGATTTTCCCGGTTTTGGGGTCGATTTTGAAAGGGACTGAGTTATTTGGGGCTTTCTGGATGGAGTACACCACCATGCCGTTTCGGTCCAGGTCGGGATCGATGGCATGGATTTGGCCAACAAGATCACCCACTTTAAGGCCGTTGTTGGTCACGTAGTTGTACAGGTTATTAGGGATGAAAGTCGGGTTGTTATCGTTGGCATCCAACAATGTTATTTCGATGGTGACTGCAGATGCTCCTAGTTTGTCCGTAACGACGCTTGGTACTTTCTCTTTTGCGTAGACCCTCATGGTGAGGGTTGATCGTTTCTCCCGGTCCAACACGCTCTGGTCCCTAACCTAAACCACCACAGTCGTAAACAATACAGCTCGTGTAGCTCGCTCCGCGAGCCCGGAATTTTTTACCGTCAGCCAGCCGGTCCGCGCGTCCAGCGTGAACGCCCCACTGTTGTCCTCCAACTGATACGAGAACTCCGCGTTGTCCCCCTGGTCCTGGTCCACGGCGATGATCTGCAGCACGCTGAACCCATTCGGAAGATTCTCCACGATGCTTATATTGTAAAAGTCCACCTCGAATTCCGGCAGGTTATCATTCAGGTCCATTATCTCCACTTCCACTCTCGCCACGCCCGTCTTCACCGGATTGTCAACCTGCGAGGCCTGAATTTGCAAGACGAAAGTGTTTCCGGGTAAGGACCTTTCGGCGTCGAGGTCAATCTCGCGTTCGAGGAACAGCGAGCCGTTGACGTGATCCAGCGAAAAGATGTGACGCTCATTACCTAGAACGGGCTATTAACGCGCGCAATTTTCGACGGTACTTGGTCGTACCTGCGATGATGTCGTACCGTATGGGGGCATCGATGGCGACGTCTTGATCGAAGGCGTGGATCGGGGGGTCGAAGGTCAGCAGCTTGTGGATTCTCTCGCCCTGGGGACAGTATGCATTGAGTACCGGAGTACCATATGGAGCGCGAGCAATTATCTAGATGAACAGTTTGGATTCGGTACTGTGACCTTACGCGAGCGGGTTTTGATTTATGGCGCAAGGTGTAGTGGTAATTGTAACAGTGGGTAATTTATGGGTACTGCTTCCGGTACTGCTGGGATGATTGGCGTAATCGTAAGTGAGTGAACGGTTAGTGGAGTGAGTAGGGCGAAGGTCGTCGGGGTTTATGGGTACGAGAAATTTAAAGGGCGGTACTGCGGCATTTGGTACTGTCTTCCTGGTGTTACGGAGATTGATAGAGCAGTGAAAGTGTGCTTGTAAAAATTAGAACGGTTTTGGGTACTAATGAGTGGGTTCGTCTGTATGGGGTTAATGTTGTGTGTAATAGAAAACCGAGATTTCAGGCGGAAGTTATAAATCGTACGTAATTGCTATAGTAAAGTTAATGGAAAATAGTAATCGGTACTTTCGTACACGTACTCTTGATACTGTATCAGTATCGAGATTGTCATAAATAATAATTGTCGATTTATTAGTTTCATGTTTTATTGTGTGCCGTGAGAGTACTTCTCGGATGGAAGAAACCGCAGCGAGTGTGGCTTGGTGTGGTTTTTTCCATCTCGTACTAGATACAGGTACTACTTTAACAATACATAAGTACAGTTTGATATTTCCGACGCAAGATGAGAAAAATGCCAATTAAATTAAAATTACCTAGCTAACTGTTTCTTTTAATCCATTTTTCGGAAACATGGGAACGCAATAATTAGCATTGTTTGGGCATTCATCATTAATATTAATTGTACGAAAGTACAAGTAGCTCAGTTATGCGATTTATTAATATTAAAATATGATAACGCGAGTAGAAAGGTGCGTTATGGCGTGAGATATCCATTACAGTTACGTAACGTTAATTAAGAAAACAAACAAGTAATAAATGAATGGGTAAAATGAGGAACAGAATGCTAAAAAGCGAACGAAATCTGATTCATTTTCAACCTTAAAAGTCAAAAATTTCAGTTAAATATGATGATATTTGATATCTTCAAACATCCGATTTTGAAATTTTTATCACCTACCTACAAAATTTGTAAAAAGCGTCTTTAATCTAATCTGGTGGTCGTAAAAACTACAAAATATAGACAAAATAACGATAAACAATATATTGATATCTTATTCCGTCATGATCTTCATTTAAAAAAACTGGAAGATGATTTTTGATATCTTCAAACTTCAAACGACGTAATTTTTAAATCTTTGAAATTCATGTCTGCCATGTACAAATTTTTAAACGACAAACTTTGTAAAGCGATATTTAATATCTTCAAAGTTTAAGATATTACGCTTTCTAATCTCACGGTCGCAATTATCATAAAATGTCAGTAAACTTTTTTTATTTCAAACACTAAATCTGAAAACTTTAAAATTTACGTCGTTTAGTTAAAAAATTTTATAATAAAAAGTAAGTTTTTACACTGATATTACATATCTTTAAGTTTTGAGATCCTTCGATTTCTAATCTCGTGACCGTAAAAACTACAAAAATAAAAAAAAGTAATAATAAATAAGATCTCTGATTTTATTAATAAAAACAGTTTTTTTTTTAATCATAATATCTATATTTTAAAATTTGAAAATCTATTTTTTCTACCAAATTGTAGTTATTACAAAATTTGTAAATCTCCCAAAAACGAGTGCACCACTAAGAGAAATAACAACAAAAATTATTATATATTCATATCTTATCCCTTGATGATCTGCATTTAAGAAAACTGGAAGATGATATTTGATATCTTCAAACTTCAAACGATGTAATTTTTAAATTATTTAAATACATGTCTGCCATCTACAAAATTTCAAACGGCATAAACTTTTTAAAGTGATATTTAATATCTTCATAGTTTAAAAGTAAGTTTTTAAATGATATTTAATATCTTTAAATTTTGAGATCCTTCGATTTCTAATCTCGTGACCGTAAAAACAACAAAAACATAGATAGAAAAAATAATGATGAATAAGATCTCTAATTTCACTAAAAAAAAACATTTTTTTTAAATCGTGCTATCTATATTTTAAAATTTGAAAACCCATTTTTTTTCTACTAAATTGTAGTTATTACAAAATTCGTAAATTTACAAAAACGAATGTACCACTAAGAGAAATAACAACAGAACTTGTTACATATTGATATCTTATCCCTTGATGATCTGCATTTAAAAAACTGGAAGATGATATTTGCTATCTTCAAACTTCAAGCGACGTAATTTTTAAATTGTTGAAATTCATGTCTGCCATCTACAAATTTTTAAGCGGCATGCACTTTTTAAAATGATAATAAATATCTTCAAAGTTTAATATCTTCCACTTTCTAATCTCATGATCAAAATCATCATAAAATGTCATTAAAATTTTTACTTCAAACACTCTAAATTTAAAAGCTTGAAAATTCACGTGGTTTATCTACAAAATTTATAATAAAAAGTAAGTTTTTAAACTGATGTTTAATATCTTCAAATTTTTATATCCTTCGATTTCTAATTTCGTGACCGTAAAAACCACAAAAATATACAAAAAATAATGATAAATACCACCTCTAATTTTACTAATAATACAGTTTTTTTTAAATCGTGATATCTATATTTTAAAATTTGAAGACTCATTTTTTCTACTAAATTGTAGTTATTACAAAATTGGTAATTCTCCCAAAAACGAATGCACCACCATGAGAAATAAAAAAAATTGTTACATATTGATATCTTATCCCTTGTTGATCTGCATTTAAAAAACTGGAAAATGATATTTGATATCTTCAAACTTCGAAGGACGTAATTTTTAAATTGCTGAAATTCATGTCTGCCATCTACAAATTTATAAACGGCATAAACTTTTTAAAGTGATATTTAATAATCCTCAAAATTTAAGATCTTACGCTTTCTAATCTCACGATCGCAATTATCATAATATATCACTAAACACTTTTACTTAAAACACTCTAAATTTGAAAGCTTTAAAATTCACGTCATGTCTCCACAAAATTTATAGAAAAGTGAGTTTTTAAACTGATATTTAATATCTTTAAATTTTGAGATCCTTCGATTTTTAATCTCGTGACCGTAAAAATATACAAAAAATAATGATAAATACCATCTCTAATTTTATTAATAAAACAGTTTTTTTTTTAAATCGTGATATCTATATTTTAAAACTTGAAGATTCATTTTTTCTACTAAATTCTAGTTATTACAAAATTTGTAATTCTCCCAAAAACGAATGCACCATCATGAGAAATAAAAAAAAATGTTACATATCTCTTGATGATCTGCATTTAAAAAACTAGAAGATGATATTTGATATCTTCAAACTTCAAACGACGTAATTTTTAAATTATTGAAATTGATGTCTACCATCTACAAATTTTCAAACGGCATAAACTTTTTAAAGTAATGTTTGATATCTTCAAAGTTTAAGATCTTACGATTTCTAATCTCACGATCACAATTATCTTTTTTACTTCAAGCGCTTAGAATTCAAAGTTTGAAAATTCATGTCAACTATCTACAAAATTTATAATAAGAAATAAGTTTTTATGGAAGTGATCTTCAATATTTTTAAATTTTGAGATATTTCGATTTCTAATCATTACAAAATTTGTAAATCTCCCGAAAACGGATACAACAGTATGAGAACTGATAATAAAACTTGTTACATATTGATATCTTATCCCTTGATGATCTGGCATATAAAATACGGCAAGATATTTAATATCATCAAACTTCATACGAAAAAATTTTGAAATCATTAAAATTCATATCCGCTACCTACACAGTTTTAAACGACATAAACGTTTTCAAGTGATATTTAATATCATCAAAGTTTAAGATCTTTCGCTTTGTAATCCCACAATCACAATTATCATAAAATTTCATTAAACTTTTTAGTTCAAACAGTCTAAATTTGAAAGTTTTAAAAATCGTAGCGTCTATGTACAAAATTTATAACAAAAAATATGTTTTTAAACTGATATTTAATATCTTTAAATTTTGAGATCGTTCGATTTCTCATTTCGTGACTGTAAAAATCACAAAAATATAGAAAAAATATTGACAAATAATATATCTAATTTTACTAAAAAGCAGTTTTTGTTTTAAGTTGTGATATCTATATTTTAAAAAATTTTGAAGATCCATTTCATCATCGAAATTGTAAAAATTACAAAATTTGTAAATCTCCCGGAAACGAATGCAACAGTATGAGAAATAATAATAAAACTTGTTACATATTGATATCTTATCCCTTGATGATCTGCATTTAAAAAATGAGAGGATGATATTTAATATCTTCAAACTTCAAATGAAGTGTTTTTGAAATTATTGAAATTCATATCCGCTATCTACAAAGTTTTAAACGAGATAAACGTTTTAAAGTGATATTTAATATCTGTAGAGTTTAAGATCTTACGCTTTCTAATCTCACGATCACAATTATCATAAAATTTCATTTAACTTTTTTACTTCAAGCGCTTAGATTTCAAAGTTTGAAAATCCATGTCATCTATCTACAAAATTTATAATAAGAAATCAGTTTTTATGGAAGTCATCTTCAATATCTTTAAATTTTGAGATTCTTCGATTTCTAATCATTACAAAATTTGTAAATCTCCCGAAAACGGATACAACAGTATGGCCAATAATATTAAAATTTGTTACATATTGATATCTTATCCCTTGATGATCTGGCATGTAAAATACTGCAAGATATTTGATATCATCAAACTTCGTACGAAAAAATTTTGAAATTATTAAAATTCATCTCCGCTCTCTACAAAGTTTTAAACGAGATAAACTTTTTAAAGTGATATTTAATATCTTCAAAGTTTAAGATCTTACGCTTTCTAATCTCACGATCGCAATTATCATAAAATGTCACTAAACTTTTTTTACGTCAAACACTCTAAATTTGAAACCTTTAAAATTCACGTTGTCTATTTACAAAATTTTATAATAAAAAGTAAGTTTTTAAACTGATATTTAATATCTTTAAATTTTGAGTTCCTTCGATTTCTAATCTCGTGACCGTAAAAACCACAAAAATATAGAAAAAATAATAATAAAGAAGATCTCCGATTTTATTAATAAAAACATTTTTTTTTAAATCATAATTTTTAAATTGTTGAAGTTAATCTCTGCCATCTACAAATTTTTAAACGGCATAAATTTTTTAAAGTGATATTCAATATCTCTTTAGAGTTTAACTTTTTTAGTTCAAACAGTCTAAATTTGAAAGTTTTAACAATCGCAGCGTCTGTGTACAAAATTTATAACAAAAATTATGTTTTTAAAGTGATATTTAATATCTTTAAATTTTGAGATCGTTCGATTTCTCATTTCGAGACTGTAAAAATCACAAAAATATAGAAAAAATAATGACAAATAATATATCTAATTTTACTAAAAAGCAGTTTTTGTTTAAGTTGTGATATCTATATTTTAAAAAATTTTGAAGATCCATGTCATCATCGAAACTGTAAAAATTACAAAATTTGTAAATCTCCTGGAAACGAATGCAACAGAATGAGAAATAATAATAAAACTTGTTACATATTGATATCTTATCCCTTGATGATCTGCCTTTAAAAAACCAGAGGATGATATTTGATATCTTCAAACTTCAAATGAAGTGTTTTTGAAATTATTAAAATTCATATCCGCTCTCTACAAAGTTTTAAACGAGATAAACTTTTTAAAGAGATATTTAATATCTTCAAAGTTTAAGATCTTTCGCTTTCTAATCTCACGATCACGATTATCATAAAATTGCAATAAACTTTTTTACTTTAAACACTCTAAATTTGATAGTTTTAAAATAACATCTTTAAAAACGAATGCAACAGAGTGAGAAATAACAACACAACAAAATTAGATATTGATATCTTATACCTTGATGATCTGCCTTTCAACAAACTGGATGATGATATTTGATATCTTTAAACTTCAAACGCCGTAATTTTGAAATTGTTAAAATTCATATCCGCTATCTACAAAGCTTTTGACGACATAAACGTTCAAAGTGATATTAAATATCTTCAAAATTTAAGATCTTTCGTTTATTTAAATTTCTGCAGATTATAAATGTTAGAACTCACCGTAACGGGATAGAACTCGTTAATCCTCGTCCTGTACACCCCCTTCGTAAATTTCGGACTAAGATCATCATTATCGCTGACCGAAATTCGCACGGTCGTGTTGGTGCTCCTCGGCGGCAAACCACGGTCCTGAAAAAGCAAATTCTCGCTCAGTTTTTTCCATAAAAATCTCTAGAAAGCGTGATGACGACTCTTCTCGACACCTCGCTCAAACTCCATCCAATTCATTCCTCGCAACTACGGTAATTATTCCCGCAGCATAGTATCTTTTCCACTTTCATAAAACACATAATTGCTCCTATTTACTTTCGTCCCAACGAACGCCATTCCAGCATTTAAATCCTTACGCAATTCTAATTACGTTCACTTAATTAAAACATGCATTTTTAACACTCCGCACTTTCTACATTTCTACAAAGTCGCTGCGTCAATCGTTCCGCAAGAAAAGTTCTTCTGGGAAAATCTTTTTTTACAAGGACATCGCCTAAAGCGCCCGCTGGACCGCGACCACGAAAAAACCCATTTGTGTAATTCGGTTTCACACCTGTTTGGATTATGCCGTGTACGCATCGAGTTTTTGTTGTTAGTTTCGTCGTTCGCGACCGATTTTGATCGCTTCGTGAAAACTAAGATCCAGTTCCGGATGAAAGCTAACATTTACGGAATACTCGGCCCCGATTGGTCGGTTCGAAGTTGCGAGTTTCTCGTTTGGGTTATGTTGTGTACGTACCGACGCAGAAATGGTGAGGAGAAACTCGCGGTCGCCTGTGTCAAAGTCCAATGGTCTTTTGAGGACGAGGAAGGCTTGATGGGTGCTGTCCAAGGAGAACTTGCCGCGCTCGTTACCGGAGATGATGGTATACTGGACGTCCGAGTTGGGCGTGTTAGGTTTGTCGCGGTCAAGAGCGCGGATTCCGCGGAATATGGTCAAACCTGGAAAAAGTTAAAGGTGATGCTGAGTTTCCCTAATTTAATCTCTTCAAAATGTTGAATTTGATGATCTTTAGATATCTTAAAATTTGTAAGATCTTTAAATTAAATAATATTATTTAAACTACAAAAGTTAATATATCAAAATCAGCAAACATTAAATAAAGCTTTGGACCTTGCTGATGTTTGATATCTTTAAATTTTGACATCAACAACTTCCAAAAATATTTTGAAGATCCTAAATTTTGATAATCATAGTTTATGTCACAACAATGTAGCTGACAGATCTTTACCACGAAAACACATAACAGCCACATTTTTTTAAACTACGAAAGTTAATATCTTCAAACTCGAATGTCTTAAAATCTTGAATTTTTTAGAAATTAGTATCGGTCCTTACAACAACTAATCAAATCAAAACCGCTCCAAGAATCAGGAAACATTAAATCGTTAAGATTTGATGATCTTCAATATCTCAAAATTTTCAGATCATCAAATTCCAAAAAAAAAATCGCTTACCGACAGGGGTGAGTTCGTCCACCGTCACGTGATAGGGCGACCCGACGAAAACGGGCGCATGGTCGTTGACGTCCTCCACGTACACCGTAACCGACAAAGAGGACGTAATCTGCATACAAAAGAAACATTAATCCGCATCCTGCAATCATCTCATAAAGAATTTATAATATTATCCCAGCTGGCCGAACCAGAGGCAACATGAGCATTGTACGCGTGCTTGTGGTCAAGTCTTCGTGCTTCTTTGTTGACGAGAAGAAAGATGCACGAGATCTCCTCATAAAAGAGGAAACTTTATCCGCTACAGGCCATTAAATGTGCATTAAGGATGTTGTTGTGAGATTTCAAGGTCTGAGTCTAACTATAATTGCTGGCCGACATTTTTTCCTAGAGCGTGTCATCACTTTTATTTGCACTTTTCCGTTTCCGATAACAGCTAAACTAAATTTAACTATCACGTAACTATAACTGACTATTGAGAAATTTGTCTATTTTGTTCCTCAATGTCTCCAATGGTACCCGAAACCGGCAGCAAAAATTCATTTACACACATTTATCGAGCGGTACTACCAGTACCGCCAAATTCCTGCGTCCATCTCAAAAATTAACGGCCAAATTATTACTTACAAGCAACGACATAAATTCCTGAAATCCTCACGTTATGAATTACGAGCTAGAAACAAGATACGACTATCAGTACCGCGGTACCACTTCCCATTGACACTCCTACGAATAAAAATTAAAAATCCGTTAATATTTTTCACAAAATTATAAATTATAGCACCTACGCTCCTAACTGTGAATATCTTCTCCCGTACCTAATCGGTACTGCCATAGTACCAGCGCGATAAATCTCGACAGTGTCAATTCCACTTCCTCGAAGATGCTAAGGCGCTCCAAAAACCACCATTCCGATTAAATTACACAATTTTTGTCGGTACTACCGCGCAGAACAAAGTACTGCTTGAGCGAACACGACAGGATTCCTGTAATACGTCAAAACGATCATTTTATTGAAACACGGCTTTGAAACGGTACTGTCCGTACATATTAAGATGCCACTGGTCAACGTTAATAAATTCAAGCCTAATCAATCAATTTCAGTTGAATATTTACAACAACGTAGAAAGTACTACGAACTCAGGTACTAAAAACGAATCCGCGAGGACCAGTTTTGGTTTTATCGCTCGTTTAAATGCAACGGACAAGGAAGACTTCATTATTGGTAATAACAGTGTAAATATCCGTAGCACGTTCGTTGCATTTCAAGTAGTACCGCTGGTACTGCAGTAATTGGAAAATTTTCCGCTCTGTGCGGAAGAAAATGCATTTGCGTAAACGTAAGTACGTACAAAACGCGAGTACTACTCTTTTATTTCTTGTGGTACTGTTTAGTACCCAACATCCTTGAGCACATTTTCTCCTCACAAAAAATGAGATGATTGCTAAAAGTACTTATTCATTCCGGTCTACTACACCCAGCTTCAATTAACTCGGCTCCTGTAATCTGTTTGCCAACACTTACAATATCCTCTCCATCATCGTGATCGCAAGACACTTTGAATTTCAGAACGTTCCTCGGATTATCGGCATCTACAAGGTCCTCCAGGGAACGCGCAAGGAGAAGGGAAACGGTCGTCCGATTAAGATCTCGGTAGGTGAAGTAATGGACATCTTCATCCTGAATAGAATGCAAAACAAATCGTTAAATCGAAGAGTACCTACATTGTGGTGGTACCACTTTATAGTGCAATCCGAGATCTTAAAACAAAATTTCATAGAGGTACTACCGGTACTACATTTTGGAGGTGGTACCTGAAGTACCAACAGTTGTGGCAAGTAACAAACATCAAGTCGACAACAAGTACCACACACGCTATTCTCATTTCATAACGCAACATGAAACGAAATTTCGCAATACTACCGGTACTACCCTTGAACAAAGTAATAAACACTATTTCTTTTACCTTCATCTTGAAACAAAAGCGAATAAATCATAAACGGATTTTTTACCCTCAGTACTACCCGATATTGTGGCAGTACCATGACCACCACACACACAACTTTTCTTTTATAATACATCACCAAGTTAAAGTAAGGTAAATCAAACCGCTAAATTGAAATTTCATGGTAGTACCGCACGCTGCACTTGTTTCGTAACGTAAACGAACGAAACCTGTGGTGGTACCACCGCAACAGTACCTCATCCGTACCTTATCTACGGGCCTCAAGCTCAAGTTATTCCTCGGATGCACCTCCACCTTCAGCACCTCCTCGCCGACCCTCAAATTCTCCGGTACTCGCACGAACCTGAGGTACTCTCCGGGCGGATAGAACTGGCATCCTGCGAACAAAACAAAGCGAAATAGAACTAAGTGTGCCGGATGGACGCACGCGAAAAAGCACTTCCAATAACATCTAATAATCTCGGTACTGGTAGTACTTGCGTGCGCGCAATTAAGATGACTGTTCCAGATTCTTGATTTTCTCTTTCGTAAAAAGAAGTATGAACGAAAGTAGCTTTGTGCAAACGCATGCGGCTATTGTTGCCATTTTTAATGGGTGCGAACCGTGACCCATTTTATAGGTTAGTACTTGATGGTCGACAGGTGCTTGTGCTTGCACAAAAACAAAGTGCAGAGGTTGAATTAGCGAGATGTTTGGAGATGGTTTCACTCTGTTTACGTGGGTTTAATGTGGGTTATTGGGTTCTGGAGTGGGGTGGTACGGCGGTACCGGTTTTTAACCCTAGGTACTGGCGCGGTGCAGCGAGGTTTGGTCAGTTGAGTTAAGTAACCAGAGTAGTTAAGAACTTCGATTTTAATAATAAATGATATCATATTTGTGTAAGATCTGTCATTGATGATATAACAATATCTATCTAAATCTGAAAATCTGAGTGAGGGAAAAATTCATTTACATCGGAAACTAACATAATAAAAAAAACACGTTTTATCAAAGTGTAAATTATACTGTGATTTTCTACGAAAATATGATCTCATATCGATAAGATCTATTTTAGGAAATATATCATCAAAAAACTTTAGATATAATCGATTTTCCTCCATTTGCTAATGAAACGCTAACGATATTAACACAAATCGGGAACAAATTTGACGATATTTTTACGTATGTGGTCTAAATTGATGATATGAGACATTTCAAAATATTTTAATTAATGACTAAATTTTTTGGTATGTGGCAAAATATCTCCCGGATATAGGAGTCTGAGATAATATTAAATTAAACACAATATCATATTTGTGTAAGATCTACAACTGATGATATAACAATATCTATCAAAATTAGAAAATTTGACTGAGGGATAAATTCTAGAATTTAAAATTAATTTAGATCGAAAAAAATCGCAATGAAGAAAAAAAGACTTTTTTAATTATAAATTCTACAGTGATAGTGTGTTTATTCTACAAAAATATGATCTCATATCAATAACATTTATATCATCAAAAAACATTACGATCCATTTTTCTCATTTTGCACAAGATATTACCACAAATCAGGCACAATTTTGATAATATTTTTAAGCATGTTATCTAAATTGATGATCTGAGAAATTGATAATCTCAAATTGTTTGGCATTTGGCAAAATATCTCCCGGATATAGGATTTTTTTTTAATTATAAATTCTAGACTGATGGTGTGTCTATTCTACAAAAATATGATCTCATAGCGATAAGATTTATATTAGGAAATACGAGTGTATCATCAATCAATCGATTTTTCTCAATTTCCAAATGAAATACTCACGATATTACCACAAATCAGGCGCAATTTTGACGATATTTTTACGCATGTGATCTGAACTGATGATCTGAGACATTTCAGTTGTTTCAATGATTTGAGTGTCAAGTATTTTTTAATTATAAATTCTACAATGACGATGTGTTTATTCTACAAAAATATGATCTCATATCGATAAGATTTATATCAGGAAATATATCATCAAAAAACCGTTACGATCGATTTTTCTCAATTTGCAAATGAAGCACTTACGATATTATCACAAATCAAGCACAATTTTGACGATGTTTTTATTGATTTATTGATGATCTGATACATTTCAGTCATTTTAATGATTTGATTTTCAAATATTTCAAAAAACGACTTCTTATAAATTTTTTGGCATTTGGAAAATTATCTCCGGGATATAGGATTTTGGGATATTATTAAATTAAATAGGATATCAAATTTGTGTAAGATCTGCAACTGATGATATAACAATATCTATCAAAATTAGAAAATTTGACTGAGGGATAAATTCTAGAATTTAAAATTATTTTAGATCGAAAAAAATCGCAATGAAGAAAAAAAGACTTATTTAATTATAAATTCTACAGTAACAGTTTGTTTACTCTACAAAAATATGATCTCATATCAGTAACATTTATATCATCAAAAAATATTACGATCCATTTTTCTCATTTTGCAAATGTCATACTCAAGATATTACCACAAATCAGGCACAATTTTGACGATATTTTTACACATGTTATCTAAATTGATGATCTGAGAAATTGGCAATCTCAGACATTTCAATCGTTTCAATGATTTGAGCTTGAAATATTTCAAAAAACGACTTCTACAAAATTGTTTGGCATTTGGCAAAATATCTCCCGGATATAGGATTTGTAACGGATTTTTATTTAATTTTGAATTGATTTGCATTCGAAGTGGTGGCGCATCTATCACGCGTAGTGTTGGTGTGAGCTACGGGAAAAAACGGGGAGAAAAAGGGAGATAAGAACGAGAGAGATAGCGGGGCAGGAGCGAGTGGAGGAGCTCGGGAGGAAGAGAATCAAGTTCAGGGGCTTTTCAAGGAAGATTTTCGGGAAGAGACGGGACCTGAGAACCGAAGGAAGAGTCAGGAGCCTCCGCCGCCTACGCTGAGAGAGAAGAGGTGCCCTCCCACATATTTTAACAGTGATTGGCTTATCGTATGTAATACCTTTAATAATATAATTTGTCGTAAACGTAGTTTTATTGGGCTCGGGTTGAAACCCACTTCGTGAGGTAACAATACAGTAGCATTTATTTGAAATCCTGTAAGTAGGTTACAGATTTTGAGATATTATTAAACTAAACATAATATCATATTTTTGTAAGATCCACAACTGATGATATAATCTATCAAAATCAGAAAATTTGACTCAGGCATAAATTCCCGAATTTTTAATTTTTAGATTAAAAAAAACGTAATGGGAAAAAGACTTTTTTAGTTATAAATTCTAGAGTGATGATGTGTTTATTCTACAAAAATATGATCTCATATCGATAAGATTTATATCAGGAAATATATCATCAAAAAACCGTTACGATCGATTTTTCTCAATTTGCAACTGAAACACTTACGATATTATCACAAATCAGACACAATTTTGACAATATTTTTATTGATTTATTGATGATCTGATACATTTCAGTCATTTTAATGATTTGAGTTTCAAATATTTCAAAAACGACTTCTTATAAATTTTTTGGCATTTGGAAAAATATCTCCGGGATATAGGATTTTGGGATATTATTAAATTAAATAGGATATCAAATTTGTGTAAGATCTGCAACTGATGATATAACAATATCTATCAAAATTGGAAAATTTGACTGAGGGATAAATTCTAGAATTTAAAATTAATTTAGATCGGAAAAAATCGCAATGAAGAAAAAAAGACTGTTTTAATTATAAATTCTACAGTGATAGTGTGTTTATTCTACAAAAATGTGATCTCATATCAATAACATTTATTTCATCAAAAAACATTACGATCCATTTTCTCATTTTGCAAATGACAGACTCAAGATATTACCACAAATCAGGCACAATTTTGACGATATTTTTACGCATGTTATCTAAATTGATGATCTGAGAAATTGATAATCTCAGACATTTCAGTCGTTTCAATGATTTGAGCATGAAATATTTCAAAAAACGACTTCTACAAAATTGTTTGGCATTTGGCAAAATATCTCCCGGATATAGGATTTTGAGATGTTATTGACCTAAAGATAATATCATATTTTTTTTTAGATAAAAAAAAACGTAATGGGAAAAAACACTGTTTTAATTATAAATTCTAGAGTGATGATGTGATTTTATTCTACAAAAATATGATCTCATAGCGATAAGATTTATATTAGGAAATACGAGTATATCATCAATAAATCGATTTTTCTCAATTCCCAAATGAAATACTCACGATATTACCACAAATCAGGCGCAATTTTGAAGATATTTTTACGCATGTTATCGAAATTGATGATCTGAGAAATTGATAATCTCAGACATTTCAGTCGTTTCAATGATTTGAGCTTGAAATATTTCAAAAAACGACTTCTACAAAATTGTTTGGCATTTGGCAAAATATCTCCCGGATATAGGATTTTGAGATGTTATTGACCTAAAGATAATATCATATTTTTGTACGATCTACAACTGATGATATAATCTATCAAAATCAGAAAATTTGACTCAAGCATAAATTCCCGAATTTTAAATTTTTAGATAAAAAAAAAAAACGTAATGGGAAAAACACTTTTAGTTATAAATTCTAGAGTGATGATGTGTTTATTCTACAAAAATATGATCTCATAGCGATAAGATTTATATTAGCAAATACGAGTATATCATCAATCAATCGATTTTTCTCAATTTCCAAATGAAATACTCACGATATTACCACAAATCGGGCGCAATTTTGCCGATATTTTTACGCATGTGATCTGAACTGATGATCTGAGACATTTCAGTCGTTTCAATGATTTGGGTTTCAAGTATTTTTTAATTATAAATTCCACAGTGACGATGTGTTTATTCTACAAAAATATGATCTCATATCGATAAGATTTATATCAGGAAATATATCATCAAAAAACCGTTACGATCGATTTTTCTCAATTTGCAAATGAAGCACTTACGATATTATCACAAATCAAGCACAATTTTGACGATATTTTTATTGATTTATTGATGATCTGATACATTTCAGTCATTTCAATGATTTGAGTTTTAAATATTTCAAAAAACGACTTTTTATAAATTTTTGGCATTTGGAAAAATATCTCCAGAATATAGGATTTTGGGATATCATTAAATTAAATAGGATATCAAATTTGTGTAAGATCTGCAACTGATGATATAACAATATCTATCAAAATTAAAAAATTTGAATGAGGGATAAATTCTAGAATTTAAAATTAATTCAGATCGGAAAAAATGGCAATAAAGAAAAAAAGACTTTTTTAATTATAAATTCTACAGTGATAGTGTGTTTATTCTACAAAAATGTGATCTCATATCAATAACATTTATTTCATCAAAAAACATTA